TTTTAGGAGAAACTGTTCTAACTCTAGAAAAAGAAGAAACTCATGTTTAACCATTCTGTTGAAATAACATTTAATTCGTTAATATCTGGTCTTAAAATCATATGTTTTTGGTATATGAGCAGGTTATAATAGTCTTTGAGGATTGCCGTATTGTTTTAAAATATCCTATGGAAAGAAAGAAGCTTTATGGAGTAATGGGAACATCCTGGAGAAAAATTATTGTGATTATAATGAAATTACAAATAATAAATAAACCTCCTCCATTGCTTAAAGGAAAAAGCCCCACCTTTTCAGTTAAGGACCAGTAGTCTCTGATTAACCTATCATGCTAGCATGAAAGAATACTATTGCTTGTTTCTTCCTTTGCTTACACTCAAAATACTTCTGACACCAGATGTGTGAATTTTTTTCCACACCTGACTGATTGTCCAACACCAGCTGGGTGTCCTGCAATTCAATTCAATTCTTACACTGTCTACCTGACATTAGCTTCAGATTCTATAAGTTAAGGGCTCTCAGTCCCACAAGACTGCCCCCCCACTTTAGATGCCAGTCACAAGTAGTGGGTCCCCAGGTTACCCACACTTCTGTCTGACTTTGCTACAAAATGGGAGTTCCCATAGCATCCTCCTTGAGTTTGATAATTTGCGATAATGGCTCATAGAACTCAGGGAAACACTTAACATGTACTGGTTTATTGTATAAAAAGAATATGATAAAGGATACAGATGAACAGCCAGATGAAGAGGTACATAGGGCAAGGTCTGGAAGGGTCCCAAGCTCTGGAGCTTCTGTCTCATGGAGTTGGGGTGTGCCACCCTCCCAGCATGAGAATATGTCCACCAACTCGGAAGCTCTCCGAAGTCCATACTTTAGGAACTTTTATGGAGGGTTCATCAGGTAGGCATGATTGATTATTAACTTAATCTCTAGCCCTTCTCTCCTGTGCGGAGAAAAAAGTTCTCTCAAAGTTCCAAGCTTCTCATCATAGTTTGGTTTTTCTGGTGACCAGCATTCATCCTGAAGCTATACAGGAGTCCAGCAGGAGTCATCTCATTAGAGCAAAAGATGCTCCTATCACCCAGGAAATTCTAAATAATTTAGGAACTCTGTGTCAGGAAATGGGTCAAAGACCAAAAATTAGAAACTTACCTTGTTCTTTGAATGGATTTACTTATGCATGATTTTATCATACCATGGAAAAGATTTCATTCTAAATGTTGGAAGAATGTCTACATTCTAATACAAATCAAAATTGTTAATCACTTGATTTCCCCAGAAAAGCTTTTAGGTGTTGGGAAGATGTATGCATAGTGATAGAAACAAGTTTTCCAAAGTTACCATTTTTGCTTGAAAAGTCCACATTATTCATTGGCAACACATACCCTCATTTGTTCTCCCGCAGGTGACAGGCTCACTTTGTTTATTCTCTAGAAAATATCTGCCAAACTCTGAAGTTTGATTCCTCCTAGTTTGTAGTTTGTTAGTTGTTTTTTCAAGTAAAAATAGTGTTCCATGAAAAAAAAAAAATCAGCCAGTTTAATTGGCTTGCAACTCAAGCATTGCACTAGTGTTTTCTCTTGAGCAAAAGCTTAACTTTGGATGCAGCAGAAGTACTATGCATACTTCCTGTTTTGTTATATAGAATTAAAAGAATACGTAAATCTGTGTTTGAGATTTAATACAATAAAATTTTCCCTTTTTATCAAGGATCTAAGAGAAACTGGCTTTTTTTTTTTTTTTTTTTCAGTAGTGAGTATGTATAGTTGTAATACAGTGAATTGCCCAAAGAACTTGGTGGTAACTGCCTCGATTTGTGCAAAGATGCTGTTGTTTTGTATCATCAGTGCAAATATGATACGGGAGGAAAGGCAAATAGCATCTTAGTATTTTTATGAGAATATTTTTTTACTTATGGAACCCCCTTCTCTTAGGGTCATGGGGGAATACCCAAGGCTCCATTAACCACTCTTGGAGATCTGCTAGTATAGAGGAAAGATTTAATAGTTAGAAGACTTAAATTTAAAGCCTGTCCACCATTCTTTATTCTTAATGATGGTATATTTCATTTCTCACAACTTCAGTTATTTATGAAATAGGGTTAAGAACACTTTGCCTTGTTTTTTGCTTTTATGTTGCTTGAGTTACAATTAAATTATGAAAGCTCTAATTATAAGTTGTTGCTATTTCTAAATGAGTTTCTGCTCCAGTCAGTTTCCTTTACTTGTCAGACATGAAACGGTAAATACTCTAGATCGTCTCAAAGGAGAAATTTAATACAGGTGATTAGGATCTTAAAAAAAGAAAAATCACTGGATAGATTGGGGGAGGGATCTTTAGTTCAGCCTTGTGAAATGATCCCCAGATTCTTATAGGACTGGCCAGCCAGGGAAGCTGCTCCCTCTGCCACTCTCAGGAAGGTAGTGAGTGAATCTGGAGGCTGCCTCTGGGACATGAGTTCAAGAACATACTTCTGGTAGTGAGTGAATCTGGAGGCTGCCTCTGGGACATGAGTTCAAGAACATACTTCTGGTAGTGAGTGAATCTGGAGGCTGCCTCTGGGACATGAGTTCAAGAACATACTTCTGGTAGTGAGTGAATCTGGAGGCTGCCTCTGGGACATGAGTTCAAGAACATACTTCTGGTAGTGAGTGAATCTGGAGGCTGCCTCTGGGACATGAGTTCAAGAACATACTTCTGGTAGTGAGTGAATCTGGAGGCTGCCTCTGGGACATGAGTTCAAGAACATACTTCTGGTAGTGAGTGAATCTGGAGGCTGCCTCTGGGACATGAGTTCAAGAACATACTTCTGGTAGTGAGTGAATCTGGAGGCTGCCTCTGGGACATGAGTTCAAGAACATACTTCTGGAGCTGCAGGCCAGAGGACAAGCAGGCAGGATTAGGTAACTGCCACTGAGCTATGCCTGAACATTGGAATGCAGAGTCTAGTTGCCACTTCTACTCTCTGTCTCTTGACATCCCCGAATCTGGAAACTGGACCCTGGAATGCTATGTGGAACAACCTGTATCTCTTCAGTCGTGCTGGAGAAAATAGCCCGAAGGAGCAGAACAGTGGCTGCCCGCTCACTTCTGTGCTCTGTGTCCCTGTTAGTGCATCTAGCTGGTGGAGCCTAAATTCTATTCAGAACCATGTAACTGTAAGTGAATTGGGAAAACAGATTTTGTTTTGTTTTGTTTTAATCTTTCTACCTTCTGCAGTTGAGGAAAGCACACTAGGAGGATGAGGGAATGGAGTCTGAGGGCTAATTAATCATGTCCCCCAAACCGGTTTTTCTGCTGCTTTGTGATTTTCAAATTATTTTTTTTACTTCCATTATTCTCTCTTTACTCACTTGAGTTCTAGCCATTATTTAATAACCAAGATAGTTCTCATTTTTTGAGGTGCATTCATGCCTCTCTAGTCCTAGCTTCTTCATCAGTTTTGAAGCTGGACTGGATGGCTCTACCCAGGCGATATCCATCTACAACTGTGATCTAGGTGGACTTGGGTCTTGTAAGCAAGACTTAGGAAACCTTCGGCCTTCTGGTGTACGTAGGCGTGCTCCATCATTTCAGTACCTTGCTGTATTCTGTTCTACATTTTACTTGACTGAATTTTTTTGGACCCTACTTACTACATTTTCATGAAGTTTTATTATACTCTCTACAGACCTTTAAAAAACACCTTCCATAGCCAACTATTATTTCTACTATTTTTAATATTTTTTTTTGTAAGTGACTTCAGAGAGAAAGTGTGGGTAACAATAGAAGTAGACTTTTGAAACTGTCAATATACATTATTTCTTTCTCAGTAAGTGTGGCATATTCTTTTTGAGTAACTACATATAACCCTAGAGTCAGATGGTAAAATGCAGGCATTTTATTTCCCATCCCCTACTCCTTTTTATGTTTCCCCTCTTGCAAATTTTTTTTATAAGATTACAAAGAAAAAATGTAATTTTTAACGTATCTCAAATACAAATAAACAAAATGAATATAAAATGTACCCAAAATACCTGTAAGCATAAGCCTAAGCACACAAAGCTATAGCTTTCTGTCTTATCATACTGTTTTGTAACCCTCTACTTAGCAATATATTATGGTTCTTATGATAATGGGGGTATTATTGCCATCTTTTGAGTGAAGGAAATTGACCAGTATATATTGGAAAATTGGATTAAAAAGTTTTTTTCTGAGGGTAATAATGGCTATTGCCGCTATTCTTTGGAAAAAGAATACTTAGAGCATCAAGACTATTTTCTTTCTAACAAAAGAAAACGATATCATTTATTTGTATATTTCTTTTTGTGAAATGAGAAGTTTTTTTTAATGGAGAGGACTGCATGTTCATTCAGTAATTTAGATGGTAGAGAAGTGTTTAAAATAGAAAGTGAAAGGTCCTGATACTTCCTCTTCCCATAACCCTCCTCCTCAAAATTAACCACTGTTAACAGTTTAATACATTCTTCCAGTCTTTAAAAAATGTATACATATACACTTGTTTATGTATTTATGGTCAGTTAGTTCTGAAGCATAATTTTGGAGATCTTAGTTATTAATTATTATACTTCGTTAGATAATGTCTAGGTGGTAGTATGCATGAACTGTAATGTATGTATATTTGGATTAACTTCAGAAAGCATAAATGTAAATGTTTAATTATGTTGATTTCAATTTTTGTTGGTAAAATCCTGTTTTTAGCAGTCTTTCTGCTTATTAGCTTTTAATCAGAGGCTTTGTAGTAAATATTGAGATTCCTGTGCAGTGAAAAATATTTATGCTCTTTATGCTTTAGGCATATTTTTTAGGGAAGAACATTAAATTTTAAATTATAACCAATTTAAAATGTGTTTGCATTCTCTTCAGAGAGGCTCTTACGGAGAATTAAGTTGGTGCTGACTTTGGTTTGAAAAGATATATTGGGTATAAAATCCCCATGATAAGAATTACCTTCATTTTGTTTGACTTTTAATTTTGAGAAAGATAGTTTTGCTTTTCAGATGTGATTGATCTCACTGGAGATGATAAAGATGATCTTCAGAGAGCAATTGCCTTGAGTTTGGCGGAATCAAACAGGGCATTCAGGGAGACTGGAATAACTGATGAGGAGCAAGCCATTAGCAGGTAAAAACATAATTTGTATAAAGTAGATATAAGTACTTTTTATAATAGAAATAATAATTGGCTTTAATTTCAAGAGGCACAAAGATATACTTTGTTATTCTAAATAAACCCATTAGTAAACTTTAGCATTGTTTTTATATTTTTTTAACTAAAATTTCCATATTCTAGTTCTGACTACATTTGGAGTTTAGATTTTTAGGATTTTGGAGTGGCAATATGAGGCATTTAATTTAGGTGTATATTTTAATATTTTTTTGATTTGTTTTTTCTTCCCTCATCTCTTTTGGATACATTGTCCAATTCAGTTTGTAGTCATTTATAGCAGGGGTCAACAAACATTTTATGTAAAGGGCCAATAGTAAATACTTCAGGCAATATTGTTGGCCATTTGGTTCCTGTCACAATTACTTATCTCTAGGATAGTAGTGCTAAAGCAGCCATAGATAATACATAATTTAATGAGTGTGGCTATGGTTCAGTAAATCTCGTTTTAAAAAAACAGGCTGCCAGCTGAATTTAGCCCACGGGCCTTAGTTCTCTCCATCTTCTGATCTATAATATAATAGTATATTTGTAGGCTTTTTTTTTTTCTAAGAAATGGGCAAGATTCCAAGATGTGTGATAGAATGTATCTTTTGGTTTAATAATGAAAACTTTTTAGTTTGAAACCTTTTGATTCATTTATGGATCAAATACAAATAAATTTGACCTTATCATGAAACAGTGTTGATTAAAAAAATCCTTAAAATATAATATAATCTTCTAAAGAACTCTATGGAGGTAGTGGTAACTATTTTATTGAAGAAGAAATTGATCTTTTAAGAGGTTAAATGATTTTCCAAAAATACACAGCTAAAGTAAATCTTATGACTCCAGTGTTCTTTTCCCTTTAATACAAATTGTTTGGATGTACCAGCTTTCTCAGATAATTTCCCTTAGCATGGTATCATTAGTATATTTCTTTCTAAGTAATCTGAGATTACTGTGTGGTGGTAGATGTCTCAAAATGCTATGTTTAGCAGGCACATAATTTTTCTTAGTAATACTTTTTAATATCTTTAAATGTTACTTTGGAAATGTTACTTCATAAGACATTATAGTAAGATGGAAAGACTTAAATTAAAATTCATTGTCCTTTTCAATTGGGGGTAATACCAATTAATGCCAGTAATTTTAAATGAAAAACCAAAAATTCATACATTATCTTTAGACATTGTAATTAAGCTTATTTTCTGAAGGATTTAAAGAAATTGTAAAATTAGGTTTGTTTCAAACAATGGATTGGAATGAAATAATTGTCTTGAGTAATTATAAAACTTGACTAAACTTTGATGAGAAATATTTTAAACGTGAAATACATGAGTTGGATATCATTTAAAGGATATCATCTATTATGTGTAAAAAATTATAAAATAGAACATATACCATATTATATATGTATTATATATATTTGTACATAAATTTATGCCATAATACATACCTAAATATATACCAAATCCTGTTTTTAAAAGTATATGTATATTTTTGTTTAAATGAATTTATATTAGTATATAAATAGAATAAAGTCTGGAAGCTTATATACTTATAAATAGTGGCAGTAGTTTTGTATCATGTGTTTTCAAATTAAAACAGCACGTACTAATTAGTTAATAAGTAAAAATAACTTGAAAGTTAAAGGATTAAAATTATTCCTAATCTGTTATAAAGTTCAATGTATATTTTATATATTTTTCTAGATACTCATTTTTGTCTAGATGGAAATAAATATCTCTTAAGATGGTATTCTTTTTTATTCTTGGTCTTCTAAATTTTAATAAACTCTTAAAATAGTGAATACTTTATAAATATTTTTATTGTACATTACAGAGATTTGGTGTAGTGTAATATGCCATAAAATGTTGCATAAAATTATGTTCTGTAGAAGTAAATGTCATATTAATTTACTGTTACAAAATACAAGTTTTTTGTGGTATGTGTAGATTTTATAATTTACAGTTAAAAAAGTGTTAAATGTAAAATGTGCAGTTAATAAGCACATATGTAAATCTTTGTGTCAGAAAAAAGGAAATGTAAGAATTCTAGCTAAACATTTGGCAAAGAGATATTTGTTCCTATGGGTTTATTAATAGGCTTAGGATTCTAAATTCAAAAGGGGAAATGATGTATTTTTAAGAAAAAGCATATATATCATGCTTAAAAGTATATATTTATTCATTACTTAAGTTCACATAACAAAATTTTGCCAAATTCCTCGAATCATTTGATGATGGTTATATTTTAGCAGACATACTTTAATATGAATTCATACATTTGGAATACTACATTATAATTATTTGAGTTACAGCCTATCTTTTTATATCTTAAAACCCTTTGTTTAAGTACTCATAAATTTCATGGTGAAATTTCTTAAGAAATTGAACATTTTTAAAGTGTGCTTCTTAATATAATTACTCCTTAATGTCAGGATTGGATGTATTAATTTAATTATCTCTTGGTTACTAATGCTTAGATAGGGAATAAGTGGAATATGGATAGTTGAAATTTGCTAATAAACTACATTGTAATTGATTTGTGTCTGTGTTGTGTTTGTTGTGAAAATGACTTGCCTCATGAAATGACTTTGAATTAATTGGGTAGAAGATTGGGAGCCACCTGGGGGTTTTCCCAACCAGAATGGCCTAGAGTTGTCATTAGGACAAAGAAAAAAGCATCATGTCAAGGAATGGTTAGGGTGGGTGGGATTCTGAATTTTTAAAATAGGTTTCTATAACTCCCACCCTTTTCATCCTGATCATTACTTAGGAAGCTGTTGTGAGAGGAAACTGCCTTAAGAAGATGTGTTGAACAGGAGTAGATGAGGGAGGCAATTACAAATCTTTTTAAATTGATTTGTGAAAATAATTCTAGGGCTCAACAATATCACATGCCTGTGGATTGTTGAAGATCCATAGAATGCTTATTATTCCATGTTTTGAGTGGCTCTTATGATAAAAAGGTACACCACTGTCAGATTAAAAGTGGTCTGGAAAAATTGAAAATATGAAACAGATTAGTTTCAAGGGCTGCAAGATTGTGGTCAGAGTTGACTGATAAGACTGGAATAGCAATGCTGTAACTTGAAAAAGTGTCAATAATGAGGCACACTGATAGTCCCAAGAAGGGTTGGGGTGAGTAAGGGGAGAGGTGGGTGGTCAGAGGTTCTTTGTAGTCAGTCTTCCAGAATTGGGCAGGAGTCACACCCCATACAGTGTATCATTCCTCATCATGAGACAGGTCAACTTTTGGCAGGAGTCACATGTCTGACAGGCAGTGGTAGCCTCTGTCAGAAACATAGAATCTCTTAAATTGTCCTCAACATATGATTGTGGATATGTTGCCCTGCTGGGTATGATGGTAGATTGCAGCAGTGATGGTCATCTGGGTAGCGCATACTTGCTGAGCCATCCCATTAGAGAACAGGTACCACTGTATATCTATCACAATGGCTAAAATGAAAAAATAGAAAATACCAAGTGTTGGTGAGCATATGGAGTAACTGGAATGGTCACATATTGTTGGTAGGAATGTATAATGGAATTGCCACTTTGGAAAACTGGGGATTTCTAATGAATTTCAACATATACTATGCTATACTTAGTGTTTCCACCCCTAGGTATAGACCCTTGAGAAAGGAGTACATAGTAGCTTTATTGATAATAACTAAAAACTATAAACAATTAAAACTTGACACAAAAGAGTAACTGCTGTGTGATTCCATTTATGTGATGTTTAAGGACACGCAAAATGAATTTATGGCGATAGAAGTCAGAATGTTAATTTTCTGGCAGGTGGAGAGGACACTGTTGGCTGAAAAAAGGGTATGAGAGAATTTTCTAGAATCCTGGAAATTTTCTGTATCTTGATCTGGGTGGTGATCACATGGGTGTATACATATGTAAAAAGTTTCACTGAGCTGTACATTTAAGATTTGTGTATCTTATCATATGCAGATTATCCCTCTATAAAGTACTCTTTACAAAAAAAGCATGTTTTGAGCTGTTTGATAATCAATATGCAAAAACTATTTCTATATATAAAAAAGAATGATAGGGAGGAATTTTAAAAAGCTACCATTTATAACAAAACTGTGAAAGACCAAGAATAAATTTAATGAATGTGCAAGAACTTCCAAGAAGAAAATTGGAGGATATCATTGAGACACATTAATGAATATGTAAATAATTGGAAATGTATTTCACAAATTGGAGCACTGAACGTTGTAATTTTTTGGCGGGGGGCAGAGAGTGGAGGGGCAGAAGGAGACGGGGAGGGAGAGAATCTTAAGTAGGCTCCACGTCCAGTGCAGAACCCCACGTGGGGCTCAGTCTCACAACCCTGAGATCATGACCTGAGCCCAAATCAAGAGTCAAGACTCTTAACTGACTGCCCCACCCAGGTGCCCTGGAGGACTGAACATTGTAAAAATGGTCAGTTCTCCTTAAACTGACTCATGGATTTAGTGTGATTCTAATAATATCATTAAAAAAAAAATGAAATCAAAAAAATGTTTCTTTCTTCCTTCCTTCCTTCCTCAGCTTAAATGATGTGTATGTCTTTCAGTGAGTATGTTTCCTTAAATGTACTTAGATGATCTAAAGTGGGATGTTTTCAACATTACTGCTATAATGCAATTTAAGTAATTTAAATTTAAACAATACAAACATAAAACTAGCGTAAAAACCCAAAAAACAAAATCAGTACAATAAAAATTTAATGAGGAGGTGAACATTTATCATAACTAAGTGCTTTAAATATTCCATATAGAGTGTGGAAGGAAAAGGGCAAAACATTTTGTTATCCTTTTATCTTGCTGCATGGTCATGACCAGTGTTGGGAAGATAAGAAAGCAGGTGACGGGTAGTGAGAATTGGTTTTTGATTTGTGGCTTTTGGGGTTGCCTTTCTTGGCATGCTGTATTTTGTTATAACTATTTCTGAGCTCTGAGATTTGCAGTGTTAATTTTTTTCTTGTTTTTTCCTCTACTGACAGACTTAATACCTGGGTTTGTAGCTATTGCATACTTTATACTTCCAAGCCTGGGTAGTATCAGTGGCTTTACTTTGGTGAGGCCAGTAAAGGAACCCTTGTGTAGCACCTGGCTTTATAGAAAGTTTATATTCATTTTGCCAATACTGGACTACAGAAAGGGATGGGGCCTTGGGAATAGAGTAATATTTGGGCTAGAGCTTGGGCTTTTGCTAAAAAAATAGCAAAGAGATAGCAACATCTAATATCTTAATCATCCATTTACTTCAAACTTTGTTTAGCCCCTAGTATTTATCATGTATGCTTTAGGAATGAAACAGCTCTGTGTTTCTACCCTTCAGATGCTGAGTAATAAATAATTTTGGTGCAGTATGGTAAATGTATTCATAGTTTTTTAGGAGCCAGGAAGAGGTGGTAGGAAACTTACTGAAGCATGTTTTAAATCCCTGGTGATATAAAACTTTGTTATAAGCTCTAAATCAAGAAGATCACAAAGTCATGGTATTCTTTCATCCATATCTTTTAGTAACTTGTGCCATATGGTATGGTTAAGGAATATTACAATAAACCTATTTCTTTAAAGTCCATATTTTTGTTATGATGAATGATGAGATCTACCATATGACTGAATTGAAGATATCTTTTATATATGACCACTGGTGCTAATTCTTCTGTTTTTGTGGTATTGTTGCTACTTTTCCCAGAATGCATGGCTTGTTTTAGTTCATTCATCTCTAATTACCAAGGTAGAAATAAGTTTCCCTTATTTATACTTCTAAATATACATGTACATTACAAAAAGAACAAAATTGTCAAGTGAAAACTCTCAGTATAAAAGTCAATAAAAAATTAAATATACCTTCTTATATACAGCAGTCTTTTGTGTTATATTTGGCTTTTATATACTATGTATTAACTTTTCTCCTTTGAGCATAAACTTAGTTTCCTTGCACAAAATCAGTTTGTTCCAGTTTATTCTTATTATGCTGAACTGAACAGCTTGAACAGTAGGAAGTCTTTCAGGTTGGCTTTTTGACTTTTTCTCTTCCCCTTACGTTCTTGAAAACTTGGTAACAGTGGGGTGTTCTAGATAAATTCTGATTTTCTTCCGCCCCAATTCACCTATCTAAATACCTTCCAAGGAATTGTGGTACCTTCTAGTGGTAAATAGTTTATAAGAAAAAGCCTCCTAGGGACTGTGGTTGCATGTAAGAGCTGATTTTTGGGCAGAGTACTGCTGCTAATGTTGGATCACTTTTAATAGTTTACAGAAGTGTAAATTGTTCATTTTTAAATGTGTGAATGTACTTTGATCTTTGCATTATAACATATCATGTTGTTGTTACCGGCTATTTTTGGGGGTGTGGTTTCATTGATTCCCAAAGAAAGGCCTTATCCTGTATTCATATAAGTTATTTTAAATAATGATAAGTTTGAATCCTACTGCATTGTATCTAACATCATGTTGAAAATAATGCTGTTAGAGATAAAAGTATAATTTACTTTTTCTCCATAATTAAGGAATATAGCTATATTAATTTGACATTAATCTGATAGGGCAAAATCTTTAAAATAAAGATGGTATAGCATGAATGAGATTTTCTTTTTTTTTTTAAGATTTTATTTATTTGACAGAGAGAGCACAGCAGAGGCAGGCAGAGGGAGAAGCAGGCTCCCCGCCGAGCAAGGAGCCCGATGTGGGACTCGATCCCAGCACCCTGGGATCATGACCAGGGACGAAGGCAGCCGCTTAACCGACTGAGCCACTCAGGCGTCCCTGAATGAGATTTTCTTAAGCCATAATGTTGGAAAAACTCATTCTTGCTGAGGTTTTTAAAATTAACCCAAAATTAATTAAGACACCTGAAAATTACTTAGCTTATTTAGAGTAGTTAATAACCTAGGTCTTGAAGCAGGCAAAATGCTTTGTTAGTTCAGATGTGGGAATCAGGATTTTCCAGCATGTTGCTGCATGCTTAAGAGCAAGAACAGCATGTAAATGCTTCTTTAAGCAAAGTAGCATTATTCTTGCCATGTTTAGGTGTACTAAGATACTCTGTAGGTAAGCTTATTTTGAAGAGGTAAACCTTTTATTATTCTGATATGTATGTAGGTCAACTTTTGGGTGAAGAAGTAAACACATAAATATTCTCTTTAGTTAGCTGTCATAGAGTCCTAGATCTCTAGAACTGAGAGGAACCCTAGAATTTACCTTAGCTTTTTTTTTTTTTAATAGAAAAGGGAAATTAATGGTCAAAGGAGTAAAAATGCAGTTTGTTCAGTTTTTAATGTTTTCCTAATGATTCGAAGCAACTGTTATAAAAAACTAGTCTTGTTATTTTGTAAATATTTACTATAGTGATTTCTTAGAAAACTTGCCTAGGTGCTATCTATATTCCTGGTACTAAACCTTGAATTCGTTGAAACATAATTTAACATATTTTCTGTTTTATAACACTGTCTTTGTGCATTTGAGATTTCCTTTTTTCTTAGGAAAAAAGGCTGCATGTCTCTTGATATGTTTGCCACTGCTATATTCTTAAAGAAAACTAACTTCTACTTGAGTAAAGTCAGTGTTTAATAGTACTTCCCCAAATACATTATCCAGAGCTTAAGTAATTAAAATCCTGTTTGTGGTATGTTATTTCTTTGGGTATGGCATGAAATTAATACTGTATTTTTCTTTTTTTCATCATTTTCTCCCCATTGCTTAAGAGTTCTTGAAGCCAGCATAGCAGAAAATAAAGCATGTTTAAAGAGAACACCTACGGAAGTTTGGAGGGATTCTCGAAACCCTTATGATAGAAAAAGGCAAGACAAAGCTCCTGTGGGACTGAAGAATGTTGGCAATACTTGCTGGTTTAGTGCTGTTATTCAGGTAAGGATCTTCACACAGGTCTTAACTTGGTGGGTATGATAGCAATGGAAAGTGGATTGGGGTTATGTTTCTTTTAAATCGTGTACTTTAAACATAAATGCAGGCAAGGTTTTAATATGCCCTTCTGTCTAATGAACTCATTTGTGGACTGTAGGACTCCTCACTTCTCCCTTATCCTTACCCCCAGTATGGAGTTTTGACAGTAGAGCACTGCCTATGCCTTTCACTTATTTCAAATTAATCTCTGCTCCCTCCCTGTTAGGAATTGTTATCAGAGTGGAAAGGGTGAAAAACGTTTTTTGTGTGTAATTCTCTGCAAATTTTGAGGAGATAACCAAGATATGAAACCCGATCTGTTTTCGTTGTTGTTGTTAATCAAATCAGGTTTATTGTATATAATGGAAAATGTTATTCATAGAATTATAGTCATTTAAATACTCTTCTTAATATAAGGAGGTATTTTGTTTGAGGAGGGTATAGATTGACGTAATTCTCAATGCATATGTGAGAATGATGTAAAGAATAAATACTAATAGTTAAAAGTAACACTTTTTTTTTTTTTAACTTAGAAGACCCTTATGAAATGTTTCTTGAGATCCTTATTCTAAAGTGAAGAATTTCTGTATGCATAGTTATGCATCTTCTTAATGTGGACTAGATTTCTTTCTTGTTTTTTAGTTCTTCTTTTATGAGATATGACTATTATTATTTTTTACTATTTTTAGTTCTTTACCATTTTCAGTTAGACATTGATAATGTTATCCATCAGATTATAAAACATTGAATTAAATAATTTCCTTAAAACAATCTATGAATAATTAATTTTTATTACCCTTTAAAAATATTTTGTTTAATTTTCCTAATGCAGTTGAATTGTATCTTACTATTTAGTATTCCTGATGAGTACTATTTAAATCATTTTGTATGCCATTTCTTTTTATATTCAAAACATCTCTTCATTCTGTAGCTTTCCAAGCCAGTATGTATGATGGCATAAACTTCTTTGTGATAGTAAAGCAGCTAACTCTGGTTATTTAGTTCATTTTCTTTAAGATTGTTAATTGTGTTCTCTAGGTGATTAATCTGTAGTTTTAACTTTTTTCCTACTTCAGTGTTACAATTTCCAACTTCCCCCCACTTTTTTGCGTGGCACGTCATACCATACAATTTGATTAACTTTGGTTTTCTAGATTTATGTCTCACTCTTTAATATTCTTTGGCATATACTAGTTAGCGATATGCTATACTGTTTGTTTTTCAGGCTATTAAAATGTTAAGGAATACTTGAATTATTATAAATCTATAATAATACCTTTGTTCCTATCCTTGATTAATTATTAATGAATATTTAGATATTCATAATATCTAAAATTTTATTAGTTTTTGTCTTGCTTCACTTTATTTGCACTGTAAGAGTTTTTACATTTATTGTCCAATTTAAATTTTATAATTTAGACATCGTTTAAAAGTATGAAGCACAGTTTTAAGGCTGTGATATGAGTCTTTATGAATACACTTTGCTGCCTGTATTTGGACAAGTAGGTGCTATCTCTACACTATAATGGCCAATTAGTGAGGCTCCTTCATTAGAAGCCTCTTTCAGAAACCTGTTAGAAGAAAGTACTTAAAAATAGTCAGTATTTGTTAGTTAGAATAGGTGCCTTTTATTTCTCTACACCATGTTGTAAGAAAGGCCTGTTTGAAATGATAACTAAATTCATACTAACAGAAATGGGGATAACCACTTTTTGTTTTCATAGGATAAACTTCTTTCAGTATCTTAGTTCAAATTTGAAACAGTGGTACATCTATTTCTACTCTAAGTGGTGTTTGCTGATCTTAGCTTTTGTTTTACTTTTCAAATTTTTGGTTTTTTTGGTGGGGAGGAGAATGGGCTGGAAAAAATTGCTTGTCCTATTTAAAAATTGAAGTAATTTTTACTGATTTCTAAATTTTTCCTTAAATTACTGGCTGTTTAACTGGTAGCATCCTAAAATAGGCTAGTATAGGGTTCTTGGGATTATTGTTAATAATATATTTTTTAATTCTTTTTGGAGAAATCTGGATACCTAGGAGAAGTGACCTAGCCTTGAAAAGTTTGGGTTATAATGAAGTATTAGATCATTGGCTTTAGGTGTGTGGAAATATATTATAAACTTCAGGTTTTGGAAAAGTGTGGATGGGAAGAAGAATTTGTCAAAAGATCACTTCAGGTTTTTTTTTTTTCCTTACTGTAATTTTACTGTATTCTATTTAAGTAACTTTTCATTTTCATCTCTAGTAATTGAAATCTTTTATTTTTTTCATTTTGTGACATTATTGTTTAATTCCACAGATACCATCTGAGATGTAAAAGTTTATCATCATAAATGGAATTTTTCACCTATGAAAGAAAAGTGGGGCAGGAAATCTCTGTTAGTGTTGGAAGTTTCTTATTGTATTTTCCCAAGTGAATTGGAACTTGTTCAAACTATGATGTAAATGTACTATAAGGTTTCAATTACAAAATTTTCTCAGGGATGGAATTTACTTAGTTGGCAGGACTAGTGTGAAACAATTGGGACTTCTTTTCCTTGTAAGTATATCTGCCAATTATAGAAATTTCCTTGGATAATAAACCTCTAACTGCAAAATAGGTAACAGGGATAGGCTACAGAGGGTACAGCTTTATACTTGTCTTTTTAGGTACTGGGACCAATATTTTGGGAGAAAAGGGACACAGTATCAGAAAGGGACTATAAATAGGGAGAAGATGGGACAGAGGATGGCTTAAATAATCTTGTGGATGGTAGCAATATTAGCCTGACTGTTCTAGTTTGAGCATTAACCCCTTAGCTTGTCAGGAGTATTTTTATCCTGGAACTTACACCTAGAAAGGACTAATGGGGGCTGCTTTTTCTCCACTAGGGTATCAGTGAATGAGGTAGCTACTTAGAAGCATACTCCTCTCTTGCTAGTTTGGGGTGTAATTTATGGATTCTCATGATGACCCTTGGTACCTTTCTCATTTGGATGCCTCTGAGATGCTCAGAAGTAAGGTGTTCATCCTTCTCAGTTTGCCTTGTACAGCTCCAGTTTACTTCTTTTGTAGATCTACTGGTGCCTCTTATTAAGTCTTAAAGCTCTCTTTCAGAATTAAAAGAATTGTGAGTTGGAAGATAAAGGATATGGTCGGTCACCTTACTCATAAGTCATGTAACTCCGGTTTGACTAAAATATGAGCATCCTGAAGGCAGAGAACACATCTTCTAGGTTATTGTTTTATATCAGTATAGAATACAGTGTTTGACACATTGGAAAAAGTAGGATATATTATTTATGGTGGAATTGAAGACTTAAGATGCTTTTATCACTCTAATGATGAATGGGATTGAGAAGATGGTGCAATTTTTCAAAAAATGTTAGGATATCATTTAACATGTTTATTCACATTGTTTGCTCTTAAATCTTTAATTTTCATAAAAAATTTAAGTACCTGGTTCAAAGAGAAAATAAAAAATTCCATAGCAATAAAAGGCTTATGATGAAAAACAGTAGTAATCTGCCCCAAACCTCCCTACTTCACAGTCCTGCTTCTTAATAACAACTACAACCAGTTCTAGCTGTTTTTCCTTTTATCTTCATTTTTCTAAATGACATGCCTTCCTGATGAGATAAATGGGGATTTAGCTGTCTCATTTCACATACCTAGAATTGCCTTTTCTTTCATTCCCAACATAGTTATAGCGTAAGTTTAAAATAGTCAGTAGTCAGTGTTTACATTTTTCTATGACTTTGTAAACATTACAGTGATTTACTGGGAGTAGCCCTTTGTAATCCTTTGTTTTTTTGGTGTTGTCAGGAAGACACCTTTTTTTTCTTTCTATTTTGTATATACTTATTCTTAAAGTTTTGTAAATACTCTTAACATCTCTGTTGTGGTCTTAATGATATGTTCTGTATTTGTAAACATATTAGCTCTATTTCTTTCTTTCTTTTTTTTTAAATTTGTTTCCCTTTACCACGGAAGGTTTCTCTGTCTCAAGTCCAAGCTGGATTCCTATTCTTTGTGTTTTAAGCATGATTGCTGGCTTTCCAAAGCAGGCCTAAGGGAAAGGAGATTGTGGAAGGGTCGATTGGGGATCACTTTGCAGGGTTTTTACTTAATCCTCCCATTTGTAGCCCTGAATCTTATTCCCTCTCACACACTATGACTGATTTTTCTGAACCCAAGTCAGTTTAGTTCAATTATATCCAAAGACTAAATATCCTGTATCCCACAGAAGGAGGTGGTATTTGTCTGACCTTTCTGTATCTGGGAAGGACATGGGGATTTAACTGCTCTGTATACAGACTTTTATCTTTTAATCATGCCATCTGTTTTCAGTCCCTACCTTACCTTGAACTTTAGTGATACTATTCCTTTTTTTTTTTTTTAATCCACCAAGGAGAATTGATCTTGCTTCTCCTCAGTGTCTTCATTATAGACAGTTTATATCCCTTTGCTCTCTTGTCATCACTCTTTGTCTTCCACAAGTTATTTGAAATCTCATCTCTCATAGCTTTCTGTTATTAGCAAGAGTTTAACCAAATTCCATTTTACCAAGTGCTCTTCAAATATACCTTTTAGCTTTGGACTGAGTGAAAGGATACTTGTTTTCAGGGTGCATCAATCACAAACACAATTTAGGCAGTGGTGACAATTACCCTTTCCCATCTTTCTTGAAGAAATATGTTGACCAATACTATTATGACTGTGATTGAGGATACAGTGTTAGTGACTTAAAAACATTAATTTCCATGATTCATTGTAATGGTCACAAGTTCTACTTTGGGTAATAGCTTGTTAGGTTGTTTTAGACTGTCTACCTGGTGGTATTTTGTTGGAATCTAACCCAACCAAACCAAAACAACAACAACAAATCAACTTTTGAAGACTATATCACATAACACTAAAGCAGTGTGGGATTTTGAGGCTAAGCTCTGAGAAAACTGGATTTTTAGAATAAGCTTCATTTGTTGGGTTGATTTTTATCCTTGAGTAATTCCAGAAGTGGCTGCTGAGTGGCTGGGAAGGTAAGCAAAGTTTTGTACAGACTTGGAGTGTTAGTAAACACTTTTGTTAAATTCGAGAGGGCTAGAACCTTGGATTAATGAGAACTGAAAATAGGCCAGGCTTCATAGTTTTTGAATCCCAGTGCATCTCAGAATTGTTTGGTTTAAGTTGATCTGGGATTGCAAATGGCCCAGTTTTGCTGCCTGCCAGAAGGAAATGTAAATTCTTGTAGAAGGTACTATTATCTAGAACTTAGAATTTTCTCTACTTTTCACATAAAAATAAATGTTTAGCACTCAAATCAGTCATAATCATACTAGGAAATAAGGTATATCCAAAAATTAAGATAAAATAACCAGCAGTATGAAACCTGAAAATTGGATTGTTTATAATATCTATTAATATGACCAAGGAATTAAAAGCAAGATTGAGAATTTGAGTAGAAAAGTAAACTATTAAAAAAAAGCAAAATAGAGATTTTAGAACTGAAAAATAAAGTTAAGAAATTAATGGATGACTTTAGCAGTGTATTTGACACAATTGAAGAGAGAATTAGTCAACTGGACAATTGGTCTGAAGAACATTTTCACACTAAAGCCATGAAATACAGATAAGAGCATATAAGAGATATTTTGGGCATGATGAATAGTTCTAACATAGTGTATTTATGGTTCCAGAGGGAGAGTAAAAAGGGAACAGGGCAAAAAAAATAATTGAAGATATGACTGAGAATATTCCAAATTTATTAAATGAGATCAAGCCACAGATTCTGGAAGCAGTAGGAATCGAGTAGCATAAATATAAAGAATACTGTACCAAGGCACATCTTAATAAAATGGAAGAAACTATAGACAAAGAGAAAATCCTAAAAAAGTAGCGAGGTGGGAAAGATGTACAGGCATACCTTGGAGATACATGGGTTTTGTTCCATACCATCACAATAAAGTGAGTATCTTAACAAAATGAGGCAAATGAATTTTTTGGTTTCTCAGTGCATATAAAAGTTATGTTTATGCTATTCGGTATATAGTAACATTATATTTAAAAAAACAATGTACATATCTTAAATAAAAAATAATTTATTGCTAAAAATGCAGTTTTCAGTGGGTCATAATCTTTTTGGTGGTGGAGGGTCTTATTTCAATATTGATGGCTACTAATTGACAAGGGTGGTGGGTGCTGAAGGTTAGGGTGGCTGTGGCAATTTCTTAAGATAAGATGGCAGTGAAGTTTGCCACATCAGTTGAATCTTCCTTTCACTTGAACCCCTAGGGGCCCTTGTAGGGTTGCTAATTGGCCTAATTTCAGTATTGTTGTGTCCCAAGAAATAGCGAGGCCTGAGGAGAGGGAGAGAGATAGAGGAATGGACAGTTAGTGGGGCAATCAGAACACCTACAACATTATTGATTAAGTTTGCACATGCCCCAAAACAATTACATTAGTAATATCAAAGATCACTGATCATCGGTCACCATGACAAATAAAATAATAGTGAAAAATTTTTAAATATTGTAAGAATTACCAAAATGTGACACAGAGACACAAATGAATAAGTGCTATTGGAAAAATGGTGCTGGTAGACGTGCTTGACATAGGGTTGCCATAAAACTTCAATTTATAGGAAACACCGTATCTGCAAGACACATTAAAGGGAAGCACAGTAAAACAAGGTATGCCTGTATCACCTCTATAAAGAAGCAGAACTAGACTGACAGCTAACTTGTCAATAGAAATTCTGTCATTAAAGTGCTAGAAAAAATAACTGGCTGTCTAGAATTCTATAACCAGCAAAAATCTTACAAAAAATGAAGAAAAACAATTTTCACTCTAACAGAAGTGAAAATAATTCATCACCAGTAGGCCCACACCAGCAGAAATTCTAATTGTTCAGGAAGGTATTCAGGAAGAAGGAAAATGTTCCCCAATGGGAGCTTAGAGCAGAGAAATGGGATTGGGATTATCCTATTTTGTCATTATTCTCTTTCCTATTTAAATTTCTCCTAAAAACAGTCCATACTTGTTCCCTTTATATCCCATTTCTTCACTACCCATTGCTTGCTCTTCTTCCTCTACCATTCTGCTGAAAAGGTGACTTCCCAATTGCCAAATCCAAAGGTTAGTTTTTTGCCCTTTATTGGATTTGGCAACATTTGAGAGTATAGATGGCCCCAAATTTATCATGGTTCAACTTAGATTTTTTATGGTGGTGCAAAAGTAGTGTGTATTCAGTAGAAACTTTACCTTGAATTTTGATCATTACCTGGGCTAACAATATGCGGTACAATACTCTGGTGATGCGGGCTCCTACTCAGCCACATGGTCATGAGGGTAAACAACTGATAGACTTACAACCATTTTGTACCCATACAACCATTCTCTTTTTCACTTTCAGTATAGTAGTTAATAAATTACAGGAGATATTCAATATTTTTGTTATAAAGTAGGCTTTGTATTAGATAATTTTGCCCACCTTTACGCTAATGTGAGTGTTCAGAGCACTTTTGGGCTGGGCTAGGCTAAGCTATGATGTTTGGTCGGCTAGGTGTATAAAATGCATTTTCAACTTAGTGATATTTTATTTTATTTTTTTAAGGATTTTATTTGTTTATTTGACACAGAGAGACAGCAAGAGAGGGAACACAAGAAGGGGGAGTGGGAGAGGGAGAAGCAGGCTTCCCCCCGAGCAGGGAGCCTGATGCAGGGCTCCATCCCAGGACCCTGGGATCATGACCTGAGCCAAAGGCAGATGCTTAACGACTGAACCACCCAGGCGCCCTCAACTTAATGATATTTTAATCTTAGGGTGGGTTGATCTAGATGTAACACCATCGTAAATCAGGAAGATCTGAATTGCTAATCTTGCCCTTCTTGAAATTATCCATTGATTTGTTGATGTACTTCAGAGTTTTCTGTGGTACTTTATATCTTTGTTGAGAGGCTTCATAGGTATTTTTTAAAGTTCCACAATTACTCTGATACACAGCTGTGTTTGAAAGCACATGCTTCTCGAATCCTTTTTCTTTTTGATTACATACTCTTCACTTTCTATGCTATTCTTATTTTGTCAGAGACTCAATGTTTTATTTTCTGCTGCCTGTCTCCCTTGAGGTCTGCATGTAGTGGGTGCTCCATAAATATTTATTAAATGACTGAATAAATGAATTATCTCATGTGTTCATATTTAATAAAGAAATACTTGTGGATTCCAAGATAACCAAAATATTTTCCTATAGTTTCCGTTACAGCTTTGATTTTTCCTCTTGTATTTAGGTCTTTAAACCACATCCATATCTATATATATCTATATCTGATTCTTTTTCTTTATATGTAGTGGGCCAGTTTTCCCAACACCCAGCTCCTAAACAAAACCTTATTTTATCATTGATTTGTGGTGCTACCTTTATCTTCTATCACGTTGGCTCACACAGCTTTGCTAAGACCTCGTACATTATTGCCTCCTGTACAGTGATTTTCAAGGGTAGTAAACTGTGACTCCCAGAAGGGAATATTTTTTATATTGTAAAGCACTTAACACATATATGTGTATGTAAAATATGTACAATGAAAACTTTGCAAACAATATTCTGTGGTGCGTTTACTATGTATGACATGTTTTAATATTTTCAGTTGTATTTTATTTCATTTTTTTAGACAAATATTCACCATGATGATAATGTGTTACAGGCAATAGTTTAAAAAATAGTTCTAGGAAGCCTTTCCGTGGGTGGCTTTCATATGCTCTCACACTCTGTGAGATCAGTATTATTGTATGTTGGAGTCAAATTTCTATTGTTAAAATATCTGTGTGCTTTCTAGGCTGTGTGTCTCCTTGAGCATAGAGGTAATAAGTAATTTCTTTATGTCTCTGTCACCTAGCGACTGGCCCATAAATTTATTTGTACTATATTTTGGTAGAATTGATACCTCAAGATAACTCAGTGAACATAATACATCTAAAAAGTTCTAGACTTTGCATTTGTGAACCTTTTATTTTGAGGAAACTGCTTATTAAGCACCTAAAGAAAGACGGCTTTTAATAATATGATATATAGTAGGTTTTTTGAATTGTCCACATATAATTTTCTGCTTTCCACTACAATAAATATTGTTAATGATCAAGAACAGTGTGTCAGTATATAAGAAATTTGACATTTTCTCTAGGAGAAAATAGGCCTTGTGCTAGTGGTAACAATCCTGTGTATAAGTAGTATAGTCAAAAATAAATCTCTGAGACCAGTCATATTTTTATAGTTCTGTTAATAGAATTTTCCCTTAGGTTATCTTAAATTGTTGTTCTTTTTCAGTCATTATTCAATCTTTTGGAATTTAGAAGATTAGTTCTGAATTACAAGCCTCCGTCAAATGCTCAAGATTTACCCCGAAATCAAAAGGTAAAATTATGAAAGATTTTTAAGCATCGTGTATATATATATATACACATATATACATATATACATATATGTATATATGTGTATATATATAGGTCATCCTATTCTTTTATCTGTGCTTGGTTTTGGGGCAGTTTGTCTCATCAAATCTGGAACTGTTAAATTTGAATATCAACCCATTAATTTCGGTTACTATAGTAACTTTCTGTTCTTCATCAGTGTAATATAAATACGAATTTTTCTTCACACGTGTGTCAGTAATATGCCAATTTTTTGTGTCACTTTAGTAATTGCTTTTTCTTTTTTTTTGTACTGTCAAATTTCAGTAAACTTTATAGGTTTCAATTTATAATTCAAGGTCTTTCTTCAGTTGCCTCCTGAAAAATTGGGTGGGAATAAAAATTTCTTTCAACTGTTTGTGTAGATGAGCCTTTTAAAAGATTAGTGTTGCACTGGCTGTCTTTGCAGTGCAAATCTGTAACTTCTATTTTGTAAGTTAATACTGTTAGGCAATATAATGTGACAGAGCACACAGATAATCAGGGCTAGATTGCCTGGGTATTCTGGCTGTGGACCTAGGGCTTGACCTGCCTGTTTTGTTTCCTTATCTGAAAGGTGTAAATAATAATAGTGATTATTTTATAGGGTTGTGAGAATTAAATGAGATAAAACATACAAAGGGCTTAGAAGTGCCTAGTACATAGTAAGTGCCTCAGATGATGTTAGTTACTGTATTCATATTAGCTTTTCAAGGATAGGACTGATGCAGAAATGTATACTTAATGGAAAAAGTTAATTATGGAGGTGATGTACGTGAATGTTTGGGGCTCTAGGGATCTTGTCATAAAGAAATTGTAGCCCTAAAGGGGACTGGTTGCACAAAGAAGTTCAAGTTTTAGGTTTCAATAAAGTGTTGAACTTTGTGTGACTTACTGTATTAATGATACATAATTAAATCATGTTTTTCTCTTAATGTGTAATTTGAAAACCACTTGTTCTGCAAACATGAAACATTTATAATGCAAGCTAGTGGGAATATAACAATTTATAGCTTGCTTTTCAGGCTATAATCTTTGAGCTATAAAGTATCAGGCTGGTAAACAAGCCATTTTCAGAAGGGAATCCAGATCACTTGACAACCCCACAGACCTCCAGAGAAATTAAGCAAAACCCCTTCACTCATTACAGCTTTGCCGTGAAACTTTTTGGACTATTGATTCTCTTTATTGCAACTTGTTTAGTAATCACTGTTCTCTCTTCTGGTATCTCAGTTGAAGTAGATTTATAATTTACATGACATTATTTGGAAATATTGCTTCCAATTAGGTATTCATAGTATCTTGACCTTTTCTTTTTTGTTTCTGGATTTTAGTGCTTTACAGAGTTAATTTATTTTATTCTTCAAAACATTGAGTAAGACCAAGTCAGTTTTATAATCCTATTTAAAAAACAATTGTGATATCCATGCTTATGTATCAGAGCTGGTTTTAAAATTGTTCAGCTGAGTACTAGGGAAATACATAAATCCAATCTTCAGCACCTTTCTAGAGAAATTTGTTTTCTTGCAATGGAAGGGGCAGCATGTCCAGGGGTCTCTTCAGGTTAAGGAGTTAACAGGATCTCTACTTCCATTCTGAAAAGGACACTTATTTAGAAGAATTCTGTGCAATTTTATAAAAAATGGTTCCACAAGTGAGGTTATTTAATCTGGCATGGGGATATCAATACATACTATAACTTGACATTTCTGAAGCAAACATGTGTGACTTAGAGATAGTTATCAGCAAAACTGATTGGTGCTACATTCAACTGAGGTGATAAAAGACAGGTTTTTAAAAAGGTGTCAGTGTGTCTTCTTGCCACTTATTATTTAATAGTGAATTTATATCCAACTTATGTAATGTTTACTGCAACACTGAGTTTGAAAAGTAATGTGCTAAGATACAGAATACCCTTGGGGATCACTTTGGTCAGATCACAGAGATGTCATTTGCATGCATTGCTAATCAGGATTTTTTTTAGGTTATTTTTTATCAGCAGGTAAATCAGTCATAAATATTACATACATATTGAGTTAGAGAAAGAGATGTAGTTTTTGAAGTCAGTTTGTATTTTAGGTAGACTTGGTTATTCTAGAAGTTGAAACTAATTTTATACATAAATACTTATTGTACTGTTTGTAATTTTAATGTCTAGGAGAATTGTGAGGTTATTAGAAATTTAAAGATGGATTCTTACTGTAAACACCTCATCCCTCCCCACTCCCACACATAGTGTCTTTTGGCTTAAACAGTCACAAACTGATAACAAAACATGTTAAATGTTGAGAAAACAAAGATGCATAAATTCATAATAGAGCTAATCTCCATATAAATAGCTAAAACCTTATTACTCATAGGTTATATTAATTAAAGTCTTGATTTCAGAGCAAATATTTCCAAATAAACAATATTTCCATACTTTCCACTCCTCAGAGATGAGAAGCATTTGAAAAGGGAAAGTGTTTAGTTAAATACCAATGAGCAAATACCTGAAGGAGTTTTGAATTTTACAAATAACAGAGGCATTCTGGAATTTCTGTCTTTAGCTATGAATAAAGTAACAAGTTTGGGTATATAAGTTTCAGTAAATCTTAAAGGATTCAAAGCATACAAAGTATGTTTTCTGACCACAGTGGAATTAGGTGGAATTTGACAACAGAAAGATAATTAGAAAATCCCCCTGATAGTAGGGAAATTAAGTAATACACCTTTAAGTAACCCAGGGGACAAAGAACAAATCAGATGGGAAATTTTAGAATATTTTAAACAATAAAAATTAAAATATGACATACCAGAATTAGAGGGATGCAGCTAAGGCAGTGGTTAGTGGAAAATACACGAACTAAACACATTAGAAGATAGTTTCAAATTTATGACATCATTTTGCACATCAAGAAATTAGGAAAAAAAGCACTTTAATATTTGAAAGTAAAGGAAAGAAAATAATAAAGAGCTAAGTCATTGAAATAGAAATGAGAAAGACAGTGGAGAAAATTAATGGAACCAAAAGCTGCTTCTAAAGATCAGTAAATTAATGAGTTTCTAGGTAGACTGAGCAAGAAAAAAGAGGGAATAAACAAATTAGCAAAATAATGAATCAGAGAGAGGGATATCACTACATATTCTCTAGACAATAAAAGAGAATAATGGAATATTATAAACACAATATCCTTACATTACATTAAAAATGAATTTTTAGTTAAGAACCTACTCAGCAAAAAAAAAAAAATTCAACAGTGAAGTAGTTCACTGGTAAATTATACTAAACATTAAGGAAGAAATAATACTAATTCTTTACATGTTTTTCAAGAAAACTGAAGAAAAGATAAAACTTCCCGATTCTTTCTATGAGCCCAGCATTATTACCCTGAAACCAAAATAGAAAAAAGATGTTTCAAGAAAAGAAAACTAAAAACCAGTATTCCTCATGAATATAGAAGCAAAAAGTTGTAGCAGATTTTTGGCATATTGAATCCTGAAATATCAATGAAGGATGCTACTTCATTGCCAACTGGAAAGGTTTATTTAGAACTGCAGGATTGGTTTAGTGTTCAAAAATCAGTGTCATTCACCATGTTAACAGAGTAAAGAAGAAAAACCATATGATCATCTAAGTAGATAAAGAAGAGAATTTGAGGCGCCTGGGTGGCTCGTTAAGCTTCTGCCTTCAGCTCAGGTCATGATCCCAGGGTCCTGGGATCGAGCCCCGCATCAGGCTCCCTGCTCCACGGGAAGCCTGCTTCTCCCTCTCCCACTCCCCCTGCTTGTGTTCCTCTCTCGCTGTGTCTCTCTGTCAAATAAATAAATAAAATCTTAAAAAAAAAAAAATTGACAAAAACAAGTGTATCTAAAATCTCACAAACTAGAAATTGAAAGTTTTCTGATCCTGATAAAGATTGTTTATGAAAAGCCTACATACAACTAGTATAACACTTAATGGTGAAAGACTGAATGCTTTGCCCCAAAGATTGGGAATAAGGAAGGATGTAATCCTTCACCACTGCTGTTAACCAGTAGCCTAGAGTTCTTAATCAGTGTTATAAAGCAAGAAAAAGAAATAAACATGAAGATTGGAAAGGGAAGAAAAAAGCTTTCTTTTTGTGTATATGACTTGATTGTCTGTGGAAAATCCTAAGTACTAAATAAATAAGTAAGTAAATAAATAAATAAAGATAGAACCAAGAAATGAATTCAGCAAGGTTACATGATAGGAGGCGAACATGCAAAAATTGACTGTATTTCTAAATACAACACAATGGGAAATCTAATTTAAAAATACTTATGTACAGTAGCATAAAATGTGGACTATTAGGGGTAAAGTTCTATGGAAAATTACAAAATATTGCTGAGAGAAATTAAGGAAGTAGATATGTTCAATGATCAGAGGATTCAATATTGTTATGGTATCAGTTATCCCCAATTTAATTTGTAGATTCAGTGCAATCCCAGCAGACTTTTTTCACAAGAATTGACAAATTGACATAAAATTTATGTGGAGGGGCGCCTGGGTGGCTCAGTCATTAAGCATCTGCCTTCGGCTAAGGTCATGATCCCAGGGTCCTGGGATCGAGCCCTGCGTTGGGCTCCCTGCTCTGCGGGAAGCCTGCTTCTCTGTCTCCCACTCCCTCTGCTTGTGTTCCCTCTCTGGCTGTCTGTCAAATAAATAAAATCTTAAAAAAGTAATAAAATTTATGTGGAAAATCAAAGAATGTAGACTAGCCATATAATTTTAAAAAGAAAGACAGTGTTGGAGGAATCAACTCTCAGGCATTCTTATTGGTGAAAAGATAGTTCTATAGATAAATGGAACAAATAGAGTCCAGAAATAGACCTATATATATAGGGTGAGTTTAATTTTAATTAAAATTGACAAAACAATTCATAGGCAAGGGAAAATCTTTTAAACTAATGGTGTCATAGAAAGATAATCCTCAACCCTTACAGAACATAGTCATTTATTTTTCAAATATATAAAAAAATTAAGAATGGATTATAGATATAAAAGAAAATGAAAATTTAAATTTTTTTAAAAATATTTTATTTATTTGAGAGAGAGAATGAGATAGAGAGAGAGAGCATGAGAGGGGGAGGGTCAGAGAGAGAAGCAGACTCCCCGCCGAGCAGGGAGCCCGAATCGGGACTCGATCCCGGGACTCCAGGATCATGACCTGAGCCAAAGGCAGTCGCTTAACCAACTGAGCCACCCAGGCGCCCCGAAAATTATAAAAATTTTTGAAGAAAAAAAAATTTTAGTGTCTTGGGTTAAAAGATTTCTTAAGTGGGGCTAAACAAGGCTACAAATCATAGAAGAAAGTATTGAGTAATTGGACTTCATCAAAATTAAAAACTTGTAATCTTGGAAAAAAATATACAAAATGAAAAGTTAAGCCACAACGAGGAGAAAATATTAGCAAAATATATATCAGATAAAGGAATTGTGGCTAGAATATAGAACTTGCATAACTCAATAATAAGATAACCTATTACTGTATTGGAAAAAATATTTGAACAGATACTTCACCAAAGAAAGTATGCAGACTGTAAATAACTACAGGAAAAGGTGCTGGACATTATTAGTTACAGGAATATGCAAATTAAAACTAGAGGTGCCGCATTGGACCCACTAGAAGAACTAGTTAAAAACATAATCCATATCCAAATATTGTAGAATGTGGACCTGGAACTCCCATTATGCTTTTGGTGGGAATATAAAATAGTATAACGCTTCTGTAAAAATGGTTTGGTTGTGTCTTAAAGACATCTACATAGAACCTAGGCCCTCTCCAGGTTTTGACTTAAGAGAAATGAAAACTTATGTCTACACAGAGACACTTAAAGTAATATCCACAGCATCCGGAATAGGTCACTTGGTAATAAGTGTGGGACAGCCATATAGTGGAACACCACTGAGCAGCAAAACAGAACGAATCGTCAATGCACACAATCATGTGGGTGAACGTGAAAATAATTCTTCTGTTTTAAGAAACCAGATTAAGTACATAGGGTGTGGTTTGATTTATATAACTTTTATAAAGTGACCATGGTTGCTTTGGGATGATCATGGAGGAGGGGAGTAAGGGTTGAAGAAACTTGTGGGTGTGATGGATAGGTACATTATCTTGACTGTGGTGATGCGTTTACGGATGTTTACATGTCTGAAGTTCATAAAATTGTATATTTTATTATGTGCAGTAATAAATTACATCAATTACAATTTTGCCTTTTGAAATTCAAAATGATTTTCTAGCCACGGAAATTGGCTGAGAGCAAAAATGTTTCATTGTATTACCTATATATTATTATATTACTTTTCCAATATGCTTCTCAGCAGAAATTGAGTTATTTTTCAAAAGTCATTTATTTCATCCTTGAAATGTCTCAAAAAACTGCACTGATGTAGGTGTGGTGATAAAAGAAAGAGAAATTGATTTCAGGAAATTAGGGCTATTTCTGAAAATTATTTTTTGGATTAAAATTCTTTGTGTTTACACTTTTAAAACCCAGTATTTATATAAGGCAATTGTGTTGGAGTATGAAGTACAACAGAAAAATCATAGATTAGCTTTCTTTCATTTAGAACTTTTAAACTTTATCATTGATGGTGGAATTTTTTTTTAAAAGATTTACTTATTTTAGAGAGAGAGCGAGTGCGGGGGTTGGAGGGTGTGAGGGGCAGAGGGAGAGAGGATCTTGAGCAAACTGCCCACTGAGCATGGAGCCCTTCGCAGGGCTTGATCTCAGGACCCTGAGGTCATGACTCAAGCCAAAACCAAGAGTCAGACACTTAACTGACTGAGCCACCCTGGCGCCCTGATGATGGAATTTATTATACTTACATAAAATCCATGTTTTCCATAAATTAATATTTTCATTCAGATAATGCACTTTGTGATTGCTGTAATGGTATATTGTTTTTGGATCGGTTGACAAGTATCTGGAGTCACATGTTTTATTCCTTTACGCCTATTTTTTAGGACTCCTTTTTTTTTTTAATGCATTCTAGGAACAGCTATTTCTATATGGATTATATTATTCTGGACAGCAACTATACACATATACACACCCCTACAGTTTTATGATGTTGAGAAAACTAACCATATACTCAGACATTTTTTTCTAATATTTAAATATATAAGCTTCATCTGTTAAAATTGTTATTGCAAGAGCTAACTATAGTAAGAACTGCTTGTTTGATTTGTTACCATAAATATTTCACTGAGGTATGTGAATTACATTCTTTAAAAAAATTTCCTTCTTGTTTTAAAATAAATTGTTCATGATTGATAATATTGGGCTCTTGGTTTTTCTAGAGGGTTTGGTGAAATCAGATGTTCGTAAGAATTGAATGCCTGCTTTGTGTAGCAGAAAGTTGTGGAAGAAATACAGAAGTTCTTGTGTTTGAGAAGTTTACAGTCTTGTTGAGAAACAAAAGTTGAGATTTCAAAGGAGCACTAGAAGGATGATAGGTTCATTTAATATTAGTATATATTCTAATTACTTATTAGACTAATACTGTGTGATAATTAGGATCATCCCATGACAGTGCCAGTTGGTGATTCATTGCTCAGTGAAAGACATTCATTTTAGTAGATGTGGAGTGTGAAGAAATGAATCATTGACTTGGAGGGGTCTGGGAAAGCTTCATGGAGGAGGAGGGATCTTTGTTTAAATGGGCTTATTGAGGAAAAGTACTTAAACAGTGCCTGGCACCAAGTTAGCACGCACTCAATGTTGGCTGTTGTTACTGCTGTCCACAGCAGCTGGGCCTTGCTGAATGGAAAGGATTATAATAAATAGACTTGAATGAGGAGAGGATGGATATTCTTGGCTGGGTAATAACATGATTAGCTATGAAAATGTGGCATTTGTGCTGAAATTGTGAGCTAAGCCTAGGTCCTCTGCTGTTTTCGTCCTCGACTCCATTGAGTGTCCTAGGTCACAACACTCTTTAATTATGATGTAGGAGTGCTGGACTCCTCCCTAATCAATATTAGTTAAGTTTTTGGTTTATTAAAATGAATATCTGTTTACCAGTAAAGATTTTGTTAATCTTCACTTAAGGGTTTTTTTTCCCCCAATAGGAGCATCGGAATTTGCCTTTTATGCGTGAGCTGCGGTATCTATTTGCACTTCTTATTGGTACTAAAAGGAAATATGTTGATCCATCAAGAGCAGTTGAAATTCTTAAGGACGCTTTCAAATCAAATGACTCCCAGCAGGTAGCCTTTTTTACTTACTTACTTATTAATGTTTGTATTTTATTTAATCTGGTCATACCTTAAGCATTTTTTTCAGACACATGACAATTGAAGATATTGTTATTCCTCTTTATTAAAAATAAGTTGTAGCCATTTAAAACATTGCTTATTTGGAAGATTTGCTTTTAAGTTAAGAAAAAAGTAACAGTGATCTTGGAAAGTGTTAAGATAAATGAAGCTGTAATTTATGTTGTGATAGAAATTAATAAGTGAAAACAGTGGGTAAAATTAGGGATGTTCAAAAATGTTAGTTATAAATCTTCACGAATGTGTGATAAACCCAAGGCCAGTATAGTATACATGCTTTTGGTATGCCTATTTTTGTTGGCATGGTAGTTTCCTTAATTACTTAGAACTCTGAACTACATTAACTGTGTTATTGTTGCTTTTATTTTCCAATCTTTGTGTAGATCTCATGTTGAGAATCTTTACCTTAATTACATCTTCAAAGACCCATATTCTAAATAAGATTACATCTTTAGGTCCCAGGTGGACATATATTTTGGCGGGCCACTATTTAACCCACTACAGTTGGTATGGATGTTTATAACTGAATTTTTGTGCTGAGTTTAGTTGTCTTTAGCTATATGGCTTTGGAACAATTTCCTTAAGCTTCTTAGATCCAAGTTTCAACATTTTAAAGGTGAATGGATTGACCCAGCTGCTCTTTAGAAAACTTATAGCTAGAAAAATATATGATAGTAAATTTGTTTAATACTTGGGGCTATTTTGATAAATAAAGGCAGATTGCTTTACACTGATTGATCCGTCTTTGATGAACCCAGTCTTAGTAGGATTGGTTTATTTTTTTCCTCCCTAGGTTCTGGATGAACCTATTTTCTGTGTTCCACCTCACATTATTGAAAGAATTATGGTAGCTGATGAATATACCTGTCACTGCCTATTCCTGTTTTTCCATGTTAGGCGAACTAGCACTGAAAGAAGGGATGGCCAAGGATGATGTAGGTGCTAGTTCTGAATGGAGAATTCGTTTGAAGGCCATGAGATGGTGGACTTGATAGTCAGGGAGTCAGTGATTGATTAGACTAAACCTGTCCAGGTTAACATATCTTAATAAAAGTGGATGTGGCTTAAAAAGTGTGTAAAAGTTGAATTCAGAAAATGAATTGCTGAAAAACATGTCTTCCTTCTAAGAAGCCAGTAACAGTCTATATAATGAAGAGCTCTTTGGTAATGTGGGTCCTTCATTTTATGAAGATTCATTAGAGAACTCTTTATTTTTAAAAAATCTCATTTGTAAGTTAGAATTTATATATATGTGTGTATATATAATATTGCATATATTATATGTAACATAATAAATTTATATTTATTTTCCCATAGTGAAACCCTGTCACTGTGACTATCAATATAATGCTTATTTTTCTCAGGTACTGATTTTATTCTCTGGTTAGGTTATAAATATTTCTTGTATTTGATCTGAAACATTTCATATGATATTTTTGTGAGGAGTCAGTAATTTTATGTTTGATGTGACTATAAGTTTTATGTTGCAATATTTAGTATTTTTATTAGTAGGCTCAAATATCAACAAGACTTTTTTTTTCTTTCCACAGCAAGATGTGAGTGAGTTTACACACAAATTATTAGATTGGTTAGAAGATGCCTTCCAAATGAAGGCTGAAGAAGAGACGTAAGTTACCATGAAATTTAGTGATGGAGTTTTAGGAGATTGATAAATAATTCATTTTTTTTCTCTTTTATGTATCAGTGTCTATGGAGAAATAGAAAACTGAGAGATGTATGGGAACCCAAACGTTACCTGTATTGAAAAGTTGTTTGAAATTTGTGGCCTAAATGCTGAGTAGCTTTAGATTTCTACTGTAAGATTAGAATCTTGCCAGAAAGATCTAAGAAGCAGCCCCTGAAAGGGCTAATCCCACATGCCCAGGTCTTTTCCTTGGATTCAACGGTCTCTTTTTCATGAGGAAGAATGGGTTAGTGGTGGGGCAAGATACCAGGAGTGTTACTTCTGATGAAGTCCTTTCAGATGGAATCAAAACAACAAGGATATGAAGTTCCTCAGTATTTTCTAGCTTTTTATTTTCTGTCCATCAGGTTGAACCAATAAGACTTTGGTTATTTAAGAAATCTGCATACTTTCAGGATGGTTCTACTCCCATTCCCATGAGGCCACTCTCCTAATATCAACCATTGGTTCCTTTGTGTATCTTTATAAAACACTGGTGGATCATTTACCACTATAGGTTCAGGTGTGATCCAACAAGATGCAGGTAGTAGACCTGCCTAGAAGGTCTTCTACCTAGAAGGCAGGTAGAAATCCAAGGCTGAAAATTCTCTCCCTTCTCTTTTTTCTTATTTTTAAATTACAGCCAGCTTTACTGTTCGGGAAACATCATTATGACAGGTCTGCAGTGAGACTAAATTAAAGTAAAAAATATTCTACTTACACAGTGTTAATAAGAGATACCTCCAAATGTTAATATAGATCTAGACTTCCTCATTTCATTCTCCAATTCTCAGTTGAAAAGTAAGTTCATATATTCCCTTGAGGTTTTTTGTTTTGTTTTTTTTGTTCCTGAGAGAGAGAGTGAGAGCAGGGGGGGACAGAGGGAGAGAGAATCTTAAGCAGGTTCCATGCTCAGCGTCAAGAGTCTGATGCTTTGGGGCCCCTGGGTGGCTCAGTTGGTTAAGTGTCCGACTCTGGATTTCAGCTCAGGTCATGATCTCAGGATCGTGAGATCCAGCTTCTTGTCAGGCTCTGCAGTCAGTGGGAAGGCTGCTTGAGTTCTTACGCTCTGCCCCTCCCCTTGCTCTGTGCTCATGAGTGCTCTCTCTCTCTCTAAAATAAATAAAATCTTTAAAAAAAAAAAAAAGAGTCAGATGCTTAACCAGTTGAGCTTCCCAGGTGCCCCTTCCCTTAATCTTTAAGGTAAGTCCAAAGAAATTTTATATTTGAAAATCAGATTTTTTTTTTGCCTTTGTGGTTGCAGTCTAACAAAAAATAAAAGTCACTTCTGAGTCTCTGAGTTTGTTCATTCTCAGCTATAGGCATGTTATTTCTGTGCCTGCATAGAACCTGCAGCCGGTTCCCTCACTTGGGTGTGTATAGTTCCTTCAGTCCTTCAGATGGTCAGTTTCATGCGCTTGAATTCTAGATTTCAGAGGGTTATTAGGACACACATGATTAACACTGAATGGTCTCTTACCTTGGAAATTGTAGAACTAAAGCAAAACTTCAGCCCTTTAGCTCTCAGTCCAACTATATAATATTCCCGGAACTTTGTGCGGTCCAGAGTCAAGTTGTTGCCAAAGTCTGTAGCAGAAATTTCAGGATATGCTGTAAACAGCAAATCATTGGTTTTAATTCTGCCTGGATGCCTGTCATTGAGGGCTAATTGCTTGCTGACAATTATATGTGAACTTAAACTAAGTTGGGGGAAATCTCTGAAATTAATTATGATGCTATGTTTACAGTGTTTGAGGAAAAAAAATTCTATTTTTGCTAAATTTTGTCTTGGAATGGGGCATTTGAAAGCTGCTTCCTTTTTGGCATGTTTAGAAGTTTATGATGCTGACATCTCTGGTCCTCATCTTCTTTCTTGTCCACCAAAAGTTTTAGTTGCATTTTCCGTATGAGCTTCTTCAGTTTGTGGCTCTGAGTGACTTATTTTTGTGCCACAGTGGTTGTGCTCATTGCCTTTTGCTGTGGAATTGCTTAGGCCTGGGAAACTCTCCTCTTAGGTTAGTTTCTTTCTTTTCTTCAGATTAGCTTCTCTCTTCGTGTTACTTTCATCTGGAAAATCTCCCCATCAGATTCCTGGCATGAATCTGCTGTTGCTGCATATGAAAGCTGAGTCCCAACATCCAGTGAAGAGACACTCTTTCCTCAGCTTTTGCATGTTCTGGGCCTAGAGTATATTTCTTTCTGCCGCATTTCTTTCTGGGTGGCATATGCCAATAAAGTGCACATGCATATATATTTTTTATTCCTTTAGGAAGGTTTGGCTGAATTTTTAAGTTTAACCTGCTTCTTAGCCTCTATCTCATGCAGAGCCAGCCCTGTTTGATGGATGCCTGTCTTTTCTTCCTGTTCTTTTCATTTGTTTTCTGGCCTTTACATTTGTTTTTCTCTAACTTGCTCCTCTGATATTGTCTTGATAGGCTCCTCATAGTGAGAGTTAGTGATTCACTAATGAGAGTTGTCCACCCTGGTCCCTCTCTAGTACAGCTCATGTCCCTTGTATTTTTCCTTAGAGTTCTCATACCAAAAATTCATTCCATGTATTTCCTCAGAGTGTGGACAGTATCTGTATCTTCATCTGTGATAACGGAGTCTTTGAGGTTTTCTCAGTAATTCTTTGAGTGTTTTACCCTGAAATCCCTAGTTCCTCCTCTCAAATCTATCCAGATTTTCTATAAGCACTTCATTTAGTGTATCCTGTCTTCAGTACATGACCCCCAATTGCTTTTTATCTGTAGCCTCAGAAGAGTGCCTAAATCCATGTTCCTTCTGAGGGGGTCATTTTATGCTGATTTTGGAGATACTGCTTATTATTTATTTACTTGTTAATTTTCTTTGGGTTCTAGTCACCTCTTCTGATCTAGTAACTAACAAATTATCTCCCTTTTTTTCTAAAACTGTTTTAAAAGAAGCTAGAACTTTTCCATTCCAGTTCATATGAAATCTTAAGTTTATTTGAAATATGTTCTCCTTGTTCATTTCCCCATCATTTTCTGTTGTTTACTGTTTGTGGAGCTAAAACTGTTTTGTTGTTGTTGTTGTTTTAAAAGATTTTGTCAGAGAGTAAGCGAGCACAAGGCGGGGAGCAGCAGGCAGAGGGAGAAGCAGGCTCCCCGCTGAGCAAGGAGCCCGATGTGGGACTCGATCCCGGGACCCTGGGATCATGACCTGAGCCGAAGGCAGATGCTTAACCCACTGAACCACCCAGGCATCCCACTAAAACTGTTTTTGAATCTCTGTGCTCTCCCTGTATAGAACAGAGCTTTCCAGTTGGTGTACCATGGCTAGCCAGATTATGGATTGTGGAGATATTGATCCTATTTCTGTGATCATGAGAAAATATATATATATATATATATATATATTTTTTTTTTTAAGATTTTATTTATTTATTTGACAGAGAGAGACACAGCGAGAGAGGGAACACAAGCAGGGGGAGTGGGAGAGGGAGAAGCAGGCTTCCCGCGGAGCAGGGAGCCCGATGTGGGGCTGGATCCCAGGACCCTGGGATCATGACCTGAGCCGAAGGCAGACGCTTAACGACTGAGCCACCCAGGCGCCCGAGAAAATATATTTTTTTACCTTAAAGTTCTCTGCATATGATATACCAATGGTATTAAAAAGATCGGGAAGCTCTGACCCAAAGCATTCTAGTTTGCTCTATCAGCTACCCTAGACCTTTGAACTTCCTTGCCAATGTAATTCCCAAGGGTAAGATGTCCCTGATACAAGTTTTCTGTAGTGATTTCTTTTGGCCTTTGATATTTGTGTCAGTCTGTCTTTACTACTGCTTTCATGTAAATGGTGGGTCTCTCTCTTTTTTTTTCTTTTTTTTTTAAGGTTTATTTATTTTAGAGAGAGAGCGGGTGCATGTGCAAGTGAGGAGAGGACCAGAGGGAGAGGAAGAGAATCTCAAGCAGACTCCCCGCTGAGCATGGAGCCCAACGCAGGGCTCGATCTCAGGACCCTGAGATCATGACCTGAGCCAAACCAAGAGTGGATGCTCAACTGACTGAGCCATCCAGGCACCCCTGTAGATCATTTCTATTATAGGAGTCTCGTGTCTTTTTAATTGCTCTTCACTTTTATTCCTTATATTTCTGTTGGCATAACCAGTCTGGGCCCCTGAGATTCACAGTTTAAATGCCAGATGAAGAATAGGACCTCTTAGAGGTTGGAAAGAAGGACAAAGTAAACAATTTCTGGAAGATTCCTACCTGACTCTTTAGGGAATGTCTGTTTACCACAGACCAGTGGAGAGGAGGCTAAAATTCAGGCAGGAAGGTTTGAGAAGAGATTTGGAAAGAAAGTTCAGAATTTATAGAGCCACTCAACATCCAGTTCCTTCTGGCAAAGTCACCAACCTGTTAAGTCATTGCTCTTTACATGTGTGTGGCAGTAAGGGATGTTGATTTTCTACATTAAAATAAGAGGCCATGGAAAGGAGATTTCCACTAATATTTACATCTAAAGATTGATAGATTTTTACATCAAGAGAGACAATCTTTGGATCGTTCCTCTCACCCATGTCAGTCTCAAGTCCTTTTTATTCGCACAGTATAAGATATATAAGGTATGAAATAAATTTTTCCCATAGAGTTAAAATGCCCAAAGAATAAGTATATGTAGTCGGAGAGGATACATTGATTTTGGAGTCCGATTTGTGTTCACTTTGTAGCTTGATTTCTTACCAATGGTGTGAATTTGGGCAAGTGACTTAACCTGCCCTACACCTTTATTATCAGTAAAACAGAAGTAATTGTACTACCTGTTATCAGTCAGAATAGGCTAGATAGTCCAGTGGCAACAACCCCCAAACCTTGCAGGCTTATATCATATTGTTAGATGATGTGTCCTGTGCGTGTGAGCAAGGGGCTCTGCTCGTTCTTTCATTCAGGGCCCTCCGTGACAGACGCTTCCCCTCATCACCCTTTCTGGGGTTACCATGCCAACGAAAGTACACTGGCTCTCAAAGTTTGTACCATACATCACTTGTGCTCACATGTTGTTGGGCAAAGCAAGTCATGTGGTCTGCCTAACTTGAAAGTGAGTGGGAACACCTTATACCCATTAGGATGGCTACTATCAAAAAACCCCAGAAAATTGCAGGTGTTGGCAAGGATGTGAAGAAATTGGAACCCTTGTGCACTACTGATGGGGATGTGAAACATCACGGTGGCTTTTCAAAAGATTAAAAATAGAATTGCTATTTGAAGGAGGGAGTCCTTTCACAGTGTATATGTATATCATATCATCACATTGTATGCTTTAAACTTTGTCACTTATGCCTCATAAAGCTGAGAAAAAGATTAACCATATGATCCAACAAATCCACTGCTGGGGAATATACTAAGAATTGATAGCAGGGTCTTGAGGAGATGTTTGTACACCCATGTTCATAGCAGCATTATTCACAATAGCCAAAGGGTGGAAAGCACCCACTGTCCATGGATGAATAGATAAACAAAATGGGGCATACATACAGTGCAACATCCTTAAAAAAGAAGGAAATTCTGACACATGCTACAACATGGATGCTAAGTGAAATAAGCCAGTCACAAAAAGACAAAACACTGCATGCCACTTACATGATGTGTCAGGAGTTGTAAAACTCAAACAGTGAGTAAGAACAGTGGTTGCCAGGGAGGGAGAAATGTGGAGTTGTTCAGTGAGTGTAGAGTTTCAGTTTTACAAGATGAGAAGACTCCTGGAGATGGGTTGCACAACAATATGAATATACTTAACACTACCCACCAAACACTTAAAAATGGGTGGATGTAAATTTTGTGTTATGTGTATCTTACCACAATTCACATTTTTAAAATTTAAATAAAATTTGAGTGGGAAAGTACATCTTAACCACATATCTGGAAGTAGAGGGCCAGAAATCTTTTTGAGTATCTCGAACAACTACCATCCTACCTCAGAGCATTGTTGTGAGGAGTAAGTGAAGTGCTTCCCACCAGTTGTTTAAAGGAGTAAATGATGATGCAATGCACTACATTTATAAAAAGACCATGTCCTTCCCCCCGCTTTTTTAGCAAATCGGTTTTACTGGTTTAAACACAAAATGCATGAAGATAAATTCTGTACACAGTTGTGGATACCACACACTTTATGTAGTAATGCCAAGATAAACTGTTTTCAGACCACAGAGAACAAAACATAAAAAGAAAAGGTTAAAAAATTGTTAACTTCTGTTTACTTCAAGCGAAAAAAGAAAAAAAAAACAATGTGTATGTTAAAGAATTTGGAAAATTCACAAATGCCTAATCGTGCCTGTAGCATGAAAAAAGGAGTAGCTCCTGAGCTGCTGTGGGTCAGAGCTAGTGCTGTGCTCCTTCATTGGTGATAGCTGCTATTTTTGAGTGGTGTGCACTCTTTTATTTAAATGTGGGAAATGACATGTTAAAGTTTTATAGAAAAGTACTCCAAGAGGGGCTTTTCTTTCTTCCCAGCAAGTCCAAATAAGCATGTATTGTACAGACTAAAAGTGGGAGATTGAAATGCACAATGGTAATAGAAAGATCAGGCGCTCCATGAACACAGACTGTGTCAGGTCCTCTTGTAATGTCGTCCCAGGCAGCAGCTCATTTTAACCCTTACAACAGCCGTTTGAGTTCAGTCACTATTATTAGCCTCAGTTGACAGGTGAAAAAATGGAAGAATAAATTTAAGTGCCTTGTCCAAGGTAATGTCAAGAGCGCTGAATGAGTGACAACAGCCTAAATGTTACCATCTTGGCATGTACTATTGTTCTTTGAATGTTTTATTACTTACAGGTCCAAAAATTATAACCACATTTGTATTTTTTACCGTGCTTTAGGGATGAAGAGAAGCCAAAGAACCCCATGGTAGAGTTGTTCTATGGAAGATTCCTTGCTGTGGGAGTACTTGAAGGTACGGTGACACATGTTTACTCTTTATGACATTTGAAGAAGTATTAGCTTTTGTCTTGATAGTGACTCCTAGCTTGTTGAATGGTTTTTAATTTTAATTTGATTTACTCTGTCTAGTAGTTCCTGTTGCACTGCTACTACTAATCATTTATAAGAAAACATTGAATTGAGTGAATGAAAAAGAAGGTACAGGGTGTATTATCACATGCTAATTGATAGTTATCCTGATGTCCTTTGGCTGAGAAAACTTCTGTGATTCTGTGAATTGTTGGGGTACAGGGAATTAAGGGGGCAGTTGATTTTGAAAATAATATTGGAGTTGAATACTGGTTTTGGTAGGATGGTTACTGTTTTTGAGGGTTTCAACTCTATGAATGTTGAAAGCTGCATTTAATAATTTAACAATTTAGTATAGTTAAGGTTTTACATTTCTCAGGTGATTATAAAATTCTTTAGGCTCTAGTTTTCAAGAAAGAATCATACTCTTATCTTTTGAAAAATCATTTAAGAGTGATACTACTCCCATCTATCCTAAGTGCCTATTACTTAAAATCTGGGTCTGACCAGATTTTTTTTTCCTAATAAAGGGAAGGGAACTGACTCATTAAATGTACTTCAAATAATAATAATTACTAAATCCCAAAGCATGAACTTTTGAAAAAATTTGAAATATTTGAAAAACTTTCCAAATCTTCCGAGTGGCCCAGTCCATCAACTTTTGGAAAGTTAGCTCAAATCACCTGAAGTATAAAATTTGAAAAATTGGTTTTCCTTCAGTATCTTAAGTAATGGATTCTTATGAAGTTTTGTTTGAATATAATTTTATAGTTTGGGATTCAGAAAAAGGCAGATAATAACTCAGGATTTAGTCAGGCATTTAAAATGTTACACTGAAGTGTCTGTACTTTTTTTTTTTTTTTTTGCCTCAAATACTAAATATTCTTTACATAAATAGTGGAATATTTTACATAGGACATTACTTCCCAATTTGGGATGTCCATACTGTCTATACTGATTTTTACTTGAAGTAGAACAATGTATTTGAAACAATAGAGTAGCTCTAATCAGGTGATGACTGTGCACTATTTATATCTTTCTGCTTGTGTTACCTGGATTCTTAAAAGTGATTTATTGAAATAATTTGTCAGTCAATCAGTGTTGAAGTCCTTGTACTGGATATAAGTTGTTTCAAACTATCGTGAGACATAGATGTGGTTTTATTTATTTATTTATTTATTTATTTATTTATTTATAACTTTTTTCATTCTTTTTTTAAAAAATTTATTGTTATGTTAATCACCATACATTACATCATTAGTTTTTGATGTAGTGTTCCATGAGTCATTGTTTACGTATAACATCCAGTGCTCCATTCAGTACGTGCCCTCTTTAATACCCATCACCAGGCTAACCCATCCCCCCGCCCCCCAGAACCCTCAGTTTGTTTCTCAGTCCATAGTCTCTCATGGTTTGTCTCCCCCTCTGATTTCCCCCCCTTCATTTTTCCCTTCCTGCTATCTTCTTCTTTTTTTTTTTTAACATATATTATTTGTTTCAGAGGTACAGGTCTGTGATTCAACAGTCTTACACAATTCACAGCACTCACCATAGCACATACCCTACCCAGTGTCTATCACCCAGCCACCCCATCCCTCCCATCCCTGCCACTCCAGAACCCTCAGTTTGTTTCCTGAGATTAAGAATCCCTCATATCAGTGAGATCACATGATACATGTCTTTCTCTGATTGACTTATTTCGCTCAGCATGATACCCTCCAGCTCCGTCCACGTCATTGCAAATGGCAAGATTTCATTCCTTTTGATGGCTGCATAATATTCCAATGTGGTTTTAATACATTTCCAGGTGAACTATATATTTGCTTCAGTAAAAATAATTTGCTTTCAAGCTCTTTCTTAATCACTTTTACATATGTCTTCCTAATGCTTTCTTTTAGACCAGCAACTCTCAATTGGAGGTACTTTTTGTTTGTTTACTAAAGTGCTCTCATTGCAAAAGTTCCTCAATTTTTCCAGAATATCTAGTCTGTTGACCCCTTCATTTTGTTCCTCTTGGCCCTTTTCTTCCTTCTTTGCCCATTATGATCATTCTTATAAACATCTAACACTCCCTTTCCCCCCATTCCCTCTGTGGCTATTCTCTGACCATCACTGAGCTATTCATCTCCTCTCTGTGTGCACTGAGTACCTGACTATTACTGGGGAATAATCACTCAAATGGGCTAACTAAATGGATCATGAATTTGTAGTAGATAACTAAGCTTCACTGGACCGAATCCTGTAACACTACTGGCAGTCATACTTGTTTTGTTAAATCACTGTCTTCTATCCCATTTTCTGCAATAATGATTTTTATCTTTTCTACTTCTAATCTAACTTCTCTGGCTCTTCATTCTCTGAGAAAGACCTTCCCACAGATTTTATGGATTTGCTATGAAGCTGTTGAAATCTAGCTGTAGGTCCTAAGGTCCTGAATCTAATTTTGTGTTTGTAATTTTGTTGTATTTAACTTTTGTTGTACTTAAACACAACTTTCTCAAATACGTGAGCTTCAGGCTCCACAACCTCCATCCATTCCTACCTCTACCACATTCTTTTTATTTGTCCCTCCAGATAATAAAGAATTATTCAGTCTTCTATCAGAAGGCTGTTGTTTATATGTGCTCAGAATCTCATCCTTGCATGCTTTCAATCAGACCTGACTCTCTCCATTATCTTGCTTTTTTCTTGTATCTTCAGCTTTGCCCTCTACTGTTTTCCTCAACAGTATTTAGACATGGTTTGGTAATTCACATCTTAAACAAAAAAGAACTCCTTTCCCACAGTCTTTTTCAGTTAATCTTATTCAGTTAAGCCCCTTTCAAGAGAGGAGTTTGTTTTTACCTGCTAAATCCCCATTATTCAACACATCCCGCTATTGCTTCTGGCCCCAGACCCCTTGTAAAAGGGATCTTTCTAAGGTTATCAATTTCCAGCATGTATTCAAGGCTGCCAGGTCCCACTCAGTTCTCATACTGAACTCTTATCAACTATTCATGCTATTTACTCTCTTCCTTTTCCTCTTTCCTATATTCTGTCCTTAAAAACACTTCCCTGGCTTCTGTGGCACCATATTCTCTTGTTTTTTTTTTTCCTGCTGTGGGTACTTAAAGCCTCTTCTTTTACCTAAGGGTAGGAGATCCTTGGACCTCAGCTCACACCCCCCTGCCTTTTCCTGTCTGCCAGTTCCCTTGGCAGTCTCATTCACTCCCTTGATTAACTGCTGTCAGGAGCCAGCGATTCTCTCAGTTACAGCTTCAGACCAGAAGATTAATTTTAGTTACAGACTCATATCCAACTCTCTTCTCAACTTGAAATCCCATGGGCCATTCTAAAACAACGATTGCCACTACTACGTTAAAACAAGTGGAAAAAAAATTCTCCGCTCGCTCTTTAGTGGAGAGCCTTTCAAGTCAGTTGTTTATGATGGAAATCGAATATCATTCTTGATACCTTCCTTACTCTTCTGCCCCCCGTCTTGCCAGTGAGCCAGCCACCAGTCAATCATATTTACTCCTTCCTGAATATGTATATAAATGTTTGTGTAATTTCATCTGCTTTTGTACACTTTTACTATTAACACCGTATTCCACATTGCCTTTATTTCTGGATGGATTCTATAATAGTCTCCTATCACCCACTTAACACAGAAGCCATAAGGATGTTTCATCAGAGACATGAATCTGATCCCTTTATTCCCAGGTTTAACTATTCACAGTGACTTTCTGTTAATCAGAATATACTGAGAAAAATAATTCTTAACAAGGGTTTATAAGACTTTTTGTAGATTTTGACCCCCTACCTAATTCTTTATTGTCATCTTCCCATTGCTCCCCTAAGTTATAATGTCCTCCCCTTAATTCTTCAAGCAGGCCATGTTCTTTGCATCCTTAAAGTCTCTGTGTGTATTATTCCTTGGCCAAGAATTCTCTACAGCACCCAGACGGTCTGGCCTGGATAACTCCTACTCAGCATTCAAGTCTCAGTGTAAATGTCATTTTGCTGTGGAAGTCTTCCCTGCTCTACCCTCCAGCCCTAAAGACTAGGTTAGCTCTCCTTTTTATACCCTCTCACAGCACTGTCTCACCACACATTTTATAACACAAGGATAGATAATTTTTTGTTCATAATTATATGTACAGTTAATGTACATAATGTAATGCCTTTCTTCCAAAAGAGGCTAAGAGTTTCCTCAGCTCAGAGACCATATGTATCTCTTTTGTTCACTGTTATACATATTCTCAGTGTTTAGCATAGTATCTTGTCCTTAGGTATTTTTTGAAAGAATATATGTACACACACACATACACACACATATACACACACATATACACACACGCATACGTGTGATCACTTACATACATAAGGTGTGTAATTGATATCTATGGCTGGATGTGAATGTGCATATATGCGTGTATAAACCAACAAGGAAATGACAGTGACTACCCTGTGGAACATAGAGTGATGGTTTTCAGGTTCAGGAGGTAATTCATATACACATTTACTTTTAGTGGCTAAAAGGCCATATTGAGTAACAGTTAACTTTCCCTTCTCCTATAGGTAAAAAATTTGAAAATACTGAAATGTTTGGTCAGTACCCGCTTCAGGTCAATGGATTCAAAGATCTACATGAGTGCCTAGAAGCTGCTATGATTGAAGGAGAAATTGAGTCCTTACATTCAGAGAATTCAGGAAAATCGGGCCAAGAGGTGAGTTTAGCATCTTCATTATTCCTCTCTCCCTAGGTCTTTCTTAACAGTGCGGTAAAGCACAATCTAGGGCCCTAATTATATAGCTGCCTAATAACAGAGAATACTCAGATTACGTGTTTGGATTTAATTATGGTAGTTTAGACATTTGGGAAACTGGCACAAACATGTCTGTAATCTATGTTAAATTCTCACTTAACAATTTAGCTTAAAAATTTCTGTTAAAATCCTCTTTTAGGATACTGTTGAGGCTGTTTAGACTTTTTAGGGAAGGTACCAGTCGCTGTAATGTGCCAGTCCTGGAAGTAAAAAAGAAAAACACTGAAATTAGGGTGGAATTTTATATAGACATATGTTACTTATATCAAATAGTGTTGGAATTTGTCTAGATTCCTATTTTTTTTTTTTTTTTTTTGTAAAATTGCTATATAATTGCATGAAGGGCAGATGGAATAACTTGCTTTCTCAGGAAAGATAAAACTTAAAAAATATAAACCTGTTTGTTTCCACTGGTCTGTCTTGCCACCCATTTCTCTCTTTCTTTATTCATGTTGTTAGTTTCATCTATATATCCATCCACCCACACATATATTCATCCTTATGTGTTACTATAATGGAAGGCAAAGGACAGACCATTTGCTCCAAAATCAGTTCTCATTAAGCAGTTGCTGGTAGTTGTCTACTTGTAAGTTCCATGCATGAGGGTAGGGATCTTCATCTTTGTCATTCTCTATTATATCTCTAGTGGATAATATGGTGACTGCAAATAGAATTACATAATACACATTTATTGACTGAATGAATGAAATGTCTCAGTGTTATCAAAAAAGTTTCTGAGGACTTTATCCCCAAATGGGTGCTTAATAAATGTTAGGTGATGATATCTCTGTGTTTTTCTAAACAGGGACTGAGTTCTTGTATCTTTGAAAATAAATTGCTTTTATCTGAATATGTGCTTTTTAAAAAAGATAATTAACTCTTTCCTGTTGTAACTTCATCCTCATTTCCTTCTCTTCCCTTATATACCCAAATAAAAAAAATAAATTACATTTACTATTTTCTGGCTTTTTTTTTTTTTTTAAGAGGGGGAGAGGGAGGGAAAGAGAGAGAAAATATTTGAGGTAGTTTTTCTCTCTACATCATAGATCACCTACATAAGTGATTCTCAGCAGATGCCTAGGCCCTACTTCAAAGCTGTCAAATCTGAATATAGGGTAGGAATGTGGTACTTGGGCCCAAGAGCTCCACCAGTGATTCCCAGATAGACCTCCAATTAAGAATATTTAAATTAAGCTTATTTATTTTACTGATTGGTCTCTAAATATTGGGACTCTGTCAGCATCCCATAATGGAACAGGAAAGCAGACCCCTTGCCTAAAGTGTGATCTCTTTTCTATTAAACAAAAGGATGGGTTTGGGCAGGAAAAGGGATGGCATTTTCCTTACACTGTCAAAGTAGCTTGTAAGTGAAATATACATTGGTTTATTGGTAAATGATCCTTCTTATGTATTCCCAGCTTTTATACTGAATCTGAATTTCATTATTTATTTTAAAAAATCTAGTTTGCCCTCCATCTTTGGCTTCATACTCTGAATGCCCGTATATATTTTCTGCCTAGGTTTTTACATCCAGCCTAACAGATACAGTGGTTTGTCTCCTCTGAATTCAGCAGTTTGTAAGCATTCTTAATAAGAGCAAATTCATTTACCTGTATTCCTATTACTAGTTGCCTAGATTTGTAGGACACAATAGTTTCAATAATAATTCAGCCTGATTTAAGAGACTATCACTGGCTAAAGTAGACTATCTTAAAAGTTTTTAGTAGTGTACTTAAATTATCGTCTTATTTCATTATGTCCTTCAGGATAACTGTTCTGTTTCTTCTTAAGTATCTATAAACACCAATGAGTAACATTTTAGGCTTGTTTGTAAATTAACATTGTCCCTGATGATAATACCTTTTATCTCTTAAACTATTATTTAGTAAAAGTTACTGATTTTACTTTGATACAGGAAACATCTCTTTTGCTGAAATAGCTCTGGTTAAGTAATTTAGGAAAACCTCTAGTCTCCTGAATCACTCATGTTAAAATATCCAGTGGCCTGTAAGAGTTTAAATTTCTGGAATGCCGTACCAAGAGATAACTGAATAAATTAAAAATGATTATATGTAAGATAACTACTTATAAAATATTTTTCTAAATCACAACTTTGAATGAAATGGTGTGCAATTTATAGATGGATCAAACTTTCTAGGAAACCTGGAGGTTTTTTTTTGTTTTTTTTTTTGATTGCCTATTGGAGCAAAAAAATTTCAGGTACATTTCCTTTTAGACTATCGCTATGCACATATAAGTATTTGTATTTGTTCATACTGTCCTGTGACTTGCATTTTTCACTCACCAGTATATCATGAGCATCCTTCCACATCAATATATATGGCTTTACACCATTCTTTTTAAAACCTGCATAGTATCACATAGCCTGTATTTCTAAAATTAAATTTATTTCATTCTTCTGTGAGACAGTAGTTGGACAAAGAATTATTTCAAGGAATGTCTTTCTATAAATACCCTTGAGAACTTAGGAATGAAAGATAGTCAGAAGTGGAATTTTTTGGTCACCAGGCATACTCATTTAAAAATAAAAGTACTGCCAAAGTTCCCTTCACAAAGTTGTACTAAGTTATAGTCAAAGTGCTAAAAGAAACTTTATGGAACTTGAAAAACTAGAGAAACAGTACCTACATATACCATATTAGATATATGTAGATGTTATATGGGAAATTTATCTTTTAGAGTAAAAGGGCAAATGGGTGAACCCAATTAAATGACTAAAACAAATTTTCAAGTTGGGATAGGAACTGTTTGCTTCTCGTGCTTGATTTATATCCTGGTTTTGTTTGATGTTCTGTGGGAATTTGAAATGGTAGGTCTGATTTTTCTGTCCCCTGCTTCCTGCATTCATGTAATCTCACAAAAGCAAGGTATTTAAAACATATTAATAAAAAGTCAGCTAGTACAACTCATAAAGATGATTAATTCTCTCTGGAAAATATTTTTGCTAAGTTAGATTTATAGTCATAATAAGTTTGAAAGCACTTTTGTTGCCCATGTTGATTATATTTTTTTTATTCACTAACTACCCTAATCTATTATTTCTGTAGGTTCATTATATAATATAATATGATAATAAATAATAATAAAATGTTTATAAAGACATGGAAACTATAAGCATGATACTTACCTTTAATGACCTGTGTCTCACAGCATGGCATACCAGTTGGAGAAGCAAATATAGTTTTTTATTGAATGGAAAAATAATATTTTGAAAGAAGAACATCTCATTGTTGTATATTTAAAATTCTAGTTATATACTGCTATACTTAAAATCCTAAAATCACAGAGCTAGACAAACCCATATATTTTCTAAGATGAATTAGGGGAATGTCCGGCTATCTCTTCCTATCCCCATCAGCTTTAGAATAAGAAAGTAAAATCCTTCCACTCCTGTAGGAAAAAACTGTCACTGCTGTTAAAGGAAATACATTCACAACAGAGACATAGTACATAACTATTATGAACATTCTTTCTTAAGGTATGGAAGTTATTTCCTGGACTTTTCATGGTCTACCGAGAAGCATACCCCCAGTTTGGGTGATTTTATTTCTATTGGCCATGGTAGGTTTCCATGAATTAAAGTATGTAACTATTTAATTTTAATGGTGACATTTAAAATACTGCAATAAAATATGAAAGTGATAGTTCTTGAAACCTACTTACTTATTTTAGTATCATAAAATGGAGTAGAGAATATTATCCTAAGGCATCAAAAGTTTTCTTTGTGATATGTATGGGGTATGTTCTAATTCTTAATACTAATTTTAGGTGTGTATTAGAATTAAGTAAAATTCTTTCCAGTGCCATGTGAGAACAAAAAAAATAAGCAGACTTTGCTCAAGAAATTTCAAAACTTAAAGAGAATCTTCTGATACTAGGTCTTTTTTTTTTTTTAATTTTACTATGTTATGTTAATCCCCATACATTACATCATTAGTTTTTGATGTAGTGTTCCATGATTCATTGTTTGTGTATAACACCCAGTGCTCCATGCAGTACGTGCCCTCTTTAATACCCATCACCAGGCTAACCCATCCCCCCTCCACCCTTTCCTCTAGAACCCTCAGTTTGTTTCTCAGAGTCCATCGTCTCTCATGGTTTGTCTCCCCCTTCAATTCCGCCCCCTTCATTTTTCCCTTCCTACTATCTTTTTTTTTTAACATATAATGTATTATTTGTTTCAGAGGTACAGGTCTGTGATTCATCAGTCTTACACAATTCACAGCACTCACCATAGCACATACCCTCCCCAATATCCATCACCCAGTCACCCCATCCCCCCCCCCCGACTCCAGCAACCCTCAGTTTGTTTCCTGAGATTGTAACTTCCTCTAGTAAACTTCAGTTTTAATAGCCATATAAAACACATTTCTTAAACTTCAACTTTTTGTTAAAGATAAACCAAGTCTAACTCAGGAAATTTCAATTCACATAAGCTTTAGCATTTTGGGAGGGAGAAATAGTTTTGAATAACCATTTTTATTAGCTTTATTTAGAGAAAAGTAGCAACTTTCAAGATCTTAGTCAAATCCAGTTTGCCAGATGTGCACTGTTCTGCTTTTTTTGGATGTTTGAATTGAAATTAGTGTGCTCTTAGCTAGTTGATATTTGTGTGGTGGCCGTTTTGTACCACTTGAAAATGTCACACCATGTAATGTATGGCAGTTACTTTTTACAGTAGTACATTATGTGGTTTATAATAAGCATTTAAAAATATTTGTTACATTATTTTATACTTCTGTATTTGGTGATTCACACATTTTTGTCCATTTCTCTTTAAAAATATGTTTATGTAAAACTGGAATCTTTTTTATGAAAATAATTCCCTTTTGTAGTTTTGTTACATTTCATGCTTAACTGAAAAGTTGCCAGTTTGTGGAGGAATTGGCTCATAGCAATGAGGCATTCAATTTGTTAAACACTAGTCATCAAATATAGTTACCATTCGTATAAACTCCATATTAGTAATAGATCTTTTCTTAAATTAGTCAGAATTCCAGTAGGAAAATTAAATTTAAAACAAGGGAATATCAGTTCCTAGTTTTTAGTAAGAATTGTGATCATTTACGCTGTAAAAATAAATTTGTGTGTGTGTGTGTGTTTACTACATCTACAAGTTTCTTTGTCAAGGTTTTTGAAGTGTGGTTGATTAATAAGTATATGTACCATTCTTGGTAGTAATAGTGACATAATATTGAAGAAGCCAGAAAATTTGAGCTACTAAGCCGTAATTTTAACTAATGTCTGTCACTTTAGGTTAGAAATTTTAATGTAAAAAATTATTATGGAAGAAGGAGAGTTGTTAGAAATTTTTTTTTTTCCCCTGGTTGGGTATTATTTCCATCCTTGGAATTTTCAAGAGGTGTGGAAAACTTTTGGGAGAAGTTGGCCTTTAACTAAATTGCGTACCTCATCATGTGTTTGTGGTGTCAGCATTGTGATGATACATATAAAAATGCCAGGGCTGACACCATGTGCCTAATACTGCAGTGGAGGAAACAGAAGGTGGGAGTAAGGTTTTTTGTTGTTGTTTTCTTTCAGCATTGGTTCACCAAACTACCACCTGTGTTAACATTTGAATTGTCAAGATTTGAATTCAATCAGGCATTGGGAAGACCAGAAAAAATTCACAACAAATTAGAATTTCCTCAGGTGTTGTATCTGGACAGGTATGGTTTGGTATACAGCATGACTTAGTTTTGAAACTGTTTAGTAACCAAGTAAAGTATTATTATGTTTAGAGAAAAATTTTGCTTAATTTCTTTAGAATTAATCTTTACTTTTTTGCATAATACTATTTGTCAAGGAAAATGGAGTTCTCATTCTATTTAGAAAAGTATAGTTACTGGGAATAATGTTATAAGGAAGTTAAATTTATTTTTGTATTGGTATTGCAATTGTTAAGAATTTTAAGGAGTACTCTTGTGTTGTCTGATATTTCACTGTAGAATTTTAGATGAATTGATCTTTTGTTGTGTTGGCTAGACTTAATATTGTATCTATTTCCATGTTATTTACAATGGTAATGTTGTTATTTTTCTTTTTCCTGATAGATATATGCACAGAAACAGAGAAATAACAAGAATTAAGAGGGAAGAAATCAAGAGACTAAAAGATTACCTCACAGTATTACAACAAAGACTAGAAAGGTATTGTAACTTTTATGAAATTATAAGCTAACTATAGGAAGTCATATTTTTAGTGACTCTCTGGAATATTTCATTTTAAGTTTGCTTTGAGCAATTTATAATTCTAGTAGTAATTACTCTGGATTCATATTTTGCTTGTATAGTTTAGTTCTGAGTTTGTTAGAAACTAAAATAATTCATAGTTGGCATTAGTGGTTATCTTAGTGTTTAAAATTAAATATTTTCATTGTCCACTGATAATGCTCATGGTGCTGAGAATACATACAAAGTTAAACTAATCTTAAAAAAAAAAAAATCCAAAAAAAGGACCACCTGGCTGGCTCAGTTAGTAGAGCATGTGACTCTTGATCTCTGGGTCATGAGTTTGAGCCCCACATTGGGTGAAGAAATTATTTTAAAAAAAAAAAAGTTAAACTAATCTAAATTCTAAGGTTTCTTCTTGTATGAGATTAAACTTCACTCTTGAGATTTCCATTAAAATGAATGGTGACTGAGTTTTTCTGCCTGATACAGAAGATACAAACTCACATGCCTACTAGGGCTTCATGGAGACTTTGTTAAGAAGAAAAGCAAGTCAAGTGTAAGCTGGTGGGCAAGGGGAGCCTAGAGTGCATATCCCTGTGGAGAAGGAGTGCTTACCATCTGCACTAGCGGGTGGTATCATGTGTGATGCCATGTGTGAATATCTCTCACTGTTTTTGATAGCTTCCCAGAAGACGCTGGAATCTAGACAGTCAGATGTTCTGTAATTAGAAGTCTACAGGCTGAAATGTGGCCTGAGAGATCCCAGTTTGCAACCTCTGATTAATCTGTATTTTAGTATTTGTTTTAGTATTAATTTGAAAATTAGTAGCCCCAAACTTTTTAAATAAAAATAATGTATTATATTTCAATAATTTTTATTTCTAAAAGGTATCAGTAATCATATTAAAACTAATCAGAGGTAGTAAAAGGTAGGAGGATAATATTAGTTACCATCGTAATCATGAGACCAGATGACAGATCTAAAAATAAAAACAGTCTCAGGAAATGGAACTGTCAGTTTTCATTTTCCTATTGGGTTACACCTTAGAGCAGCATTTAAAATTTATAACGGGATACAGACACATTCAGTTGTAATCAACTTTGTTTTCCTTAATTTGGGGACCATTTAAGTTTTTTCTTGAATGTATCTTCAGTTTTAACATCTTCATTTGAAAGCAAAATTAATTGCATTGTTGAAGATTTATTAAAGTGTTTTTTATCATGTTTTATAACAATTATTAAAAACAAGCAAATGTGCTTTATATACAACTAAAAGCATGTATGCATTTTATGGTTAACAGATATTTAAGCTACGGTTCGGGTCCCAAACGATTCCCCTTGGTAGATGTTCTACAGTATGCATTGGAATTTGCTTCAAGTAAACCTGTTTGTACATCTCCCATTGAGGATATTGATGCTAGTTCCCCACCTAGTGGTTCCACACCACAGACATTACCAAGGTAAAAAGTTTTCCTGATTCAGAGCCAGCTATGTTACTTGTATTACATAGTAATGTAATTGATGCCTTTAAAGAGGGTTTCGTAAAATGTACATTGTGATTTATTTTAGTGGACTCTAAACATATTAGATTCACTTAGAAGATTGTGTATATTCTGGTTGCTTTCTTAGTTCACTGTTTCAATAGATTCTATGGTTGTGGATTGAAATTTTCATATTTTTTTTCTGTTCAGAATTATGTGTTATTTTGGTACAGATTTCCACCTTTTATCCATGAAAGTATTGTTAAGTTAGTTTTTCCTGTAATGTAAGCTGATCAGTATCATATAATTCTGGTATACATAAGATTTATTGAAATGATGAAACTATTTCTTCTATAAAGCCACAATTTCATCCTGATAATAATGAATTCCTCATATATTAAGAATCTCATTGGATATTAAATTAATCCACATATTTCTCTCTCTCTTTTTTTAAAGGCTTTTTCTTTTTGAAATTATAAGCCAATTTAATGCTATGTGTTTGGCACAATTTTTGTCCAGAGCTTCAACTCGGAAAGTTTAATAATAATTATTTTATGCTTTAAAAATATAGCACAACAGAACAACAGGGAGCCCCTTCTTCAGAACTGCCAAGCACATCACCTACATCAATAGCTGCCATTTCATCGAGATCAGTAATACATAAACCATTCACTCAGTCTCGGATACCCCCAGATTTGCCCATGCATCCAGCACCAAGACACATAACAGAAGAAGAGCTTTCTGTGCTAGAAAGCTGTTTACATCGCTGGAGGACAGAAATAGAAAATGACACCAGAGGTAAGAAGCTTCTCACAGCAGAGCTACTGTCGCCTCAGATGGATATGTACAATGTTAAAATTAAGAAGGGAAATCACCTTTGGATTTCATATGTAAATATTATAACGTATTTTTTTTTCCTAGGAAGTGTTTTCTATAAGAGAAACTAGCCTGACTACCTGTTTTTATGATCTTAATATCAGATTCAGAGAGACCAACAGATTTCCTCTGGACTACTTAGTTGATTAATGACATAGCAGGTGGTCTGATTTTCTCATTTAATGCTCTAAATTTATATCAAACTGGTATTCACAGCTACTCCATTGGTGAAACCTCATACAATTAAATTAGGTATTTGTCAATTACATCCTCTCCCTAATGTTTGTGTAATGAGTTAAAGTGATAAAACAATTTTTTTTTAGATTTAAGAATTAGAAATGTGAATTTTATTTTTTTAAAAGATTTTATTTATTTGTGAGAGAGAGAGAGAAAGAGAGAGCATGAGCAGGGGGAGAGGGAGAAGCAGACTCCCTGACGATCCGGGAGCCCAAGAACCCAATGCTGGGCTGGATCCCAGGACCCTGAGATCGTGACCTGAGCCAAAGGCAGATGCTTAACCAACTGAGCCACCCAGGCACCCCAGAAATGTGAATTTTAATTTTAAATCTGCACTAACAGAGATTTCCAGATATGATCTGTGAGCTCAGTGCCAGTCTGTAATGTGTTTTAACTGGCATGTAGCAAAATAAGAAAAATGAGGACGGTGCTCTGTGGGGAGTATGAGTGTACACGTGTGTGTTTGTATGTGTTGGTGTTAAGTTGCCATCTGGCCTTTCTTGGAAGGGACTCTCCTTTATTCTGAAATTATATCTTTGCTACTTTACTGTTTTTAAAATGTCCTTTTTCTTTTTTTAAATGAAGCGATGTTAGTATTTTATTATATTTATATTTATTTTATTATAATTTTTCCTTACATGGCAAAATATAATATCCTATTACTGCCATCTCATTTTATCCTATGAAAAAAGAAAAATCTAGGAGCTACTCTTTTATACCAAAAGATTGGAATTATTTTAAACAATATGGATTGTTGGATTTTAGATGCCCAACTTGACTCATTATAGACAATATGTAAATAAAGAGCAGTCCTAATATAATATAATGTAACATAAATAGGGCATGATGGCAACTAACAATTAGCATTAGTAGCTATAAATGTTTCCCTTAGTATTTTTCATATATAAGGGAATATTTTTACGTTTGAATTCATTAGTAAACATTTATTGAGCACACTGTGTTTCCTGAACACTGTACTAGGTATTAAATAATTTTTTACTGGACTTGGCAGATTGTGTTTGTTTTTATAAGATTACATTCTGAAGGGTGGAAGCTAGGAAGCTTTTGACACCAAGGTAGTGGCATTGAGGAAGGAAAGGAACGGATATGATCTACTCTTTGGAGAAAACTGACAAAGGTAGATCATTGACAAGAGGTGAGAGAGAAAGGGAGGAATTAGGGACTATTCCCTTAGTTCCTCATGCTGGTATGAATAGAGAGATGGAATGTACTTTGGAAAAGGGCAGACTGGTGGGTAAGCAGGTCCCCACCTCAGGGGAGGAAGTAGGATTAAGATGAGTCCACTTTTGGCCATTTTAAGTTTGAGGAAAATTTAAGTTTGAGGAACTTGAGAGACATTCATCCGATAAGGGTAGGAACCTTAATACCTAATACTTTGGACCATAGTAATACAATGGATTGGGTAAGATTTTCCTTGGAATATTTGTTTCTTCTCTTTTATCCCTGTTATTACCTGTTAACATTGTTTTTTCAACTATTGTATAATAATAATAATTACATTCTACATCTGAGTAAGATGTACTTTATTTAATTTCTATATTGATACTACAAGTAGTGCTGACCTTCTACATATATATTGACACACTTTGTGAGTAGGATATATTCTTAGAAGTGTCATTTCTGGTCCAAAGTGTATATATTTTAAATTAAACTGTTTTAAAATTTTCCTTCCCAAGACATTGAACCAGTTTTTATTCCCACTATGTGGAAGAGCCTGACTCCCAACATCTTCCTTAGCCTTGGGTACTTTTTAAATTGTGGTAGCCTGAACATTGAAAAAAATGGTATGTTAGTATCTTAATTTGCATTTCCTTAATTTTGAGTGAAATTCTCTTTTTCTATAAATTTCTTGTGGCATTCACCCATTTTTTATATCGAACCATTTATCTTCTAATGCTCAATAGAAACTTTGATATTATGGATATTAACCTGTTGCCTATAGTGTTTGCTGTAGATACTATTTTCTTAATTGTCTTTATCATTTGACTTTTTTTGGTGTTGGTTTTGTTTTGTTTTTATAATGTAAATTTTCTTCAGTTTGGGGAGAGAATCTTATCTTTTCCTTTATGGTTACTGGATTTTCTGTCAGGCTCAGAAAAAGGTCTTTCCCCACTCTGAAGTTACTAGTATTTTTCCGTAGTCTTTCATGGTTTCTTCCCAATTCTTTTCAGTGGCTTTTCGTAGTATAGGTTATACTATAATTTAACCATTTCCCCATTAATAGATCTTTAGGTTGTCTCTAATTTTTTTATTGTTATGTGCAATATAGCTGTGAATAATTTTGTAGAATGGATTTCTACTGGAAGTAGAAGTAATAAGTAATGGCAGTTTCAACATTGTTTCCATTGGTGATTGTGGTAGATTTTTATTGAATGACATATATGTATATAGAAGGTTTGTGGCAAAGTTATTTTATTTCATTCCATAGTTTTCCTGTTTTAAATAAATATGTAAGGGGCTTTATGTTCCATTTCTATTGACACTTTTCCTTTATAGATTTGAATAAAGTTCACTTTTATAGGCTCGGCACATTTTCTAAGTGAATCATATTTGTTTTGGTTTTTAATTATGCACTTGTGCTATATCTTTTATTAAGGAGAACTATATTTCGTTTTATACAGACTCCAAATAGTAGTATTTCTATGAACAATTTTAGGAATTTTTCCTTATTCCTCTAACATATTGGTAGGAAAACCATTAGTTACTATCTTATGTTTCGTAGAGACGTACTTGATGTTAATCATTTTAAATCACATCTTCTATCCTTAGATTTGCAGGAAAGCATATCCAGAATCCATCGAACAATTGAACTAATGTACTCTGACAAATCTATGATCCAAGTAAGTTAAATTTTAAGTTGGTAAGTATTGCCAAAATTACATATTTTTATTTGTATGATTAACCTAATTCTTAAGCTAATTTTTCTTAATGTTTTTTATAAAATTGCTGATCTTAAAGATTCCATATTAACATCGAGTTGTATTCTCATAGTATATTTATTGTTTACTTTTTTTATTATTTTACAGTAAAACTTAGCAAAATTTTCAGAAGGTCTTAGTGTTTACAGAAAGTCCTATGGGAGAAATTATATGGTTATTTAAGGATGTTAAGATTTGGGGGAGAAGTACAGGGCTCAGTTACATTTTAACTTTCGGTATACATTATGTAGGCCATATTGCTAATTCAGTCATCAAGTTATAATTGTGAAGGTTTGGACGAATCATACTATATATAAAATATTCATCATAAGTTCATTTGAAAGAAATTTTCAAAGTTTCAAAAATATCCTATTTATACACCTGCTTTACATGTCATTAACTTATTTATCTCCCCCCTTTTTATTTCATAGTGTATTTTTTTCAAAATTTTAATCACAGCCAGTTTTCTATGGTGTTCTTCAATCAGATAGTTTATGGGTTTCATGGAATGTGGTATTAATAGACTGCTTAACTGTGGCTTAACTCTTCTGTTTTCATATTTAGGTTCCTTATCGCTTACATGCTGTTTTAGTTCATGAAGGCCAAGCTAATGCCGGGCACTACTGGGCATATATTTTTGATCATCGTGAAAACAGGTGGATGAAGTACAATGATATTGCTGTGACAAAATCATCATGGGAAGAGCTAGTGAGGGACTCTTTTGGTGGTTATAGAAATGCCAGTGCATACTGTTTAATGTACATAAATGATAAGGCACAATTCTTAATAAAAGGTAAGCACATGAAATATATAGGGTAGTCTATATTTTTAAATAAGTAGGTCTTTTTTTTTTTTAAAGATTTTATTTATTTATTTGAGAGAGAGAGAGCGCACATCAGAGCGGGGAGGGTCAGAGGGAGAAGCAGACTCCCTGCTGAGCAGGGAGCCCGATGCGGGACTCGATCCCGGGACTCCAGGATCATGACCTGAGCCAAAGGCAGTCGCCCAACCAACTGAGCCACCCAGGCACCCAAATAAGTAGGTCTTTTATGTGACTCTGGTCTCTGGTGTGATTATTTAAGTGTAATTGACTCAGAGGGTGATGGTTATGATTAGGAAATGCGGTTAGCTTATTCTAAGTGAGAAACTGGAATTGAAGAGTAATGTAATCAGGGCTGACAATTGAAATATTATTTTGTATTCAAAGTTAACTATTTAGTAACTATTATAAAATGCAAATCTGACCCTAATGATGTAATGTATGGTGATTAACATAATAAAAATTTAAAAAATTTAAAAAATGCAAATCTGACCTATTTCTCCTCGCCAAAATCCCTTTAAGGACCACATCATGCACTGACTCATATTTAAGCTCCTTAACCTAATATATAGGCCTCCATTTTCTGGCCTCTGTCTTTCAAGCTTCGTTTATAAATGTTGTCCATTTCAAACTATATATACTTTACTGATATTTGAACTGCTTGTTGTATTCTCTTCACACCAAATGATTTCACACATTTATAACTTTAGTTTTTATGTTTTTTATTTTTTGGAGGGAATGTTCTTTTTTCTTTCTTCTTTTGTCTAATTTCTGCTCATCTGTCAAGATTCAATTCAGGTGTCATCTGCTCTGCCAAGGTTTTTTTTTTACTTCTACCAGAAAATACCTCTCCTTGTGTTCTCATAGCATACCTCTATGGGGCACTTATGTGTGTTGGAATTGTATGTCAACTTGTCTTTTCCACTTCACTCTAACCTTCTCAAAGCCAGGGACCATGTCATACTATGTCTTAATCATTTTATTTCTTATATTCTAATACAGGCTTTGCATGTAGAAAGTACTTAATAAAGTTTTGTTCAAACTGATAAAAATCAACTTTCCTTTTGTGTTTAACCATTCAGCAACACTAGCTAGGTGGTCCACTTATGATGGAAAGCTACAGTGTATTTTGTATGTGTGCAGAAGTTCAGTAACTCTCTTAAATACCACTTCTGTAACGTTTTTGAAAATCTTGCTATATTGATTAGTTTTCAAATTGCCTGTAAGTATATTGCTGTGCTTAACTGCTTTGGATGAAAAAGAATTTTAGTTCTGTTTTGAGTTTAATAAGGTTATGAGTTATCTCATTTTGTGATTTTTATTTTATGAATAATCAAACATCTAGTATTTTATTAAAATCAAAAATGCAGTACTATGTCAATATTTGAGTAGCAAATGATTTTGGCTTTATATCCTGTTCCGTTTTTTTTTTACTCTTAATCTAGAGATTAAAAAAAAAAGCTGAGAACATTTCCTATAATAGATTATCAAATATTTGCATCATTGCTTATCTAAGCATTTGTTTGAGTTTTCTTTTAATTTTTAATATTGATTTGTTAAATGGTAATAATTCATGCTTTAAATCCCATTTGAAATGCATCCTGTTTTGAGCTTTGCATTTTTCCTTTAATTCTTAATTTTATATTAGTTTTTGAAATATGATTTGCAGAGGAGTTAAATAAAGAAACTGGGCAGGCTCTTGTTGGAATAGAAACATTACCACCGGATTTAAGAGATTTTGTTGAGGAAGACAACCAGCGATTTGAAAAAGAACTAGAAGAATGGGATGCGCAACTTGCCCAGAAAGCTTTGCAGGAAAAACTTTTAGCATCTCAGAAATTGAGGGAGTCAGAGTCTTCTGTAACAACAGGTTAGTACCTTTTGATTAAATTGTATTTTATTATCAATATATTTATTATTGATACTTTATTATAAAAATAAGATATGCTCATTTAAAAAAGAAGTTTAATTATGTCAAAGTATGAAGAAGACAGTAAAAATCATCTGAAATTCCATCACTCCTCTGAGTTGCCACTGATAACAATTTAGTTTACCCCTTTGACAGGCACTGCTGTATTCATATATACCTTTTTCAAGTTAAATGAGATGATTCTGCTCTTTCTCTATCCATCCTGCCCATTTTGATTGGGTCTGACCCTTCTTGGCCAGAAGCTTAGAAAAGCCATGAAAACCAGCAAGTAATCCAAACCTTTTCACCAAAGCTATTGAGAGAGTGAACTTTTTACTTTACTTTAGTAATTTCCCATTTGAGCAAAATAGCATTATTGGTATATCTGTATATATTTTGTATAATACTTTATGTAATATTTTGTGTAATTATGCTGTTGTTATAGAGCAGTTATTTGATTTTATCAGAATTTTTAAAATTAAAAAATTTAGCTGAAACTAAGTATTTAATATTTAAAAATATTCTAAAGTTATTAGCTGATGAAATCAATAAAATGTTCAGAGTAAACAGTACAAGAATAAACATGTTCTAGCAAAATTGAAAATAAAATGTCTTCCGATTTTTTTTTTTTTTTTGAAGATTACTTTCATCATCACAGAGTTGTTCATATATTTTAGGGCAACATATTTTCTACTGTGAAAAAGTGCTATTTCTCTGTAGTAGTTGGAGGAGTGGGAAGAGATAAATACAGATATTTTTGCAAACTCATTTCTCTGTTTCATAACTCTGAGTGGATCTTTTTGAATGTCCTTTTTATGCAACATCTGTGTGTTTTGTCTTTTATTTTTTAAGAAACCATTTTAGAAAGAAAAAAAAAAAAGCATTTTAGGTGTTTGCTTAATTTCATCTTTTACAGACCAGTTCCCATACAGCAGTAACTACTTTGGTGAATTTTAGCATTATCATTTGAACTTTAGAAGAAATTATTCTCTCAGTGGAAGATGTACAGTACCACAATATGGTATTGTGAGTAAAGCAGGCACACACAGATCTGTCCAGACTTGTTAACTTGTTTTCATATAAATTGATTAGTTGAGTCCTTGATCTTGATGTTAACAGGCATTGATTCAGAATTTTTAAAAGACCAAGATAATGGTATTATACCAACAAAGATACCAATATTATGATCCTCAAATGCAATATAGTATATCTGAATACCACCATTGTAGTGTGGTAAGCTCTACCATGATGCACGACTGTATTTCTTTCCATACATTAAGAGCTACCTTGTAGACTACATGAAGGTCTGTGGTTTCACAGTAATGCAGTTTCTTTACAGTGACTTTGTCTGCTTCCATAAGAAATGACTCAGTAGATATCAAGAGATTTTTGTGCTCAAATCACAGTATGTACATTATAATTCTTTTCATTTTTGAGCCAATTCCATCCCTTTGTGATTTCATTCCTTGTCTTTGGTACATATCCTCCTCAAACCGATCCCGAGAACTTACCCCAATGGAGCTGCTTTGTTATACTTCCACTAACTTTTATGCACACCATTTGCATGTGTCTGTTCTTACCTTACTAGTGGGAGAACATGGCTGCCTAATTGGCATAAGTGATAGTGGTACCTAAGCACTCAGATGAAGGTGAATCCTGCATTCATTGGTTAGGCTCCAACTCTGTTTTTGGCTCACTTACATTTTGTGGCAACAAAATATTAAGTGCTGTGCGGTCTCCTTCTTTTCATCTTGTCTTTCACAAGACTAAATTTACAGACTTAACACATTTTATTTCCTTTCAAACTAATACATATTCCCCATTAATATTCCTGTCTGAGAGGACTAGACAACTTTGCCCTCCCATTTGCATTTGTTATCTTATATTCTCTCTGTATAAAAGGCCACATCTATATGCCCCATACCCTTTATCCTGATTAATACTTCCTACCATATACTGTAAATGCTGTTTTGTAATTTAAAAAAAACCAGGAGTAGGTATTAGGCATATATTTTCATGTCTTTCTTTTTAGTATTTAAAAAAAGTACTTGAGGATGGAGATGTATTTCTGAGAGGAATCAGAATAACTAAAAAATAAAGAGACAGAAATGGTCAGTTCATATATAACTATTATGATAATTATCTTCCAGGCTGGGTTTTTAGAAAGTAGTGGCAATAACTGCCTGAATCGGAAACATTGTGTCACCTATAGAATTGCTAGAAGCATACACTTTGAGTTTGTAGGAATAGAATGTGCTAAGTCTATAAATTTGGGGAGTGAGATTATTGTTTAAAAGATTGGTTTCTACTACTGTATTATTTTATATATCCTATTAAGAAGTCCATCCTCTCTTGCAGGGCAATTTAACATACCACAGTTGTATAAGGGAACTCATTAATGTTTATTGGAACCACTTATCTCCCCAATCATTAGTAGAGAAAGTTTACTTTAATGCCCGTGTCATCTTACTTCTCTTCACAGTTTCCAGAGTAATTTGCTCAATTTGGTATAATATTTTCAGCATATTAAAGAGAACCTATATTTAAATCTCTCAGGTGTGCACTAGAATTACGAGTGACTAGTGGAAGTAATATGAGGAAATCTTGTTCATAAAATTCATCAGAGTGATTTTTCTTTCCTCAAAAATCTTCTCAATAAAGCTATAACATGAGAACTATTAAAGTCAGTTTCTACTGAGTGATATTCCAAATAAGAATATTGGTTTATATAGTATTAATTAAATGAGTATTTGTTCCACTTCTGCTTACATGTGACCAAGAAATCCATAGAACTCACTTCTCTAGTACCATTCCTTGTTTTACTGAAACTAAGTAATAAATGATGGAACCAAAAATTATTTGGTTCTTTTCATGCTACCTCCTTACACGTACTTACTGCAAAGAAAAACTTACCTGAACACTTATGTTTAGAGATCTATTCAATAGTTCTTTACTACGGTGTATCCGGTCTATACCTGGGGAATTTTTTTGTGAGTATAAACAGCACACTCCACCTAAGTAAGATCACCTAAGACTTAACTGGGATCAGAACCTCTGAAGGAAGGGTCCAGAATATATATTTTTAAAAAGGTCCTCAGATAATTCTGAGATATACCTCTGGTTAAACAGTATGGCTCCAAGCTATATTTATAAAACAGAGAAATTATTCAGAAGGAGAGAAGAGCTTTGCACTTTTACTTGTGTTTCTCCTGTCTTATTCAAAAACTTTTTTAAAGATTTATTTATTTGAGAGAGCACGAGTGGGAGGGGAGGAGGGTGAGGGGGAGAGAATCTCAAGCAGACTTGCTTAACCAACTGCACCACCCAGGCACCCCTAAAAACTATCTTTTTTTTCATTTAAATTTTAGTTAGTTAACATGCAGTACACTATTGTTTCTGGAAAAACTGTTGAAGTCGTCATAACCTGTGTAGCATATCCGATTTTTTTTGAAAAGGTAGAAAAAATAAGGTAAACAGGTTAATATTGGTATGGAATGCATTCCATAAGATTTCATAAATTTACCTAGAGGGGGCTTGCAGAATTGGCTCTGGAACTTCTCTACAGATACTGTCTACACGTTAAAAACAAGCTGATATTCCAGGAAAGTACAGCTGGTTTCTGAGAGTAAGACCTGGTAGAATGAATAATATCATCAATATTCTCAGGTTCCTTTAAAGCAGGGACTGAGTGATGTTCTTATTTATATCTTCAGAATCTAACATAATAAATGACATATAGTAGATGACCCTTGAATGTTTTCTGAATTGAATTCATTTCCTATGGAGATTCCAATAATGAGTTTCCTTTAAGTGATCCTCATTGTATGGGACATTTTAAAAGTCTAGCCAAAATAATGATACATTAGAGAAGCAGGCTAAAAATGTGTGGTACAGATGTAGCTCTGTCCTAGGTAAATTTTAGGTTTAACTCTGGTTCCTAAGCCTCCACCCCCCCCGCCACATTCCCACAATTGTTTGTGGTGGTACCCAGGAAATTGAAGTCTTAAAAGTTTCTCTCGTGATTCTACGCAGCCAGCCTACCATGGCTCTTTATAGGCTGCTTTTGGGGAATTGTTGATTTTAAATACATTTCTAGAAGTGAATGTTCTGCATATCTTTGAAGTAATCTTTTTTTTTTTTTTTTTAAGATTTTATTTATTTATTTGAGAGAGAGAGGATGAGAGAGAGTACATGAGAGTGGGGAGGGCCAGAGGGAGAAGCAGACTCCCTGCCGAGCAGGGAGCCTGATGCGGGACTTGATCCAGGGACTCCAGGATCATGACCTGAGCCGAAGGCAGTCGCTTAACCAACTGAGCCACCCAGGCGCCCTGAAGTAATCTTCTTTAAATAGTCTTCTAAATGTGAATGTAATAAGTAAGACTCCTCAATAAGGCAAGGTATTAAATATTTCTGAAAGAGGAGATGTTGCTCCTTTTTTTTTTTTAATAGTAGATTTAAGATCTTGGGTGTGGGGATAGGGTAACTGGGTGATGGACATTAAGGAGGGCACGTGAGGGGCGCCTGGGTGGCTCAGTAGGTTAAGCGTCTGCGTTCGGCTCAGGTCATGGTTCCAGGGTCCAGGGATCGAGCCTTGCATCGTGCTCCCTGCTCAGCGGAGAGCCTGCTTCTCCCTCTCCCTCTGCTGCTCCCCCTGTTTGTGCTCCTCTCTCTCTCTCTGTCAAATAAATAAAATCTTAAAAAGGGGGGGGGGGCATGTGATGTGATGAGCACTGGGTGTTATACACAACTGATGAATGATTGAGCTTTACATCTGAAACTAATGATGTACTATATGTTGGCTAATTGAATTTAAATTTTAACAAAAAGAAAAAAAAGATTCTTATGCTGTAACAGAAAGCCAATTGGTTATCGAGTTAACTCTCCCCGTAAAATGTTGAAGAGCATAAACAGGAAATATACATAAGTAGAACACTCCCAAGCCCTCCCAATCCCTTACTCACTGTGAAGGTGGACCAAAGGAGCAGGTTCAGAGTACTCGTAGAATGTTGGGGTCTTCTTTAATGGCCAAATAGGTGAATGAAGCCTCTACATCATGAACTAGAGCATGGCTGGAAAATCTCTTACGTGGAGGATAACCATTTACAAATCTCAGTGAAGTACCCATAGGACGAATAAGTGATGTAAGAGACACTTTAGATACAGGGATATTATATACGTCTGTAGAATATTGGTAATCACCAGCCGTATTCCAAATTGAAGCCTGAACAATATTTTAAGCTGAGGGACCAATTAGTATATAATTATCTGATTTTACTGGGGGTTCTTAAAGTGAGTGAATTTTATGTCAGTTTTCTTCATTACTAATATAAATGGCGCAGGCTCAATAAACATGCTGCATGAAGTTTGGGTTTTTGTTTCCAAACTCCCAGATGTTAAATCCTCATAGGTTCCCCTAGTGACTGTACAGCACCACTCAAATGTCAGTTCCCTGGAAGATACATACACAAGGAAAACTAGAAGAAATAGTTCTGTTGTATGACATTTAGGCAAGATTATTCAACATTACTCATAAGTTTTTTGGACTCAAATCCCTATGTGGAAGGGAATCTTGACCCTGGGGATCTAAGATATATTTTACTGTGTTGATCAGATAAAATTACTTTTGTTCCTAAGGACTTATTTTACATAGACTATCCATGTTTCAGTGTGTTAGACCAGTGCCAGACCAGATGGATTTCTTGGCCCTCATTGCATTAAGTTCACATCCTCCTATCAGCTGGAGGTATAATCTAAAATTTTCTTTACCTTATCCATCCATACAGGGCACTGAAAGAACATTGCAGTACAAAGTCAGGAAATACAGAAATGAGGGCATTGACTTCTTTAAACTTCCCTCCTGTCATACACACTGTAAGCATTCCTTCCTCTAGTTTTCCTTGTCATAGTAAATTTTACCTCCATCATCCTAGTTACTCATGCCAAAAAACTTAATCATCTTCACATCAGCCTCCAAACCTTTGTGTCCAAAATACATCTTCAATCTTACCAGTTCTCTCTACCTCTCTTGCTGCCTCTGTTGTCCAAAAGCACCACCATCTCTTGCTCATATTGCTCTGGTACCTTCTAGTACTTTCACTGACCTCTAGTTTTATTTTCCTCTCTAATCCATTCTTCACACTGGAGCCATAATAATTTTTTTTTTTTTTAAACTTGCCACATTGCAGGCACCTGGATGGCTCAGTCAGTTGAGTGTCTGCCTTCGGCTCAGGTCATGACCTCAGGGTCCTGGGATCGAGCCCCGCATCCGGCTCCCTGCTCAGCAGAGTCTGCTTCTCCATCTCCCTCTGACCCTCCTCCCTGCTTGTGCTCTCTCTCTCTCTGTCTCAAATAAATGAATAAAATCTTAAAAAAAGAAAAACAACTTGTCATATTGCCATTATATTTATCCTCAAAACTTTTAATTAGACTCAAAGGCCCTTTGATTTTGCCCCTGTCCTCTCTTGCTGTATCTCTCCTCTTACACTGAAGTCCAGCCACACTGCCCTTCTTTCAGATCATCTTTCCATCAGGGATGATCAACCCCTCATCCTTCAGCTAAAAAGTCAGTTTATCTCATATTCCATAATTTAAGTTATCGCTCCCCCATTTTATTCCTAGCATGTATTATTATAATATTGTCACAATTCACATGTGTGATTCTTTGATTAATGACATTCTCCATGATTGACTCTAAACTTCATGGGGTGAGAGACTGGCTGCTTTGTTCATACTGGGAGTCCCATTGTCTAGTCTATTGCCTGGCACATAGTTAAATACTTAATTAAAATTTATTGGATGGATGTATTCCCATGCATATATGTTGAAATTATAGTATTTCTTACTGAATAATATTTCACTGTGAGAGTTTTTTTTTTTTTTTTTTTAAATCAGATATCGAAAGGATGGCAATAGCCCTGTTGTGTCAAGCCAGTTGGTTTGGAGGGGCTCATTTAACCAATCCCAGTAACACTGTAGAACATTTTAGTGTACTTTATTATTCCTTATATCCATTACTTATTAACTCATTTGTTCCATTAAGTTATTGTGTGCTTATTGTATGCTAGGTGTCGAAGAAATAGCAATACAAAAAGGAGATAGCATCCCTACTCTTGAGATTCTTAGTCTAGCAGGGAATATGGGCTTGAAACAAATATAATAGTAATTAAGTCATAATTGTGGTAAAGTGCTAAAAGAAAGAATAAGTTACTTTAGAGCAGTGGTTCTCATTTGAGAGTGATTTTGCCCCCCAGAGGACATTTGACAACCTGAAGACATTTCTGGTTGTCATACCTGAAAGGACAGTACCACTTGCATCTAGGGGGTAGAGCACAGGACCACTCCACACCAAGGAATCAAAATGAACCAAAATGTCAGTAGTGCCAAGAAGCTGAGAAACCCTGCTCTAAAATTGGTATAATCGGGAATACTTTCGTAAGGAAGTGGTATTTAAACAAAAAGACATAGAAGTTCTTAGATGGGAGACTGAGAGTGGGTTGAATATATAGGCAGAGGGAAGAAAATGTGGAAAGATCTGAAGGTTGAAAGGAAAAATCTCTTTTTTATGTATTAGATAACCTGAAAAAGAGCATAGAGCACAGGATACAAAGTTATGTTAGAGAGAGAGGCGGAGGCCCACTTACATAAAGCATTTGGGGTTGTCTATAAAGTATCTAGTGGGATGTTCAGAGTACATTGTTGCATCGATGGGTCTGGAGCTCAGAGCCTAGATGATAGATAAAACTTTGAGAGTTCTTTGCAAGGGTGGTATTTGAAGTCTTGAATTTATATTAGTATCAGTTTGCCAGGTTGTAATTGTTTTTCCTCTGACAACACTCAATTACCAGGGCAGGTTCAGAAAAGATAGAAGGTTGGGTTCATTCAGGGTTAGGTTTGGTCAGGGAGGTGTGGAAAAGGATTTGTGGCCAGAGAAACAGCTGCTGTCTTCTCTGTGGAAACTCTAACTTGATGAGGAGCTAGAAAGACTCCTTTTTTTTTCTTCTTTTTTGGTAGAATGCTGACGCTCTTCCAAAATGAGATTTTAGTATTTATCATGACATAAAAATTTGCTATGAATTTCTCATCATAGACTATGAGACAATGAGTATTTTTTTCAGTAATTGACTACTCTTGAACCTGATTTTTTTTGGGGGGGGGTTAAATTCTGGGGTTGGTGCTCTATGTTGAGTGGTATATTAAATAAAAGTAAAATTGGTTACTCTATAATTTGAATTAGAATTAAATAACAGATTCATCTTTAGATAGCTCTCTGTGATTGGTATTAGATACACAAATGATTCTTTTCTTATGAAGCACAAGCAGGAGAACCAGAATATCTAGAGCAGCCATCAAGAAGTGATTTCTCAAAGCACTTGAAAGAAGAAACTATTCGAATAATTACCAAGGCATCACATGAACATGAAGATAAAAGTCCTGAAACAGTTTTGCAGTCGGTAAGAACTTTTCTTTTAGCTCTCTGAACATAGACATCTTCATGACGTTTCCAGCAGTGTAATGGAGAGTAGCTACATGGGAGTCAGGAGAGGCAGGGCCAAGGGCCAACGCTCCCATTAACATCATCAGGGACTGTGGGTGTTACCTAACCCCCAGGCTGTAGCTTCCTCAGCTGTAATCTTTTTAAAGATGCTTTTTTTTTAAAAAGATTTACTGATTTTTTTTTAATTTTTTTTAATTTTTTTTTTTGAGAGAGAGAGCATGAGTGCCCAAGCAGCAGGAGGGGCAGAGGGAAAGAGAGAGAGAGAGAATCCTCAAGCAGACTCCATGCTGAGTGCAGAATCTCATTTAGGACTCAATCCCAGGGTTTTGGGATCATGATGTGAGCCAAAATCACGAGTTGGCTGCTTAACTGACTGAGCCACCCAGGTGCCCCTAAATGCTTCTTTTTAAAAATAAATTTCGGTCTTCCTGTTAGAGAATGAGGAAGAATCATAATCATAGACTAAAGTGATCATTTGATTTGGAACTTAAAAAGAGAAGTATAAAATTTAGCATTATTTCTTTTTCCCTCACCCCTTCCCTCTATCTTTAGTCTTATTACATTGGAATAGTTGGAAATATAAGGTAATAATTTTCATTGTTCCATGGAATATGTTTAAAAGTAAAATACTAGAAATTCTAGGTTCAAGTATTATTAGCAGGATAAATGTGATCTTGCAAAGTGTTTTATGCATATTTCAGTAGAGTGTCCAAACAGAATTGTCATTATAACCCACCTGTGTTGTAGCTCTCAATTGTGTCTTTTTATAGCAATAAATTGAGTACATTGGTATTGTACTGTGTTTTCAGTGCATATGACCTTCTGAGAGATGTTATTTCACAAATTTCATACTACAAAAACATTCAGTTGCTGTAGTTATTTTTTTATTAGTGAACACAAGCCGCTGTAATGCAGGTTTCTTGATGGTTAATTTTAGTATTTGAAGACTACCATCCTAGAGAACTAAAGGGAACAGGACATTCAGTTTTTCTTTTTCTTTTTTTAAAATTTATTTATTTATTTGAGAGAGAGAGAGATTGAGAGAACGAGTGGGAGCAGGGGCAGAGGGAGAAGCAGAGTCCCTGTGGAGCAGGGAGCCCCATACAGGACTCCACCCAGCACCCTAGGATCATGACCTGAGCCAAAGATGCTTAACTACTGAGCCACCCAGGCCCCCAGGACATACAGTTTTTCAACACAGTTTTCTACTTAGTGAACTTAATCTCAACAATAACCTGCTAATTGCAATAAGGTCTTTAATGTGATAGGACCTTGATTAACCAAAATGTTCAGTTAATGAGGTATTCTGTTATGTTTTGATGAATGAAATAATCAGAAATCACTTTTTTATTTCACTTCCTATGTGAAAAATTTTGATTATTATCATTTTACTATAAAAGATGTTTTAATATAGGGTTTTTTTTTTTGATTATTCCAAATTTTGCAAATGTCCTGGAGATTCTAATGAGCTTGAGATGAACCCCTGCTAATTCAACTCTAAAGCATTCCTAGAAAATGCTTCTTGTAATGGATCTGAGATGTCTAAGTTCTTGGGGTGTGGTAGAAGAGGAAAACCTAGGGAGGTACAAAGGGCAGAGAAGTAGATACAAGGGAGAAATATTTTTCCCTGATCTAAAAATGTAATTTGCTTGGCCCTTTGCTAATTAGGAATTTTATTTGTTAAAGCCTACCTTATGGTTAATAAGTATCATCATTTTAACTGTAATCAGAAAGCCAAAGGTATTATTTAGCTTAATATAGAAACATGATTTTTTTAGTTTGGCTAATCATGTATAACCTAAATTTGCATAAACCATCACTTAAACGTATTTTTATATATAATAATATATTTATGTATGATAATATATATAACTAATATATATTATATATATAATATGAGTATCATTTTATAAGCCTACAATCTACTGCTTCACCTTTATTTGAGAAAGGAGGATGACATTGAGAGAATATGATAGATAGCTAGCATAAATATTTTTCCATTTGGCATATCTGCTGGAGTAGCACCAACAGTTGGCCCGAGTTGTATAAATCCTGCAGCATGTCTAAGAATATGTTAATCGTGGCTATCTGAAGCAGCCTGTTCGTGGTCTCCTGAGTAGTTGCTTAGGATCATAACCACATACTGGTTTTTCTCACTTAAAGATACACCTTAGAAACTAAATCGTATGCATGAAAAGAGTGTTCAGACTTTGGGATTAGATAGTCTTGGGTTTTTTAATACTGGTTTTATTTCTCACTAGCTATGCAAACTTGAATAAGGTGCTTAATTTTTCTAAACATTGGTTTGCTTTTACATAAAATGGAGACCATTGGGAGATTAAGATTATTTTTTTGAAGGTACTGAGCATGTCGTACAGGTACTAAGCAGCTGTTAGTTTCCTTTTGTTACTTAAATACAAACCATTTCACAAATTTACAATATATTAAGTTCCAACCTTAGCTTAAGAATTCCCTGGAAGCATAGTCATAGAGAGATAGTCTCTAAACGTATAAAAAGCTTACTGTTTAGAAGAATGTCTTTAATTTTAAATGAAATATTTTAAAATTTGAAAAATACAAAAAAAGTATACTTCAAGAAAGAATCATGTGTAGTCCCACTACTCAAAGCTCTAATCACGTAATATGTTGGTATTTTTTTTTTCGTCCTTATTTTTATGTACAGGTTTGGGATTTATTTTGGTAGCTGAGGTATTTCTGCATATACAATTTTGTTTATATATGCCTTTTCTTCTTTAATCATTTAACATTGTGACATAACTATTTTCCCCATGTTAAAAATTCTCTGTGAAAAACATTTAATGGTTGAGTATTATTCCATTGAGTGATTAAATTCTTATTTACGTACCCATTCCCCCACTGTATATTTGCTTCTACTTTTATATTATTATAAATAGGCTGTTAGAAATGAAATTTTCTCCATATTCCAATTTATTTCTTTAGAATAGATTCCCTATAGTTGAATTACTAGATTAAAAGGTAGGGGGTCGAGGTGGTTGTAGTTACATAGCTTTCTAATTGCCCTTTCATGAAAAACTACTTTTTAAAACAGTCCACTTAATGGATTTCAGGCAATTAATAAAAATCTTTGTATTTTAATTATTTTGGGAACATTTATTAACTGAAACACTTATTAACTCCTTTCAGGTTTAGCTGTTGTTAAGGTGTTTATATAGGACCTGACAATAATAGAGAAAGATGGATACACATGTACTTTACTTTAATGAGCCCTCAAAGTCTGTATACGGAAAATTTTTGTGGTACCTTAGGATATCTAAACTTGATGAATGATACAACAGAATTATTACATTCACCCAAAGTTTCTTTGTTTTTTCAACTTGCACGCATATAACTTGTCAGTTAAATGCTGTTGAAACTCTTCTGTGGTAACTGAAAATGTTTATTAAACATTATTTTTTCCTAAGTGCAACGTTTTTTTTCAAAGGCCATATATTGTTTCATAAGGATCATTATACTGATACTGATCAGTTTCCCAGTTGCTACTTAAATTTATATTCTCTCTTCTTAAGATAATATTGTTTTAGATTGATTTGATTGTGAGAAGTGTTTCACCACAAGTTCTAGACAGATCTCCTAATTTACCTGATCAAATTTCACTATTGTGGATAGGGATCAAACACATTTACTCTTCTTTCATATGCTAGAAGGATTTAAAATACTTAGTTGTCATGGGATAATAAGCATATCTCTCTAGGTATGTATGCTAGTAATATTGGGTTATTCTATTCAAATACAAGCACTTTAAAGTAGCATAACAGTATTATAATACTGGTAATACTTGTCATTATAGAACAGCTAGTATATATGAGATATTGGGTTAGCTGAATATTATCTCTCGTGATCACAACAACCTTGCAGGTTGGTTATTTCCTCTTGAAAAGTTGAGGACTCAAAATAAGGAAACCTTTTCTAAATACGTTATGTTTAAAAGTAGCATTTCTTTTAAAAGGGACAGTGTCAGTCTTGGCCATTAGTTTTGTTTTATTGTTTAAACTCTTTTTGTGTATGTACTTCTGGAAAGTCATAAAATGTTCTCATCTCCAGAATTTACTTATATTTCAAATTGAAATAAAACCCCTTTAATTGCTTTTATTTAAATTTTATGTCAAAACTAAAGTTTATCTTTTGCTTCAGAAAACTAAAGCTGCAAATTGAAATTACTTAAGCAAGCTGCTTTCAAGCACCTAAGTACTTGCGAAATTTGTTTATAGGTAAATAGTGAATATGCTAATTATAAATATATTCAGTAGTATAAGATCTTTGTGAAATCTGGACACAATTTTGGATGAACCATATTAGTATCTTTGAGTAGACTTTCTTGGATTTCATACTGGCTTCTACTCTATTAGTGGAGTAGGGAAATTCATAGAATTTGTTATCAAAGAAAAGGATAAATAGAAAGAAATCTCATTGAATTGTTAAAAAGGGATGTCACTTTCCACCATCTTTTTCAGAAGCAAGAATTCATCAGACACATATATAAATTCATTGTACAATACATCATACAAGACTCATAGGCTGTACAGAGTGAGTTAAACACAATAGAGTATGGATATAAATTGGATATACTATTAATTTATTAGAAAGGATAGAAAGGTAAAATCATAAGAAAGAAAACCTGCAAACTGTCATGGGTTCAGATGAGGTCATGTGTATTTTGATGGAGTTATCAAGAAAGGATTTATGGAATTATTAGAATTAAAAAAAAAATAAAAACCTCAGCTGTAACTTATAGACAGCAGTAGGAAATGCAACTCCAGTGTTTATTATTTTTAAGGATATGGTGTCCAAAGTGCTTAGTGGGGAAAAAAAAGAAAATTTAGTGGTTGAGTTGTAAAAGGAAAGTTACATGTCTTATGTTATTACTTGATTAATGCATTCACTTCTGATGTTGGTTTTAGGTGGTTTCATTTCATACTAAGCAAGTGCAGATATTTTTTAACGACTCAGGAATCTCTGTCCTTTATACTTGGTACTTCCATTGTTCTCTTTTCTAATGTTCATACTAATAATTTTTTTCCTGCAGAAACCTGAAAATACCACAAGCCAACCACCTTCTAACCAGCAAGTTGTAGAGGTGGCGATTCCCCATGTAGGGAAATTCATGATTGAGTCAAAGGAGGGGGGTTATGATGACGAGGTACCTTTATTGTAGACCTCTACACTATTCCTACTTATCTTTGGCTATTTAATACACGTACTTCGGGCATGCGTGCGCCTTCACATTTGTGTGTATTGCTGCATAACATACAGCTTGGCCACCTATGGTCTGGAATTACCTTACCAACTGCTAACAGAACTTTGAATTGCAAATGAAAATTTAAGTAGAAAGCTATGGAATTTGTCAAAAGAATAATGTTTCTAGAGTTAATTCTTTTATGTAGATACATGATCAGTTTATTCTCAGGTTGATAGATTATAATAAGGGTTGTTTAATTAAATAGCAAAAAATTTGAACATTTAAAAATAATTTTTTCCTGTTTTACTTGAATTATGTATTATAATACTTTGCCTACTATTTCCTGCCAAAAAATCCTACAGCCTGATTGCAAATAGATGTTGGATATTTTTGCTTCTGCAACCTCCATGTGAATGTGAATTGAGCGATTCATCATTATTGAATGCCTTCCAGTGCTTTATACACTGTTCTTGAGAATCCAGATAAAAATGTGCTATTGTCCTTTTGCACTTTTTTCTTAAGACTCTTACATTGGATCTTTCTTATATTTGAGAGAGGGCCAGTAAAGCTGTTTTTGAATAGTAATCCCTAGAAAACCTTGAATTCTGTCATTTGTTAGTTTTTACTGGCATGGATGAGAATTTAATATATATTAGTTTTTTCCAAGTAATTTTTTTTCAGACTTATTTCAAAATTACAATTAAGTGATTATATAAGAGTTAATCACCGAAACCAGAGGTGTCACAAAGACATTAAGATTACTGTGCCAATGTAAGAAAACATGGGCCATAAGGAGAATAAGAAGCTGGTTTATGAGATAGGAACTGGTGAGATGAATTTTCTGAAGCAGATGTTAGGTATATTGTGACTGTCAGTGTATAATCAAAATTTGGGTGATAGGTTCAGTGAATCAGAGGTGATGGATGCAATCTCTTGATTGCTCTAATACAATAACTTCATAGTGCCTTGAGTGGTTTCATTTTGCAGGTATTTTAAAATGCAAACAGCTAAGAATGATAAGCTGTTATGAAAACAAAGAAATATTTAAGTATTTGATATTTAATAGCAGTACATTGTTGCTGCTTGAAAATTATGGAAACTGGCATTTTTTAATAAAAATGTTCATTTATTGACCAAGCACCTCAGTGCTTGTTTTAGGGTAAGCCTTCTGGCATTTTAAAATTTAGAATTGTGATTAATCATTTAACACTGTCTTTTGTGCAAATGCTTATGCTATTGGCAGAGATGCATTTTGTTTTGTTTTTGTAATTGGAGTGATGGTTTAACAGTGCATGTACCTGGGAACTTGAAGTCATGTGGATACAGGGCTGCAGCTCATAGATGTTTAGGTTGTACTGTTGTGCAAGGGAGCCCAGCCAGCAGGCCAAAGTGGAGGTGAAAATGGAGCTCATGCTGAGCTCCTCAAACCTTAAAGAAGCACTTTTTTAAATAAAAAGTGTTGCTTGTTCTAAGTGGTTCTCAGAGAGCAGCACTTTTTGATTTGTTTGTCAAGAGGGAGGTGCCTTTTTAGAGTTCTTCAGTTCAGAGAGGATGCCTTTTTGCAGTTTGCACAAAGGCACCATCTGGAGCTAGCTGTGGCCCTGTATGGATGATTTTGAAAGATACTTACATGCATATTGGATCATATTTGCCATAAAATATACAATGGTTAATTTATAAGTAGTGAAAAACAAAGGACTTTTAACTTGCATGTCAGTATATTATTTTGGTTTTTGATACATATTTTTTTATGTTAACCATTCATTCAAAAACTCTTACTTTAAATTCCTTGTGGCAGATCATGATGACACCGAACATGCAAGGTATTATCATGGCGATAGGTAAATCCAGGAATGTATATGACAGGTGTGGCCCTGAAGCAGGGTTCTTTAAGGTACAATTAACATTTTCATTTAAGTTTTTAATGTTTTTAAATGAACTTCTTAAAATATTTTATGTCCTTGAATTAAATTTGGTTATATAATTTCTCTTTTCCTATCTTAGCCACGGCCACCTGATGTTCTGAGGGTTTCTTTTATACATATAAGAATGATTTTTTTTTTTTTGGTAACCCAGATAATTCAACAAAAAACAAAACATTTTACCAGAGTTACCCTAATAGTGTACCTTTGGGTTGTTAGCAGAAATTTGAATTGTGTTTTTATTTGAAAGGAATAAAAAGTATTGATGAGTGAAAATAGGAACTGAGTAATTGCTTCTGATATTTTATTTTCTTCTCATTGGTAATACTATTCGTCAATATTACAATATTTTTTAAGAAATTTCACTATCATTTGATTCTAAACTGCTTTCTTCACTTGGTTGTTTCAAAAATGATTTGTTCATTTATTTTTATGTTTCTTATTCACTTATGTTTTCTCCTGACTTAATTTTTAATATCCTAGTTGTTTCAAGAAATGTGTGAGGCCATCAAGCAGTTGTATTATTCCATAACCAAATCTTTTTTCCCCTCTAATGATCTGAAAATGTTGGGGTTCAGGGGAGCAAACGGTCAAGAAAGAATTCTTGAGACGTCTTTGGTGCAGAAAAATGGTTTTATTAAAGCACTGGGACTGGACCCGTGGGCAGAAAGAGCTGCACTGGGGTCATGAGTGGCCCATTGTATACTTTCAAGTTGGGAGGTGGTTAGGGATAGAGCAAGTCTCTAAGGAATTTAGAAGCCAGGTGTCCAGGACCTTGAGGGGCTAGCTGATTGGAAAAGATCAATTATCACCATCTAGTAAAACCTTAGTCATGAGAACCTTCAGATGTATATCAGAGGACGGATATGCTTGGAGGATGATTGCTAACATATATTTTGGTGGCGGATGGGGGTTAGAGATAAAGGAATTTTTATATATTAAAGGAGACTTACAGGATCCTGGAGATCAGGCTAATGTGAAGATAAGGTTGCCTTAGACCTGAGTCAAGTATTAACATCAAGGCAGTTGAGTTCCCAGAGGGAGGGCCATGCTGCTTGTCTCAAGGGCTTGTCAATGAGTGGGCTGTAAGTTGTAAGGAAATTTAATTTTTTTTTCTTTTGCCTTTGTTCTCCACATCATCTAATACCAGATCTTTACAATATTTTAGTTACAGTATTATTGGTTTTACATTTTTGAAGGATGAAAGCACTGTTATGTTTGTCTTTTTATTTTGATTTACCAAAAACTTCAAGTTGTTTTCACTTAGCACCCTTTTTAGTGTTTTTTTTTTTCCCTAAAAAAACAAAAAGGCTTTATTGAGGTATAGTTCAGTACAATAAGCTGTATGCTCTCTTTCTTGACCTTAAAAATCTAAAATTTTCCCTTAATATTCTATATTCTGCCCTCATCCAACTCAATCTTCAAAAAGCTGCTTATTTTCACTATTTTTTTTCCTTCTGCAGTACAAAAGGCCTTGTGCATAGTAGCCTTATATTAATAAAACACTTTTGAACTTGTTAGAATCAGAGTGACCATCCATCTTGGTGTGCCCAGGACTGAGGGGTTTTCTGGAATATAGGATTTTAAGTGCTAAACAAACTGGTCCCAGGATGAGTTGATCACCCTATTAAGTTAAGAAAGGTTGAAAAACTGCTGTTATTGAAAAAACAAAAAAACAAAACAAAACTCGGTTAACCTTATTTCCAGGTGGTCTGCATTTTCTGTTCTTAAAATACACATGATGAATGTATGTCTTCTAAAGTTTTTATCTATTTCTCGTGGGAAAATTATCTGTCATTTATAGTGACATTGTCATTTTTTTTTTCAAGTTGGATATCTTTATGTTGAATTGGGAATTTCACGTTTTTTTAGATTAATACCTGTATATATTGTAAAGAGCCAGCTAATTATGTACACTACAAACAACAGTACTCCCCCCCCCCCCCCAACAGCTTCCAGTTATTTTATCTAATCCTTTTGGCATGAATTCCTTATCTTTAAGTAAACACAGAATGCTTGAGTTTTTGTGGTTCTTACACATTTCCTGTTGAATTCCCTGCTAGGGGATGTAAACAATGAGCTCTCCTTCTCCTGTCCCTGCTCCCCCCCATAGTTTCCACCCTTCCATCTATCTACACACACACACACACGCACGCGCACGCACAGATGCACATGTGTAAAATTTTGTCATTTGGATTAAATCAGAATTCTGTTTGATTTACTATTTCTATGTATGCTACTCAGGATTGAGCTGAGTCATAAACATTATTACTTTGACATCCCCCCTCCCCTCAGTTTTCATTTTCCTTGGAGTTGTTTTATTTTTTGGTTTACTTAGTTTTCTGTATGTATTACTGATATGCTTCTAAACTCTCTGCAAGTTGTTTAAGTCTCCTCATATTCTGTTGTCAATTTTACCTTCTTGGGGAAATTTCTTCTGGAATAGATTCCTTCTGGAATAGACATCTTCTATAAGTCTATTCCAGAGCTTTGTAACCTGCCTCAGTCTGCATTGATTTTCTTTTATCCCCAGTGTATAACTAATATCTTGGGATCTTTATTCACCATTACCTGGGGATGCCCTTTGCATCTTGTCTTTTATGTATTTTCCATATTTCGTGTATTTCTCTTTTTCAGTTTACCCTCTGATTTTGAGGCAGCAGCAAATCTCTGAAGTTTATGTCCATGTGTATTTATTTTCACCTATCTGTAATTGAGGGATATATATACACACATATATACATATATATATACATATATATATATACACACACACACACACCATACACACACATATATATGTTCTTATGTAAATATTATCAATTGTTTATAAGTAATGTGTATTTTTGGTATAGGTAAATGATTTGCATTTGGAAAATTCTAGCTGATAATATATAGTTTTAGAAAATTTGTCATGTAAATAACAAAAATAATATGTAAACAATGCAATCATTCAGTAATATATAGGTGTTTAAATTAAAACTAATAATGCAGTCTGCCACTGACCTGTGTAACCACTGTTATCACTGTGTAACCTTTCTTATTTTTTCCTTTTGTTTATACAATCATACATATATAGAGAATTTTTTTTCATTTTTAAATTTTACTGTTCATATTACTTTGTAACTTATATCACTCAGAAATATATTGTGGGCATTCTTAAAGTGAAGGCATTTAGTATTCATTTATTATGTATTACTCTCTTTATGGATGTATGTCCTGTTTTTTCCCAGTCTGCCATTTCTGTTTGAGTTAGTTTATGATACCTTTTTTTCGTAAAGAAGTTTATAAAAACCCTGTGCTTTCAAATCTTTCTGCTCCTTTCTGGATTCTGGAGTTTCATCGCTATAATGAAACTTCTTTGACCCAAGGTATTGTAAGTTTTCTGCAGTAGTTTCTTAAAGCACTTTTCTTAGTAAATTTTTATTTTTATGAATTCATATGTACACACTATTTACTCAGTAGCATTTTATTTGGGTTTTCTACATTCTCTATTATTAAAAATGTATTATATTTTTCTTTTTTGTGCTATCTTCATCAGGTTTGATTTTATGCTTATGTTAGCTTTAGTAAGTGAAAGCTTTTCTGTTTTTCTTATACTCTGGTGTAGTTTACATAGGAATTATCTATTCTATAAGAGTAAGTTAGAACTTGTAAAACCATATGAGCCTAGCCCCTTTTTTGGTTGTAGATTTTTTGATAATTTTTTTTTGGTTCCTTCTACAGTGATTGGCCTATTTAAACGTGTTCTGTTTTCTTGGCCGTTGATTCCAATCATTATCTCAACATGTAGTATTAATTCACAAAATATATACATAACATAGTAACTAACATATGATAGCTGCTTCTGTCTTACTGTTTGCCTAAATTAGATAGAGTATATTCTTAATTTTTATTTTTAATATTTATTTTACTATACATAATTATATGTAATTATAGTATACTATGGTAATGTAGACATATCTATATATCTTCTGTCGCATTACCAAAAATGTCTTTATTGGGTTTATTTTATATTAGCTTTTTGGTTATGAGAAGATTTTCAACTCTGCCTATTTCTAAAAATGGACTTCCATATGTATTGTGATTAGATCAATTTTTAAAATGTTATATATGTTTGCTACTGGTAAACCATGTGATGAAATGTTGGTTTTCACTGATAAGATAAATTGGAGAATGAAACTTATATCTGGGTAAGTGGACTTGCTAAGGTTTAACCTCTTTTTTAGGAAGAGTCACCAGCTCAATCACAGATATAATAATGTATAAAATAGATTTGTTTTTATGAATTGAGTCACTTACCCCTACTTTTTCTACCAAATTATTGGTAGGGTTGTTAGTGGGAGAGCTAATTAATTTTGTTTATTTATACTGTATCCAGTTACCTTATTGGGCTCTTATGTTTTCTAATAATTTATTAGTTGATTCTTGTCATTATTTCAGTACATTGGCTCCCAATAATTATCTCATAATTGGGATAATTTCCATTAGACTTTTTATTTCATTTCTGTTTTTATTATGTTAACCATATTTTTCAGAATATAGTTAAATATGAAAATAATTTTAGTAATAAGCTCCTTTGCTTACTTTCTGATTTTAATGGATTTGTCTCTAGTGTTTTATTTTCAAGTATGATGTATAGCATTGTTTTTTTTTTTTTAATAGGTTTTCCTTTACAAATTTAAAAACACTTTCTCAAATTCATAGTTAAAAGAGTTTCTTCAAAACTGATTGGTGTTGGAATTTAAAAATATTCTAATATATCTGTTTGAGATGTGAACAGATTTCTTTGTAATCCTTAATCCTTAGAATGTAAAGATTAATTTAACACTGACCCCTCCTTTTTTAAACATTGTAAACATTGTCTGTTTTTATATATTCTTTTTGTACACAATGTAGTTTATCAAAAATGGATGAAGTTAGCATCTGTGTTCATAAATTGATGTCTAATTTCCTTTTTTATATTTGTCAATATTTTATATTCAGATTATGCTGGCCTTGTGTAATTATTAAGGAGATTTTCCCTTTTCTCAGGCTTTGGAGTAGTGTAGATAGAGAAATCATTTTGTCCTTGAAGATCTGACATATCAGCAGTTCTAAAACAATGTTGGCCTGATTCCTTTATTGGGTACAGATCTTGGGCAACCTTTTCAATTCTTCTGTAGCTTTACTGGGTCTCTTCAAGAACTTGGTAGTTTTTCTACCTTTTAAAGCAATTCAGGTAATTTATATTTTCCTAGATGATCATCTGTTTAATTAAAAATTTGTAGTTTATTGGCATAAAGTTATATGTATTATTTTTTTAAAACAAATTTTAAAGCTTTTTGTTTGTTTGTTTTAGTATTTTTGGTATTGTCACCTTACATGTGCTGGAGAGTGTTCTCCCATACTTTGGTTTTCCATCAGCTTTTTGGAAAGAAAAGCTTTTGACTTTTTTTATCTAATTGCCACGTTATTTTATTTCTTCTACCTTTAGTTTATTTTCTCTCCTCCCCCCGGCCCCCCCCCCCCCCGCTTCTTGAACAGTACTTGTTCTATACTGGTTAAATTGGTATTTTCCTTTGACTACCAGTCTGGCTATGTCCTATAGGTTTTGATATCTTATGATTCCAATATTAATATAATTTTGATTCCTTTGGCCCAAGAGTAATTTAAGGCAGTATTATTTTAATTCCTAAGAGCTTAGTTTGGGAGTTGTCTTTATTTTTAATTCCTGTATGTATTGCATTGTGGTCAAATCATATAGCCTATATGATTACAATCCCCTGGAATTTGAAGTAGATTCTCTTCCATCTTTTGGTACACTGTCAGTTTTTAAAAAATAGTCTATAAACATTTAATTTATATGCACACTCACACATACATACACACTCTCTGTGAAGTCAGCTAACCATATTTCAGAGGTAAGAGCATTAAGACTTGGAGAACTTTGTGCCTTGTTTTATATCACAGTTAATAAATGGTATACCTAGCTTTCTGAATCTTGGTCTGATTTTCCCTTAGATTTTTCTGCCTTCAGAATATATTTTATGTTTATATATTTGGTATCTTCTGATGTATGTATATAGTTATAGCAAAATAAAGTCTGTAAAAAATATACATTTAGAGTATGATCTTATAATACGATTTAGAAAGGTAAAGTCTAGGTAGTAGTCATTTGGATCTTTGCAACTGAAGATTTCAAAAGAGAAAGAAAACTAGACTTCTTGAATGGGTCATCTATAGATAGATGAGGAACAAACAAGAAAGGACATCATGCATTTAGAGAACTTAAGAAACAAAGGCGCATGCGCATCTGTGGGGAGACAAGCCTGACCTAAGTGGAAGGAAGTCTTTATTGAAGAGTCATAGGAAATAAGACTGAATAGATAACTTTGGGCCTGATTACCTGGACCATGTTAAAGGTCTGGTGAAAGAGACTTTCTAAAAATTAATTGCAAAGCAGTTCTGTCACCTAATGACCAGTATTCCATTTCATTTTGTAAATGTTTGATGGTTTCATTGCAGTATCTGTGGTAGTTAACTTAAATAATTACCTTCATAGGCAGCCAAAGTATGGAAAGGACAAGAATAATTCTAGGGCAGGATTCTGAGGAAGTAGTCTGAATCAAATTTGACAACTCAGCAGTGTTAACTTTACTCATAATGATAAATAGTGAAGAACTCTGCTAAATATACTGGCATGGAACATCTGTTGAAATTTTGAAGGAAAAGATATGATTGCAGTATATTTAAACATCAGAAAACTTTTTTAGAAGTAAGTTCATAAATAAAAATAATTGATAATTATAAAAAATAATTTGTGCTGGTAAAAAGTGTTTTTTGTGTGTTTGAAAAATTACTTGTAGAAATTTAAATGTGCCTTTTTACCTCTACTGTTTTAAATATCTATAGATTTTAACTTTGGCATTTACTTGTGTAAATTGGGAGAATCTTAAATAGAACAAAATTAAGAGATAAACATAATTTTAGAATAAAAGAGGGATATGTATTCTAGCTTGCTAATAGAAATCTATTTGCTCTTTACAAAAAATATAGTGTTTCTATTTTGAACGTAGGTAAAAAAATATGTAACCATTTAGTGTTATAATTCCTTATCTCTAAACCTATAATATTACTTTAAGAGACTCAATACGAATTTATTTTATTTTGGTCATCCTAATTTTGGCCAAAAGCATGATACCTGAAATACTTAAATATTCAAAAGAACTTGGAATAGTTTATGACAGTCATTGTCTGTCTATATAATGAAGAACAGTTATTGATTGTTTTTGCTTTATATTTATTTTCAAATTCAGTATAGTTTGGTTATTAAATGAATATGTACCCCTTTTTCTTTTCAAATTGGGAAAATGAGAAGATTTTATAGTTCTAAGCCTATGTGTGCTAGTTAGGTTTGCATTGAAGTGAGCCTTAATAATTCTACATGTCAAAATATAGTTTTCCTGGCTATATTTTTTTAAGATTTATTTATTTATTTATTAGAGAGAGAGAGAGAGCATGAGAGGGGGGAGGGTCAGAGGGAGAAGCAGACTCCCCGCCGAGCAGGGAGCCCGATGTGGGACTCTATCCCGGGACTCCAGGATCATGACCTGAGCCTAAGGCAGTCACTTAACCAACTGAGCCACCCAGGCGCCCCTTTCCTGGCTACTTTTAACCACAGCATGTGTAACAGCAACAAAAAAGAACACAGTTTATTTTAGCTATAAAGTAATAATTCCATTTATAATGCTAAGTATATAGAAAGGACTTATTAGCCTTCCCTTTAATGATATATAAGAATGTATAACTAGAATGTTTTAATTAATATTTGTCAGTTACATTTTCTCCCTTCTATAAAATATAGCATAGTGTCTGGATGGTCAAGAATTGCTTAAGAAAGGCATACTTTAAAAAAAAAAAAACAACTTTCTAATAGAATTGATTTTTTTGTAACTTATTTTGCACGTGGCCCCATAATGTTTTACAGTTAATAAAGCTAGGATTTAGATATAAGTCCAATATAAATGAATATTGTAAAAAGTATTATTTTTAATCATATAGGTTTCTTGTATACAGCAGTATTTGATATATAACCCTACATTTATTTCTGTATGCGCCAGTATTTTCCAAATGGTTTGCTCATGTGTAGAAACATGTCAGTATTATTTCCTGTTATAATTAATTATAAATTCTGAGGTGTTCTGTTTATTAAAAAAAAGGAAGTTCAAGCATAAGGTGATAATAGTGATAATCATTAATTATTACGTGAATAAATTTCAAATATTTTTGAAGCAACAAGGAATTCAGTCTGCAGTAACTAGAGTCTCAGGGCTTACTTTTTCATTCTTTATTTTTAGACTCTTCAGCTAAGTAATTATAGTGGTATTATTATACATATAAGAACAAGCCATTTTCTTTCAGATATGGGCATTCCAGGAAGCTGTATTTCAACCCTAAAATTTGGGATATTCAAGATATACATGAAACTGATACTGGAAAGCATAGGAGAAGGGATACTGAGTATCACAGTCTTAGGATGCTTCTGAGTAGACTGACCAGACTCTGATAAGTTTTACAAAATTACTCACATAGTGCACTTAGGTGTATTGTTTAGTTTAATACTTCTCTACATGAAAACAAAAAAACATTATTACAGTGAAGGGATAAGGAAGTACTCATATTGTCAGTTTTAGAAAATTCTTTTAAACTGTAGAATATGGGACAGTATTTTTAGATGTACTACCTTCTTTGTAACACTTTAAAGGAAAATATATTTGAACACAAGAATAATTAAAGCTGTAATATTGAAGGATTTTAATTATTACAATTAACCAGAATTGGCATTTGTTACATTTTCTAGGCAATTAAGTTGGAGTATTCAAGATTGGTTAAATTGGCCCAAGAAGATACCCCACCAGAAACAGATTATCGTTTACATCATGTAGTGGTCTATTTTATCCAGAACCAAGCACCAAAGAAAATCATTGAGAAAACATTGCTAGAACAATTTGGAGATAGAAACTTGAGTTTTGATGAAAGGTAATTTAAAAATGTGAAATATTGAACTCAAATGCTCAAATTATCTTTTTAAAATAGCTTTCCATGCAGTTTTTTAATGTTTATTTTATATCTACACAAAGACCTGTTTCAGTAAATACAGCACAAAACTTGACTTCACTTAATTTGAACAGTTGCTTTGTAATTTCTTTGGAGTTTATAGTCATGACTTTAGAAGTTTGAGCTGAAAATAATTTAGATTGTTTTAGTATATTTTATTTAATTGACTAAGGTACTGAGCTAAGCAACATAAAGATTTATGGAAGAATATAATCACTGCCCTTTGGGGACTCAATATTTTAGAGAAATAAAGAATTTCTCAATCTCTGCAGTATGTATATTTGAGTCAGATAGTTCTTTATTGTGGGGGCTATCCTATAACTTGTAGGATATTTAGCAGTGTTCCTGACCTCTACCTGCTAAGTGATGGTAACACCTCCCACAAGTGATGACATACAAAATATGTGTTTGAGAATCACTAGAGAAAAGTATTTAAATGTATACACAAATAAAACAATGCCCTCTGATATCAAGAGAAGCCTTAAAATGGTTAAATTACAGTTCACCTTTGAACAATGTGGAGATTAGGGGAGTGACTCTCTGTGCAGTCAAAAATCTGCACATAAAGTGTATAATTTTTGACTCCCCCAAAACTTAACTGCTAATAACCTTACCGTTGACTGGAAGCCTTACTGATAATATAAACAGTTGATTAACATATATTTTGTATATGTATTATATACTGTATTCTTACCATAAAGTAAGCTAAAGAAAGGAAAATGTTATTAAAATCATAAGAAAGAAAAAACACAATACTGTAAAAAAATCTGTAAGTGCACCCTCAAAACCCATGTTGTTTAAGGATCTACTATGTTTTGGTTTACCCAAAAATGTTTTCCCGTAGAAATTTGTATAAAATCCCTAGAATTTTTTTTTTTACTAATACTAGAAAATTAAAATATAATCTAGTTAGAATGAATACCATTAAAAAAATTTAGGCCTTGGGTAAAGATCCAAGTATTGGACATTATTTTAGAGTACAGAGACATTTATGTTACCTTGGAGTTCATTGTAGTCCATTTTAATTCTGAAATAAATGATTATCTTTTCATGAATATCTCAAAAATACTGAATTAAAAATACATATAGCAGAGGAGAATATGTGGAAAACAAAGCATTCAGGATTAAATTCCTGCTTTACCATGTGTCTGCTGTGAAATTTCAGATTAAGTGAAATAATACAAGTAAATGGCTTGAACAGTATTTGATAGACAATAAAGTGCTCAGTGAATGTTAGCTATTACTACTTTATTATTAGTAGTAGGAGCATCACTTATTTTACATATAACCACCACAAAGAGCTCAGAAATATGACAGATTATGACCCTTATTATATGGGTTGCTGGTACACTGTATTCCAATGAATATATGCTATTGAATTTGGGGAAAGTATTCATGGGGTAATCATGCTGACTTTTCACTCTTGCAATTTTTGTCCTGGGGACTGCAAACTGGTCAATTTGTTTTGATAGTCTAATTTCTCTTATACTTGAAAGAGCAAGATTCATGTGATAACTAAATATATTCTGCAGAGATTTCTTTAACAATGATTCTATGCATAAGAATGTCTCTGTTACCTGAAATGATAGGCACATTTTGAATTCCTTTTTTGCTTTTTATGAATAATGCCATTTGAAAGGGGAAAATGAGATTTAATGTTTCTTAAGCTTGCTTAACAAACACATTTCATTTTTTACTTGTGCAGTATATATTGATAGAATGTAATTTAAAAGCCATATGTAAATATAACATGGTAAATTTGAGTTAGAATTATTGATGCTGTCTTCTTTATGTACTTTGTAACTATCCAACATTGATCCAAAAAACATTTTCGATTAAGGTTATTTGGGAGTTGCTTCCTCAAAAAAGTATTGCTTAATGACAATGGATTTTATTTTCATATGTGTTGGGTAGTTTAGTTTTGTGTCACGTATTTTTCAGTTTTTATGAATTTTGCTTTTGATTTAGGAATGTATTTCTTTTATTTGAAGGTGTCACAACATAATGAAAGTTGCTCAAGCCAAACTTGAAATGATAAAACCTGAAGAAGTAAACTTGGAGGAATATGAGGTAATGGGCCCTTTGAGAGGTTGAACTATAGATTGAGGAATTCTGTAGTTCACTAGTCATTTCAGCACAGCTGAGCATAGGAGAGAATAAGGCATAGAGAGGGTAAAGTAACCTGCCCAAAGTTTTCACAGCTAGCAGATTATTTCACAGCTAGCAGATTATAGCTTGTTAACACAACCTTTTTTAATTTAACAGAACCTGCATTCTTAAATGCTATTATGGTCACTGAAGCCATGCTGTATTTTTTCTTTGCCTCATCAGATATTTTGGGGAGGAAGTTGCAAACCTGCTTTTAATCATTGTATGCCACATACATTTGTCATTATTGGACAGTGTTGTACATGTGAGAGAGAGCATGCATGCACACTCATAAAATGCTTATGGTAATTTTTGTATACAAATTTCTCTTTGTGTTAACTTTGGCTTTAAAATTAATACTTTTTTTTAATTTACCAATTCAGACACCTAGTATTTCTTCAGACTTTTAAATTTAACTTTATACATTGTCTTTTTTTTTCTTTTTTTTTTTAAAGGTTTTATTTACTTATTTGTCAGAGAGAGCGAGCGAGTGAGCGAGCACAGAAGCAGGGGGAGAGGCAGGCAGAGGGAGAAGCAGCCTCCCCGCTTAGCAAGGAGGCCAATATGGGACTCCATCCCAGGACCCTGGGATCATGACCCAAGCTGAAGGCAGACGCTTAACCATCTGAGCCCAGGCATCCCAACACATTGTCTTTTTTAATTTATAAATCTAGTCAATTTTAAGTTGATTTCGTAGTGTCTTTGATTAATGTTTGGTCCCATTTAAAACTTAATTACTTTAGATTGATTCCCTTAAATAATTACTGTCATTCACCACATTAACATAAAGAAAAATATTCATTTTTGATGAAAACCCTTAACTAACCCAGAATACAAGGTGCAGCTACTTTAATTTGCTAAAGAGTGTCTCAAAAAACAACAAAACTAGCAAATATATAGAATTGTGGGCATTGAAAGCTTTCCTTTGTAATCAGGAAAGACAGGGATGTCTGCAACCACTTCTATTCAGAATTGTACTGGAAATTCAAATGGGCAGCAAAGCAACAAAAATAAGCAAAAAGTAAAAGATTGGAAAAGAAGAAATAAAGTTATTATTTGGAGATCTTACACCTAGAAAATACAAACAAAATCTGCAGATAAATTAATTGGAACTAATAAGAGAGTTTTGCAACATGCAGAACCTATGTCAAACACCAGTTTTATTCCATTAACCTAGCAGCAGATAATCAGAAAGTGAAATTTTTAAAAATAACATCATTTATAATAGCATCAAAAAGTGTACAGTAACTAGAAATAAATTTAGCAAAAGATGTGCATGACTTTAGGATACATTAAAGAAGACCTGAATAAATGGATATTCATATTATGTTTGGACAACTTGGTATTGTAAAGATGCCATTTTGGGCTGCCTGGGTGGCTCAGTTGGTTAAGCATCTGACTTAGGCTCAGGTCATGATTTCAGGGTCGAGCCCCGCGTCAAACTCCCTGCTAAGCAGGGAGTCTGCTGGTCCCTCTCCTTCAGGCCCTTCCCCTGCTCATGCTCACTCTCTCTCAAATAAATAAATGTTTAAAAAAAGAAAAAGATGTCATTTTACCCCAGAGTAGTTTATTGATTCTGTGCAGTCCCTATCAAACTTCTAGCAAGTTGTGTGATGGAGCTTGATAAGCTGATTTCAAAAATTTTATGAGGGGTGCCTGGTTGGCTCAGTATAGCATGCAACTCTTGATCTTGGCGTCATGAGTTTGAGCCCCACATTGGGTATAGAGATTACGTAAATAGAACTTTAAAAAAATTTTTATGAAATGCAAACATCTCAGTCTAGCTCAGACATTCTTGAAGAACAAGATAGGAAAAGCTTTATTCTACTAGAAATCAAGAGGTACCATTCTTAACCCTTATGCTTTATAATAATAATAGCATAAGGGTAGGTAATTTAGAACAATATAGCAGAATGAAAATCTGAGAACATATGCACAAATAAATGTACACATGATACATGCCAGAGATGACAAGCAAGTGGGTTACTCGCTCTGTTTGTTTCTAAAATTCAAGTTACATGGGACTTGATTTTTAATTATGATTTGACTTTGCATTCTCTCTCCAGGGTTGCTTCATCTGATTGGATTCAACATATTTTTGTTCTGAACACTCCTCATATTCTAACTGCAGAGCCATTAAGTCTTAAACGTATTTCCATGACATGTTTTTGGATTCTAAGTGTCCTGCATATCTTTATCTTGCTCTGAGTCATGACTCAGCAAACCTTGGCCAACAGACCAAATGCAGCCCACCACCACTTTTTATAAAACAGTTTTATCGGAACACAACTATTTGCTTATATATTGTGTATGAATGTTTTTACACTACAGTCACAGAGTTGAATAGTGAAAATAGAGACTGCAAGACCTGCAAAGCCTAAAACACTTACTGGCTAGGTCTTTACAGAAAAAGCTTACTCAGAACTTCTCAGGCAATTCTAATGACAGTAGAGTGGCAATTTGAATACTTTCCCAGAGAAGCTAACTTTAATTATTTATTAAATCCTATATTGAATTTAGTTATGGTTTTCCTTGAAACAGTTTTTTTTTTTTTTTCAAATAAATTAAAGAGAAATCGTGATTTTGTTTTCTAGCTAGAGGGTGTCAATTCTGAATTGTTGAATCCTATTACATGCCCAATAATTAGGTTTTGGAGGGAGAGGCAGTTGAAATGTGACATGCTTCTATTCTTCTCACCATATCTCAGATGAGTAAACTATTCAGCTACCATATATAAAATAAAATTTAACATAAATTTCCAAAATTAAAAGGTTAAATAAATTTATTATAACATTTTTCTTTTAGTTCCTTAACGTTCTTCATCAAATAATAGTCTTCAGTATTGATTCTGTTAGAGTAGTAACTTCATTTACCTCCTACATCTAATGTGATGTACATCTATAATATTATTTTAATAATATACCTTTATACCAAAGAATTTTTGAGAGACAGAGAGAAAACATGGTAGATTATCTTGCCTTTGTATTTCTCTTAGGGTCATTTAATTCCTCATTAATTTCTAATAATTTCTACATGTATTATTATACTAATAAAGTAATCTTGTGTATCAAAAATGAAAGTCTTGACTTAGGTCTAGTTTATCTTAATTTTGAATTCTTTGGTTCTATTAATTTGAATAGTTATCAGAACAATGTATTACTTTATGAACAGTTTTCATTGTGGTTTTAATATCCTCCTCTGCATTCTTTTAAAATTTTTTTTACCTACAGGAGTGGCATAAGGATTATAGGAGATTCAGGGAAACAACCATGTATCTCATAATTGGGCTAGAAAATTTTCAAAAAGAAAGGTAAGGCAGAGTGGTCAAATATTATTTTTTGTACTTAATTCTATTCGGATATGACTGCATCTATAGAAAATATTTCATTCACAATATGTATTTTTGATAAACTTTTAATTTTATAAGTTTTAGATTTACGGAGAAATTGTATAGTTAGTATAGAGAGTTCCTGTACATATAACCCATGTATTTTCTGTTTTCAATTAAATCTGTAAGGTTGGCATTAGTTAAGTCTTTGTTTTTATCAGCTCTCAAATACTACAGTTGAAGTTTAGGATGGAATAGGATTAGATTGAAGCCTAGAAGTTTGCTGGGGACCAAAGAAACTGATACCCCAACACAGGGAATTCTTTGTATTCCCTAACATTTGCCTTCAGTCTCCAGACATTTTCATATTCCGAGTCTAATCTTGACTTCAGTCTGAGATAGTGTTTCTGATCTCTTTGTCCAAAATTCCAGTTACTATAAAAAATAACACTGTAAAGAATTGATCACTTGTCTTCTAAGAATTGTGACTGCAAACACATTTTAGATCATTTTTCATTTAAATTACAGATGGTTTTAAAGGAATTGCTACTTATTAAACTATAATATTATTTACTTTTAAATGTTATTAAGAAGAAAAGATGGTTATTGATTTATTTACTTACACATTATTCACTAGTTTGCATTTACATGTTATCCACATATTTCTTAATTCATATTCTTTAACATGAATGTACTTGACTAATGATTTTTTTTTAGAAAGTGCTATATTTTAAATATTCTCTAATAGTGCACTCAAGTAAAAGGGTTATTGAATTCCCTCTTTTCTTTCTTTTCTTGTTTTGTATGAAGTATAGGAAACCTCCGCTGAGATGTTAATGCAGTTTTGTTTTTAAATGACCACGCAGGCTATTACTTCCAGGGCTATGCAGGCCATCCTGGTTGCCACCAGCCACATGTGACAATTTAAATTTAATTAGGAATTTTAAAACTAAAAATTCAGTTTCTCAGTCCTACTAGCCGCATCTTGAATGTTTAGTAGCCACCTGTGGCTGGTGGCTCCGGTATTGGCTAGCGCAGACACAACACTTCCTGCAGAAGGTTCTGTCGGATCACGCTGCTCCGTTTATGGGACAGTGCACAGTCCCATCCCTTTTACACTTAACCAAAATTTTAGAAGTTACCCAGAATTAAAAAATAATGTTAATACTTGAATATACATTATTAAAGTCCTAGTCTTTGTGTAATTTATTTATTTTAAATTGTGTTAACATACAGTGCAATATTGGTTTTTGGAATAGAATTCAGTGATTCATCACTTACATACAACATCTGGTGCTCATCACAAATACTGTGTAATTTATAAGATAATTCACTTTGGTCACTGAAATATAAAAGTATTTTCATTAGTAGCTCCATTTTATGAGTTATTTTATTTCGGTCAGAGTTTTATTTCTTTAATAGGAATATTCAAGTTCACTTTAGGATACCTTAAGATTAATATTTCTGAGAAAAATAGTAATGTGATCTTATAATTGAACAGAGTATCTATATCTAAGATCAATAAGGCATTTCCATTTTATAGATAAACTGTGTTTACTTACACATATCTCCAGAGAGATGCAATAACTTTTTCAAGGTCACACAATTAATTAGGGAGAAAAAGTGAAATAGAGATCTTTATTCTTGTAAAATTTAATGAAATCAGGTAAGTACAAGAAGTATTTATTTTTCTCACTCAACGAGAATTAAAAAGATGAAACTGTCACTTTCTTGCTCTCTGCATTTACTTCTATATTAGCTTTTCTTAGTTAACATTTGTTAAAGGACTTTGAGATATAACTTGGAAGTATGTTTTAATTTCATAATTTGCTTATTCTCAAATATATACTTACTCAGAAAGTGAATATTCTGATGTAGCAAATGTTATTGAATTGGAAAGTTCAACTAGAAAATTAGTAATGGTGACAAATAATATTTATGGAATATCATAAAAAGAAATGTTAATTTTATACTTTAAATATAGCAATTACCACAGCTAACAGGTTAGAAAATATTACCAGAAGTTCTGTCCAACTTTTTTTTAAATAGAAATATACGGGGCGCCTGGGTGGCTCATTCGTTAAGCGCCTGCCTTCGGCTCAGCTCATGATCCCAAGGTCCTGGGATCGAGCCCCGCATCGGGCTCCCTGCTCCGCGGGAAGCCTGCTTCTCCCTCTCCCCCTGCCCCTGCTTGTGTTCCCTCTCTCGCTGGGTCTCTCTCTGTCAAATAAATAAATAAAATCTTAAAATAAAATAAAATAAAAACATAGCACTTGAAAGCCTTGAATGAAATATTGATTGATAGTCCATTGTCAAGTCTGAGAGTAGTGAAGTGAAATCATGTTTTTAGGAACCCTAATTTTATAATAGTATAAATGAGGATAAAGAATCTACAGGCTACATGGTCTTGCTTTATCTTAAAATAAGAATGTGGTACTTGGACTGCTGAGTCTTATTCTGATTTGTTTGAAGATACGTTTGTAGGGACTTTAGAGGTTGTTGATAAAATATGGAAATTGTGTACTTCAGTAAAAAATTGAAACAAGGTCATGGTTTCAGAGCTATAGAGAGGTGACTCAGGTCTTGAAGGCCAGATATGAATGTCAATCAGGGAGACTTTCAAATAGGAAACTTAATGGCTATAAAAGAAAAGGTAGATGTGCCAGCAGACTACCTCAATTTAGTGGTGTAAAACATTTAATATTATTATCACTCCCTTCTTTTTTTCTTTCATAAGTAAAACAGGTCTCTAGCTGAGGTTATGTTTATATTATTTCAAAATAAAATTCCATATTCCTAAGTTTTCTCAAAAACAAATTCCTGGGAGAAGCCTTTTCAAAAAACTATATGAAATAACTTATTTTTTATGAAATAGTTTCAGGTGTGTACTTTGAGTTGTCATTAATTTCAGTTCTACATTTAATATTGAAGTATAGAATTGATTTATATTTGAGCACGTGAAATTGAAAAATAAACAGTAAAACTCAGTGTAACCTAGAGTTTTAAAAGTGTTTCTTTATAGTAGTTCACCTTTTAGGGTGTTACATTTTTCTGAATTAATCCATAAGAAGGTATGTTACAATTAGAAAAACTCACAAAGGAGATAGCTTATATTGTTCATATTTCAGTTATACAAATATATAGCTGTATTTATTTCCTGTAGCATATTAAGAGAGGATAATTACTTTAGAGGCAAATAGAATACTCAAACATTTTTGCCCTCCTCCCTTTTTAAAACCTAGTTTGAACTTCATAACCTCTAGGCTTACATTAATGTAACATATTAATATTACTTATAGCAAATATAAGAGACCTAACTGCCAGCTTTTATGTTAGTATGCGCTGTTTTTGTTTGTATCCCACTAGAGTTTTCAGATTTAGAAGGATTCTTTTCCCTTTCTACTTCCCCTGGGTCTCCTTTGGATATTCTGCCCTCTACCAATTACATTTTTCTCAATGATAAGAACTGTGCCTACACATAGAAAAAACCTGAATGGTCACTGAATGAAACAAATGTTTGTGATAAAGAAACAGAGTAACCTGATACTTCCTTCAAACAAAAATGACATTATGTTTTAAAAAGGTAGATTCTGGGCTTTCATATCAGTCTTAATTTTGACTCTAAATGGAAGACATGAGGTAAACAATTACCAAAGAAGACTGGAACTATCTAAATTCAGCAATTATGGGCTTTTCCTTCCCAGTCTTTTCTTAATTCCTAGTTCCATTTTTTTGTCTTTATGACATAACTGTATAACTGGTTTCATATATATAGGCTTATAGTACATCAGATGGTATTTTTTTGGTAATGTTCTGAATAATCAAAAACACAAATGTATACTTAAAGTATTTTATAATTGTAGTTGACTTTTTTTTTCAAAGATGAAATACTAATACTATGTGTTTCTTTTAATTTTTAAGTTATATAGATTCCTTGCTGTTCCTTATCTGTGCTTATCAGAATAACAAGGAACTCTTGTCCAAAGGCCCAAACAGAGGACATGATGAAGAATTGATATCACATTATAGAAGAGAATGTTTACTAGTAAGTTGAATATACATAGGTCGTGTTTGCTTTATCATTTTGTCTTATATTGAACACATTTTCCAGACTCATGTGTAAGTGATTGACTATAAATTCTGATGGGGAAAGCGTCATGATGATGTCTATAATCTGGGTTTAATCCCTGAAGATGTGAGAATGCACTGCATTCTTTATTATCCCTTCTTCTTTATTGGTCCTAAATATTGCAGGTGATAAACCAGAAATGTTCTTAAAATAGGATCAAAATAATTACATTTTTTCATCATTCTACCATTCCCTTTTTTGGTGAGAGAAGAGGTGCTGCATAGAGCATGAGGAATTACTATTCCAGAAAAATAATAGATTTTTTTGAGTTTTTATATATAGTATATTTGGTATACATAATGTCAAAAGATTCATTATAATACAGTATCCTTTTTTCTCACCTAGTCACTGGTAGTTTTTGTTCCTCAATATTTTTACTATCCATGTGTAGAGATACTACTATTGTTACATAAACTTAAAAAAATGTTTTTAGCGATTTTTTTTGCACTAGATTACTTTCTAGATGTCTGGAGTACTTTGTTATTATTTCTCTAGTTAGCTAATATGTATAAAATCACAAATTCCATCTTTATACATTTTTCTGATTGAATTTCATTCTTAACTATTAAAATACATCACTCTGTTATATATTTTAAACACCTAAGTTGTGATTTTTTTCCTATGCAGAATACACACACATGCACAAAAGTATTCAAGAATGTATGATTTTTGAACTTATATAAGTTACATGGTTTAAGTGTACTTTAAACAACTTTAAGTAGGTGTACTGGTAAAATGTTTTCTTTCAGTAGAACTACATAGTATAAGCTAATTGTAGTCTTTAGTATGTCTTTAAAATTTTCAAATGAGAATATTAGGAGGTTGTGATCTTACTATTTTTCTCTCAGCTGCTTTTATTGCATTTTAGTGTATTTTAAAACTCGAAGCATTAGTGGTTTGTATCCATGGAGGATAGTTCTTAATTTGGCCAGTTTCAAAAGGTTTTTGTTTTTTGTTGTTATTGTATACATAGCTTTTTCTAAGAGACTTCATGCTAGAATAGATTGAGATTGTTTTTCCCGATTGCAATTTGTTCTAATATTGTTTTGTAAACATACTTATTATGTTGTTTTTGGTATTAACACAGTATTTTTATTTAATTAAAGAAAAGAAAACTCTTTTTCCTTTCCTCATTGCATTAAGAAATTAAATGAGCAAGCAGCAGAACTGTTTGAATCTGGAGAGGATCGAGAAGTAAACAATGGCCTGATTATCATGAATGAGTTTATTGTCCCATTTTTGCCCTTGTTATTGGTGGATGAAATGGAAGAGAAAGATATACTTGCTGTGGAAGACATGAGAAATCGATGGTGTTCCTATCTTGGACAAGAAATGGAATGTAAGTTTAACCACTGCTAGTGGGCACCTCAGTTGTTGGGATTAAGCACAGTTAGAATTAGATGTTATTCATTTTTACCATTTTTTATATTCTGTAATATTTTTACATTCACATCACTTTTTTTCCTTATTTACAAACCAAGTTGTGCACATTGCCTTGCCATTTATATTTTACCTCTCTCCACCAAATGGTAATTATTTTGCATATTTTGAAATGAAACATCAATTGACCACTCTAAAATTAATAAATCTTGTTAAAGATGATAATTTCATTCCCTCTCTATCTTTAGCTACATGTAATTATTTGTATTTTCAGCAAACCTCCAAGAGAAGCTGACAGATTTTCTGCCAAAACTGCTCGATTGTTCTACTGAGATTAAAGGTTTCCATGAGCCACCGAAGTTACCTTCATATTCCACACATGAACTCTGTGAGCGGTTTGCCCGAATCATGTTGTCCCTCAGTCGAACTCCTGCTGATGGAAGATAAACTGCACACACTTTCCCTAAACACACTGTATAAACTTTTTTTAGTTCTTAACCCTTGCCTTCCTGTCACAGGGTTTGCTTGTTGCTGCTATAGTTTTTAACTTTTTATTTTAATAACTGCAAAAGACAAAATGACTATACAGACTTTACCCAGACTGCAAACAATAAAACTGAGAATCGCATGGCGCTCAGACTTTGTTTTAACCAGAACTGATGTATAATTATAAATCTGATTGATTTCATTATGGCAAAACCATGCTTTTGCCACCTTCCTGTTACAGTATTACGTTTGCTTTTATCTTTTCTTTATCTACAGCTTTCCATTCAGTCTGGATCCTTCCACGACTATAGCCATTTAAGTGTTCAGCACTGTGTACACGATACATAATACTTGGTAGCTTGTAAATGAAATTAAAGAATAAAGTTTTATTTATGGCTACCTACGTGTTTGTAAGCAGGTATATTGTATATTAGTGTATCATTTTAGTTATATATAAGTGAATTTTGTCTGGGGATTGTGTAAGATCGGATGAATAGATGAATAGATTAATACAAACTTTTAATTTTTCTCTGTTAGCACATTGGAAATTTACTAAGTATTTGACACTTAAATATATCTATATTTTTGACTAAGTTGTTAAACTCAGTATGGCACCTAAACCTGTTTTGAATTCAAATCAGGTTTTCACTGAAGTGAGCGGCTGATATTTAAGTCAACCACACTGAAACTTAACTTTTTCTTAGATTAACCTTTTATTTTTTTATGTATTTACAAATAATATAGCAAGGTGATTATTTCAAGAGATACCAGAAAAAAGTACTTGAATAAGGGCTATTTAATAGTGAAACTTATAAAAAATCTGTATATGTATATACACACACATACACACACATTCTTCATAATAGAGGACAGTGTTTTGCATTATATAATCATTCTATTTTTGTAAATTGTATACCACTTCAATTGAAAATGTTCTCTACTAATCAATGCTGTGAAATGAAGTTGATATTGTTGATATACGAATATCTTTCCCTGCTTTTATTTTCCTCCTTTTCAAAAAGAAAAAGCTGTAGAACATTTTGTAGATGGAACTGCTGTTTAAGATTAATGAAGTCATATTGTGAATGAAAATCAATGCTTTAAAGGTAATCATGTTACCAATAACCTATTTTTGAATTTATAAAAATTTCTTTATAAATGATACTTTGTTAGCATAGTAAAATATATCATTATACTATGTGTATGTTTGTTACAGCGTCGCCAAAACTTAGAACTCTCTTTAAGTGCCTCTCATAAAAGATCCTGGACAGAGTAGGAAGAAGAAGATACTAAGCCATTATATAATGTTCCCTCTCAAGGTATCAGTGCACTACTGAGGTATTAATGACAAGGACTTGGTACTGTTTCTTTTGTAAGGTTAGATTTTGCACATTGGAGCTATCAAAATGTGTTTTGGTTTAGATTTTAAATTCTCTACTGAGCAGTAGTAGTATTCTGCATTGGTTTTCAGGTCCTGTGCAGAGTTTTAAAACTCCATATGTATCATCAAAGCATTTGTAAAGTATCTTCGGTATTACATGATATTCTACCGTAATGGTAAAGTTGCTTGTGTTTATGTATATAATTGACCACTGGGGCACAGGTGCTCAAACACCATATGGAAATCACTCCCTTCACAAGGCACATCCAGGGAATCATGAGGCTCATGCTGAAGGTAAGTATTATTATTGTATTTCCTTTTCTACTTAAAAGCCAGTTGATTCATTCCTATTAATGAACCCGAGTACTTACTTCAAAAAGTGACCTTTTTTGAAGACCTGGGGAAACAACTTGTTTTTATATCAGTAAGTTTCAATCTGGTCTAAACTTAGAACCACGGTACTAGATAAAACGATCAGTAGCATTTTATGTACCTTAAATTGATGCTGTTTAACTTCCATTTACTTCTGATCCCTTGTTTGTTGGAGGCTTTTCAGTATTTCCTTCAGTTGCAATTTCAAGGAAGTAACTAAAAATTTGTTTTCTTAGTTTTAGATTTATTGAGACTAAGGTGGATTTTCTCCTCCTATACCTAATTCTCCAGAGTTCAGTGTCTTTGTTTATGATTCAGAGTTGTTGACTTCTGCCTCTGAATCCTACTGCCATCCCCCAAAAGTACAGTCACTCAGATGCTTGTGGGCAGTGAGTAGGGATACCCTTGTGTAATCATTTTTTTTTAATTTATTGTACATCATTAAGCGGATTAAATATCATTTGTGCCCATGATAACTTCATCCAAAGTATGTATATTACTCTCAGGGCTGCCATAACAAAGTACTACAAACTCGATGGGTGGCTTATGGAACAAATTTATTTTCTCAGAGTTCTGGAGGCTAGAAGTGTAATGTGCGGGCAGGTGTAGTTTCCCGAGGCCTCTCTCCCTTGGCTTAGAGACAGCAGCCTTCTTGCTGTGTCCTCACGTGGACACCAGTCATAGTGGGTGAGGACCCCACCCTTACGACCTCATTCAGTCTTTTTTAAAAGTCCTGTCTCCAAATACAGTTACATTGGGGGGAGCCGGCTTCAACATAAGATTTGGGGGCTGGGTAACAATTCAGTCCACAGTGTGTGACAGCCTAGTTTATGTACCTCCTTACCAGACACAAAAGTATGATAGTCTCTTCCCTTTAGCCTCAGGATTGCAATGCAAGTATCTGTAGTTCTCCTCTTCTATCTGCTCTGTTGTCTTCTTTTACTTTCACCGTATTCTAAAAACTAAAGTTACAGCAGACCAAATTTAGAATTGCTCACAATACATTCACCTAATCAGTATCAGTTCAGTGTGTTTTCATTGAACAGATATTTACTGAATGAATGAAATAGTCTATGTTGAGCTGCCCTTGTTTATGTGGGTTTTCTTTTTTTGTTTTTGTTTTTCCATCAGTTCCACTTTGTACCGTGGATCTGTTTCTATTTTGCTAGTGTTTTTATTTTTACCTACTCCACTTCCCTTTTCCATCCCCCTTTCCACCCCCAGCACGGAGGTAACTATTGTTAACCACTCTGGCCACATATTTTTCCATGTTTGGGTAATGTTATGCAGTATATACACAAAAGTGTTGGGTTTTGGTGGGGGTGGGGAAGCAGAAAAGGAAAGGGTCATCTATTTTATGCATCCTTTCTTCTCCTCACTCCTGTACTTTCTGGCCTTCAGTTCTTTCTTTTTCTAATGAGCTTTGATAGAAGTGACAGTAATCAAATAATAATAAAAACTATGACACTAATAATAAAAGTAAATGAATCATGATTGAGGGAACTATATACACAGTTGAATACACATATACATACACATTGGAATTTCGAGTATCCTTACTCATTCTATGCACAGGTTTTCTCAGTGGCTATTTCAAACCACTACCATCCTCCACCTCCTATTCAATGCCAGCTCTAGTAAAACAGGATGATTTTTCCTTTGCCTTACCAAGAAAATGGGACCATTGGGTATGATACCCTTCAACTTTAACCTCCATACCCATACATTTATAGTTAGTTAACCAAGGTGTAATAGGGGATTAATATTACTGATAACCCACTGTTACGAAGAAAATATAAAATCAGGGGCGCCTGGGTGGCTCAGTTGGTTAAGCGACTGCCTTCGGCTCAGGTCATGATCCTGGAGTCCCAGGATCGAGTCCCGCATCGGGCTCCCTGCTCAGCAGGGGGTCTGCTTCTCTCTCTGACCCTCCTCTCTCTCATTCTCTCTCTCTCTCTCTCAATAAAGTAAAATAAAATAAAAAATCTTTAAAAATATATATATAAAATCAAATGTGTAAAATGAACTTACACATTAAAAGTTAAAAGTACATCCATTATTTGGGGAGCATATTTGCTCTTCTGTAGAATTCAAAAAGCTTATTTTTGTCTTATATCAGCCCAAAGCCTGTAAAACATCAGTTTGTCCTTTAGCAAATGGTTCTCACTTTTTCAATAATCTAGAGCTAGGCAAGTATTCTTAACCCTGGTTCTGCATAAAAGCACATGAGGAGTGTTCTTTAAAAAAGGTGTGTAAGTCCTATCTATTATGTGGATTCTTAAAAGACTTTTTAAAGTGAGAACTAGTTTGAAACCATTTGGTAGGTGTTTCTCCAACTTTAATTTTTCTAAGAATCAACTCTGCCCTTACCCTGAGAGACTAATTGAGCCTGGCTAAAGCAGGATGGAAAAATTTGCTTTTTGCATTCTTGTATGTCATATGAAAAGGCAAGGATTTACATTTGCTGATGGCCCCCTCAGCTATAGAGCATGCGCATTTTAGTATGTGCTCTAGCCAACCAAAGCTATGCTCAAATGCTTTTCAGTTCCAACTTACTGAACTTCTCTCTTTCCTGAGTGGTCAAGAGTGCAGGCTCTAGAACCGGACTGCCTAGTCTGCATCCTGGGTCAGCTGTTTACTTGACCACTCTTGGACTTTTCTGTGCCTTTTTGTATTTCTTCATCTATAAAATGGGATTGTAGTATAACCTACCTTATAGGACTCTTAAAAGTTTAAATGGGTTTCTTTTTTTTTTTTTAAGATTTTTTATTTATTTATTTGAGAGAGAGAGAATGAGAGAGAGAGCACATGAGAGGGGGGAGGTCAGAGGGAGAAGCAGACTCCCTGCCGAGCAGGGAGCCCGATGCGGGACTTGATCCAGGGACTCCGGGATCATGACCTGAGCCGAAGGCAGTCGCTTAACCAATGGAGCCACCCAGGCGCCCTAAATGGGTTTCTATATATAAAATTCTTGGAAAATGTCTGCCACATAGTAAGTGTTCCAATAATTGTCAGCCTTTTATAATTTGTTGCTATTGTTTACTCCTGATTTTCAGAATCTGCCTTCCTGAGACTGGCTTCTTTGGGCTACTCTCATTCCTACCTGCATTCCCTGTCATTTCTTTTTTTCCCTACTCCTTAAATATGAGTGTCAAGGATCTGTACTTGGCTCCCTTCTAACTTCCCCTTTTCTGGTGATCAAATGATCCATTTGTCGCATCTACTAGTTTGTCGTCTTACTGCGTGCGTGCTGATGATTCACAAGTTTGTGTCTCTAATTTCTAACCAAACCAACCTCATGCGTTTCAGACCCATATATGTTGCCAATGGTCTGGTCAATATACAGACTGGGATATTTCATAGGCACTTCAAGCTTTGCACATCGACTAACTTCATCGCTTCTTCCCAAACCTAATTCTCTTGTATTCCCTTGGTGAATGATACAATAATCCAGACTTGGGGAATTATTCTCAATTCTACTTTTATTTCCCATTGGTTACCAAGTGTCAACAGGTCAAAATTGCTAATACGTTGCTCATGCATTTCTTCACTAGTACTGTTGATGAGATCTCTCATCTCTTAATTTGGACAATTAGATTTGTTCCTGAATGGCCCTCTGTCAGTTCTTTGTTTTATTTGAAATACAGTTGATATACTGGCCTCTTTGTCACTGATCTTGCCCCTATAGTCCATCTTCAACACTGTTGGCAGAACAATCTTTCAAAGAGGTTTTACATTTTTGTCTTCCATTGCTGGACAGAACTCCTTTAGAGAGAGATAGTATCCTGGTTTTGTAACCACAGCATCTGTTAAATTATCTGGCAACTTAATAGAAGTGTAGTCTTACAGATTCTCTGGCCTTCTAGCCAGCCATCTTTGACCTCCATTGTTCGATATAACCACTAGCCACATGTGGCTATTTAAATTTAAACCAAATAAAGTTAAAATTACTTAGTCATACTAGCCACATTGCAAATGCTCAATAGACGCATGAGATTCCTGGCAACACACTGGATAACATGTTTTAGAACATTTCCATTACCACAGAAAGTTCTATTGGACAGAGCTGCCGAAGGCCCTTGGTGATATGGACATTTTCCTTTACTGACAACATGAGAACTTTCAGGTACCATTAAAGTGCTAACCTGAGCAAACCAGTCCTTAGCATTTATGTCTTTTTATCTTGATCCTGCCATTAGTCACGTTAGTGTATCTGCTCTTTAGCTAGCACCTCTTGCAGCATGTGTCTGTCAGGAGAGCCCATGGTAGGTATTTCAACAAAGGAGATGTGGTAGAGGCATAGACGACAATCCGGATATCCTAACTGCAGGAGGTAGCCACTATTCCTAGGGGTGAGGAAACAAAAGGGGGAAAAGTTGGGGTTGCCAGAACCTTGGAGCTCCTAAATAGGAGTCCGCATGGACTTGGTGCATAAACTGAGACGGTTCACCACCTACCTGTTCTTGCTACTTCTGAGGGATGCAGTGAAGATAGTTCTAGACCTGAAAGTAGTTGAAGACTGGAATCAACTGACATTAGGTCAACACTGGTAGGATTGGCAAGCAAAGACAAAATAAATCTTGTTTTCCTCTTCCTACCTTCCACCTCCTCTCTAGTACTTACTGGCAGAATCTAAATGGAATGCAGCAGTCAAGGGGGTCAGGAAAATGCAGTTTGTGGAGTCCCAGCCCCAGCATCACAGAGCAAAGGATAGAAGGGTGGAATTGGAGCTGAGAGACAATAGGTAAAGAACATATTAGTTTCCTTTTAAGAATTCCTTTTTACCCAAAGATGTTAATCCCTAAAATGCTAAATATTCAGGAATGTATTTGTAGACTATCTCTGGGACCTCAAGAGTAAATACCCTAGTTCTGATTGAAATCATGTTGCTCTTTTCTATCAAAGGAAACCTTTTAATGATCCATTTGTGCTTTATTTTTAAAATCAGTAGCAGAAAGAATTCACTCCCAACCGTTCATTCACATATATATTTTTTCTTCTTCTTTTTTTTTTTTTGCATGCGTGCCACATACCACACAATCTACCAGGTGTACATACATAAGACAAACCTAGTAAGACAAAAGTAATAATCCACCCAAATCCATCTACCTGAAGTTAGACACTTTTCACATTTTTATGTTAATCCTTCTGCACATTTTCTGTGTTGTGCACATGTACACACACACACACACAACTATAATTCAATGATTTTCATAAACAATTTAAGAATATAATAAATGTAGACATTTTCAAGGAAGTGTGTATAGATCTGTCTTACTGCTCTACAGCATTTGATTATAAGGAAAACGAACTAGAACTTATTCATGGACATACAATGTAGGCTGCTACTTACATCTATGTGCATACTAATACTGTTTTCACGCCTTTTGTCTTTCCAGTAAATTTCTTGTATAATTTCTGAGTTACTGAGTATCCATGTTTAAAATTTTGAGCTAAATTGTCAAACGGACCTTCACCAAAACTATCTGATTATACTACCACCACTAGAGCATGGGAGTCTGTTTCCACAGGTTCAACAAAGAATATTGCCAGGTTTTAGTAGTTTTCAGTAACAAAAGTTTATTGTATTATTTTTTTTTATTTTTAGTGAGAGTGAACATATTTTAATATGTTAACAGCTGTTTGTATTGTGTGTAGTTAACTGCTTACACTTTGCACTTTTATGGGGGTTGTTCATGTCTGAATTTACAGTAGCTTATATTAGGAATCATTCTTTATTATGCACATTGCAAAAATTTACCTTCTGTCATTTATTTTAAGCATGCTTATAATATTACTGTTTTATGACTTTTTATGTAATCAAATCTGTTGACCTGCTTTATAGTTTCTGCCTTTGATATTCTGTCTACAAAGAATTTTCCCTGTCCAAGATTATGAAAATACTCATCCATGTTTTCTTCTGATATTTTTATGATTTTATTTTTTATGTCAGCTCCAAGTGCAGTTGGAAATTATATTAATTTAAGGAGTGAGGTAAAGATTCATAAATTTCTGCCAAGATTATCTAGTTGTCTAATACTATTTATAAAATAATTCCTTTTTTCCCTTACTGATCTAAAATGTAATATCCACTAGAAAATAAATTTTTATATTTGATATTTATAAACACTCTACTCAGTTCCATTTATGTTTTTGTTTATTCAACTGTCATTACTAATTTAATCACTGTTGTTTTAACATTGATTTGAAATATTTGTTTTATAACTAATAAACATTTTCCTATCTGATACATCAAGTGTTACTCCGCGGCACATACACCCTTAATACTAATTTTTTCCCAGAATTCTCTTTACTCTGACAGATAAATTTTAGAATTATTTAATCTTACTTCAAATAAAACTCCTATTGGCATTTTGATTGTAATTACTTTGGCGTACCTAGATTGGCATATAAAGAAATCATAGTTCCTTCACAATATTGAATCTCACTATCCAAAAAGAATATTGTCTGTCCTTTTATTAGGTTCATAGGTTCCTCAGTTGGAATTCTAAAATTATTTCCATAGGTTCCTCAGTTGGAATTCTAAAATTATTTTCATTTGTCTTTAATTCTAGGTATCTAAATGTGTTTTAATGTTTTTATGGTGCTTATGAATGAGCTTCTCTTTACAACTTAAAAAAGTTTTCTAATTGAATACTATTGGAATGGAATTGCAGCTCTCAACCTTTTTGTCTTAGGACCTCTTCACACTTGATAATTATTGAAGACCTAAAAGAGCTGTTGTTTGAGCATGTTATATCTTGATATTTACCATATTAGAATTGAAATGGTAAAAAATGGATAATATCAATTTTACAATGAGAAAATATCAACATAACATTGATGTTAACAAAAATAATATATTTTATAGAACTACCCTAAGACCCAGCAATTGCACTGCTGGGTATTTATCCAAAGCATACAAACAGTGATTTGAAGGGGTATCTGCACCCTAATGTTCATGACAGCAATGTCCACAATAGCCAAAATATGGAAAGCGCCCAGATGTCCATCAACAGATGAATGAATAAAGAGGTGTGTGTATTTATATAGAGAGAGAGAAAGAGAGAGAGAGCGAGCCATCAAAAGAATGAAATCTTACCTTTGCAACGATGTGGATGGAACTAGAGGGTATTATGCTAAGTGAAATAATTCAATCAAAGAAAGACAATTATGTGATTTCACTAGTGGAATTTAAGAAACAAAACAGGTGAGCATAGGGGAAGGGAAGGAAAAATAAATAAGATGAAATTAGAGGGAGACAAACCATAAGAGCCTCTTAACTGTAGGAAACAAACTGAGGGTTGCTGGAGGGGAGGTGGGTGGGGGTTGGGATAACTCAGTAATGGGCATTAAGGAGGGCATGTGATATAATGAGCACTGGCTGTTATATGCAACTGATGAATGACTAAACTCTACCTCTGAAACTAATAAAACACTATATGTTAATTTTAAATATTTATATATATATATATATATATATATATATATATATATATATATATATACACACACATACATATTTTAAATGAAAAATAGCTAGATTTTTGCCTGGTCTTTCTTTTGGAGGCTGGTGTGCTTAAATCATAAGCCTGAGTCTTTTTTTTTTTTTTTTTTTCCTGAGTCTTGAAATAAAGTACTAATTATAATAGCTCCCACACCTTATAATTGAAAAAATTAATGGTGTGCTCACACTTCCATAAAACACATAGAATTAAAACTTGGAGGAAGGGAGGGAAAAATAAAATGACATAATCCAAGGGGGAGACAAACCATAAGGGACTCCTAACCATAGGAAACAAACTGAGGGTTGCTGGAGGGGAAGGAGTTGGAGGGATGAGGTAACAGGGTGATGGGCATTAAGGAGGGCATGCGATGTAATGAGCATTGGGTGTTATACGCAACTAATGAATCACTGAACTCTACCTCTGAAAATAATAATATACTATATGTTAATTGAATTTAAATTAAAAAAATTTTATTGTGTCAGATTAAAAAAAAACTTGGACTAGAGAACATTAAAATTGATTTTAAAAATAGGAATCATTTTCAAAGAAGTCTTTTCATTTCTTTGAAAAATAAAAATTGTCCAAGTTTAACAGTTTGGAACTTCAGTAGTCCTGGAAATTTCAATAAGACAACTGCTCTGCTTGGGTTGCGTTTCCTTTACCTCATATTTTGAAAGTGTCTCCAAGAAAAAAGCTTACCTACTGTTCTCAGTTACTGCAACCCTGTACTGTCCATTGTCCAAACACTGAAAAGAGTTGCTTCGTATATTTCTATCCACTTATGGTTATTGATGACAAGAAAGTTATTCTGTTGTCAGCTGTTCCATGATGGCTAAATCACAGAAGCCTATAAATCTTTGAGAAGATAGCATAGAGAGGAATATTGTTAAGTTCTTGGAATAACAATGAGTTTCTTAATGGAAAAAGAAACATGAAGGAAATTTTTGATAAATTTAATCACATTAAATTAAGGATTGTCCCTCAAAAGATTCCCTAAGGTGAATAAAAAGACATGGCAATGTAGTGGGGGAGGATATTTGCAATGTGGAAGATGACAATGCAGTAATAAAATGATGTAAAGAGTAGACTTACGGCTTGGGGAAGATAAATATGACATACTTTCTGAAATGTTCCCAGATGTTTATCATTAAAAAACCAACAAAGATTGCTAAGAAAAACCAATACACAGCATTTTTTCAACAAAATTAAGTGACAAGGCATTTTCATAAGGTACAAAATACAAGTAGATGGAATCAAACTATGGGGTACACAATATTTTGTCAAGACTTGTCAGGTTTTGCAGAGGTGAGGGGTTGCCGAGTAAAGAAAAAGGGAAGTTCTATGTGTCCTAAGAACTCCAGAAAACAAATTACCAATAAATATCCATAAAAGGAGAAGATTCCTCCAAGTATATCAGAGAACAACCTGCAAAACAGAAGGCTCCATTGGCTTCAATATGTGGGTGAGCACAAAAGGACATGAGCACTAAGGTACTGCAAGAAATCAGAGGGAGCTGAGGCAGTCTAACCCTCAAGGAAATTAAAAAAAAAAAAAAAAAAAAAAAATTGGTCAAAACCAAAACTCTATTTCAGAAGGACAGAAATCATCTTGGAGGAAAAACTGCTGGGAATAGAATCCAGTTAAGATGGACCTAACCCAAAACTGTTAATCATCTGACTTGCATAAATTCCTACTCTTCCTGATGTACCATAATGGCATTCCTGCATCCCTAGGAATTAGTGAAAATATAGTGTGTATTATACCTGAAATGCTCAGTTACATCCTTTTCCCCCAATGCACAGTCACCTTGGTAAATGGACACTGGTCCCTTTAGGGGGAGGTTATGACTTAAAGTATTTATACTTCTGTGACACTATTGGGAACTTTCTTCAGGGGACTAAGCCTCCCCTTCTTTCAGGTTGCTCTGGGGCTACAAACTTGCATTTTGGAATTGGCTGAGGGCCCATGACTCTTCATTTTGGTCATTCAAGTTGAACTCCCATTCAACAGATTTACAATCTTTTCTTCAATTGGCTACTTAACTATTTCAGTCCTGGGACACCATAACAGATGTTGCCAAAGATCACATCTTCCAGTTACTTTGACTTTGGTTGTGGTGCCATTAAAGTAACCATGCCCACCTTGTCTCCACTACTTTAGTGACAACATGACCCCTACCTCTCTGTGATCCTATTATTCCCATTGAATTCTGGGAACCTATTTCAAGGACAACATTTCCCATTGTCATTTCTGATGCACAGAGAATAGCCACAAGAGTTCGTCAAGATTGTTGGTGATGACCTCACTAATATGTTTCCCAAGGATTTGATAAAGGGAATATTTGAATATTTTCTGGACTCTCCAGTAGACATAGTAGGTGAGTGAGCAGGTCTTACTCCAGCATTGCAATCTCCTTCAACTTTTGGCAACTCCATTTTTGGTATACCAAGCAAGTTCTGGCATCTCAATTTTGTTCAGTGTTGGCCACGTGTCAGTCCAAGTTTCAGACAACCAACCAAGAAAACTCTTATAGTTGCTCCTAGGCTTCCTAGCCAACAACTGAATCCCCAAGTCTCTGCCTAGTGCTTCGTATCAGTAGATTCAGCCAAATCCAATAGTATATTCCTTCACCCGGATCAAACATCCATTTTCACACATAGTCCTTAGGTTCCTCTCAATATAAAGATTTTATTTATTTATTTAACTGACAGAGAGACAGCTAGAGAAAGAATACAAGCAGGGGGAGTGGAAGAGGGAGAAGCACACTTCCCGCCAAGCAGGGAGCCCGATGCGGGGCTCAATCCCAGGGCCCTGGGATCATGACCTGAGCTGAAGGCAGCCTCTTAACCAACTGAGCCACCCACGTGTCCCAGGTTCCTCTCAATATAAATCGACAAATTTTGCATTACTTTTATGTGTGTGATGTCTCCTCTTAGGTCACACTTCACAGTTGAACCCTGGGACCTACTGGGACTTGAGTCTGAACGTAGACCTACAAGCAATAAGAGGTGGTAAGTGTGAAAATGTTGAGAAAGATCAGCAGTTTCCTACAGGACAGCTGCCTCAAGTGAGGCCATTACATTACATTGATTAGGCCAATCATTGACCTAACTTTAACATAAGAGATCCTGTAGTTTTGTGAATTCACTTTGCTTTTTCGTGCAGCCCCCGACAGAATTAAACTTCGGGTATGGTTTTAGAAATGGCCTTGAGGCTAAAAGAGACAAGTATTTCATGTAGGATAGTTGCAGCTTTCTTGTCCTTTACCCAGACTTTGAGATGGCAATTTAAGGCTCTGATCTCATCATTTTCTTTCTTCAAATTCTTCAGAGCACTGGGTATTATACGCAACTAATGAATCATTGAACACTACATGAAAAACTAATGTTGTACTATATGTTGGCTAATTGAATTTAAATTAAAACAAAAACAAAGTAACCAATCAACTCCAATTTCACTAAAATACGACCGCAGCTACTTAGTTACACGTCAAAGTCTTGCCTTCTAGAGGCATTTAATCATAGGTGATTTCAAGTAATAATTTAAGTCACAATTTTGCCATTGCCATCAATGGATTACCAGTGTTCCTTTCATATCAGTGCCTTTATGGTAAGCAACATTAATTTACTTTAATCAGATTGGAGATAAAAATGGTAGATTATCACACTGAAGATTCTGTTACCCTGAACCACTTTTGATACCAATAACTACATTTATGAGGCTGAATGAGGGAGTCACAACTATGAGTTGTGAGATAAAAATACTTATGATAATTAAAACTACAGAATTTGGGGAGGATTTGGGAGTGAAATTATGGGAGAGAAGTTGGGAAATTAGAGAAATTGTCACTGACCAGTCAACCTGGGAACCCAAGCACGCCCAGCTGCTAAGTGGGATTCTGGAGAGAAAGCTCACGGGGAGATCTATGAGAAGGTGTGCCTCCACCATAATGATGGTCTTGGGGCAACTGACAGCAGAGTTAGCAAAGAGCTGGGTGTGGAATGGGGGAGAGCAGATACAAACTAGAACATAATGGCATCTCTGCATGTGTTAGTCACCGCATCTAACCAATGGCCTTCAGAGAAAAAAGGCTAATTCTTCTATTTTCCCAACCTTGTGATTGTTTTGACCAATGCTAACTAGCAACCATAGAGAAAAGGAAGTTCTGGGAAATGGACTTAAGCTCTAACAGGTGACACACTGCAGACTATAATGAAGGCATGGAAGAAAAACAGCCACAAAGCAAATGTGTGTGTGTTTGTGTGTTTGTGTGTGTGTGTGTGTGTGTACATACATACAATATATGTTATACAAAAATGCCTGAGAATCCAATAAAAAAGTAAACTTGAATAGAGGCTTTACAAAAAGTCCAAATGACTGGTAAATATGGAAAAGTGCACAACTTCATTAATAATCAGGAAAATGCAAATTAAAACCACAATATGCCACCAAACACCCACAAGATTGGTAAAAAAATTAACTTCTGGCACTACCAAATGTTGGTGAGATGTGTATGTAGCAATAGGAACACTCAAATTATGTTCGTGGGTGTGTAAATTAGTGTAACCACTTTGGAAAATATTATTTTAACATTTAACATTATTTTAGAACATCTGAAGTTATAAGTACATTATACAGCAATTCCTAAGTATTTTTCCTAAAGATATTTGGGAATATGTGTATCAGCTTACACATACAAAAGTGTTCTTAGAAGCATTGTTCATAGTAGCAAAAACTAGAAACAACTCAAATAGCCATCAACAGTAAACTGATAAATTGTAGTATATTCCCATAATGGAATACTATACAGCAATAAAAAGGAGCAAACAATAGCTATATATGTCAACATAGGTGAATCTTATGTGATAACACTGAGTGAGAGAAGCAAGACAAAATCATATACAGTATCATTCTATTTATTTAACGTTCAAAAAAACCCTGGGTAAAATCAAAATATATAGGAATTCATTCATGAATGGTAAAATTAAAATAAAAATCAAGAAAAGGATTACCATATAAGTCAGGATAATGGCTACTTTGAGGAGGGAGGAAAGATGTGTGATTAGAAAAGGACATGGGGGAGACTTGCTTCCGATTTCTTATGATCGGATACGTTTTCATTTTCTGTATGTATGTAAGTTTGCAGTTGGAGATTGGAGCAGAATTGTCCCCTGGAGATATAAATTTGAGAATCAGCTCTGAGATGCGGTTAAAGTGAAGGGAATTTCCATGATATATAGTAAGATGACATAGAGAGAAGAGAGGAGGGCCCAGGCCTGAGTTTTGAGGAGCATAAAAGGGCCTGTGCTCGAGGGAAAATGAGGGCAGGAAATAGAGAATATCAAATGAAGTAGGAAAGTCTTGTGTCTGTTAGTCTAAGACAGAAGAGTTTTTCAACAAGTAGGAACTGGTGTTTCTGAGTAAAATGGGGACAGAAGAGTCTGTTATCTGCACAAGGGTTATCTCTAGAGTGGCGGAGACAGAAGGCATCATAGAACATCTTCAAGAATCCATCAGGGACTCTGCATCTAGAAAGCACTGTCATTAACAAGATACTTACAATATTGGATAAAATATTAGAGTAGTTTTAATGCATCCCTCAGGCTGGGAAGAAAGTGAGGAATACTCTCAATGGCCAAGAATCACGTAAGCCTAGACCTATTCTGATCAACTATGCCAAAAGGAAGATTAAATTACTTTTCTAGTCTCCCCATAGAAAATATTACAAAATCATTAACATGTGAAGAGACATGGCCAAAAATGTCAGAAAATATTATTGAGATGACTGGATTTAATTATATTTGTTAGTATTTATCATATTTTTATAATTTTTGCTATTTCTTTTCCTATTCCAGTAAATATTAACTTTCCTACATAATTTTACATTTTTCATTTAAAAGCTCCTCCTCCCACCATAAAGTGGATCTTTGGGCCCATAAAATTTAATTCAGGCCAGTAAGCTGGGGAAAGAACAAAAAGCCCAGGAAAAAGAATAAGCATTAGGAAAAAGGGGAAAAACCTTCCCAAGGAAGGCAGTAAAGAAACATGTCTTTTTCGTCCTTTGCTCTGGATGAAGGGAGAAATTCACAGCCACAAGCTGCTTATCTGGGGATATGGTTTGAGGCTGGAATTGACATTTTATCCATGGTCTCAAAAATCTCAAGATGAGAGCTTTTTCCTTTGAAGGTTGGTAGTAGCAGCAGGAATCTGGCAGCAGGAGCAAATTCAAATCCTTTTGTGTGTCAAACAACTTATACCTAGAAGGACTGAAAACAGAAAATGAAAAGTTTTGGCTCTCAGCAACATGGTTTTTAAATTGATTTTATATAAGCCACGACCAAGAGGTAAATATAAACATTTGCAGAAATTGGCATAAAGAGCCCTTTCAGATGTTGATGTTGGAAAAGAATTTGCCCCCATTTTGATGGCAGTTAGGCATTAGGAGAGGAAGAATTTTAGAAAAGTAGAAGTGTTGAAATAGCATGACAGATATGATCACATTTATCAGATTGATAAAGCTTCCAATAAATGTGGCCTTAAAATATCTTTAGAACCTCTCTCTTATCCCACGTTGAGGTGGGTCCAGAGGAGCACTACCTAGATTCCCTTGGTGGGGAGCAGTCCTGCCCAGGGTCTGCCTCAGGGCAAAGGGCTGCTTCATCCAAGGGCATGCCCACCTGGGGTCCCACAGATGCATGGAGTAAATAAAGGTCATGCCATTTTGGCCCAATGCAGGGCCATATATGCTCCAGAGTTCCCCACTGGATTGGCAAAGGCTTTGGTCCTCACTCTTGTCCTTCTCTCACTATCTAGTCCCAGCTTCCCCTATCACTTCCACAGGTGATCTTTTCTGCACACAAACTGCCTCAATGTGAGCTTCTGGAAAAATGCAGTCAGTGACACATGTCTACCCAATTAGATGTGACTACTTTTCTCAAGTATATTGATGCAAAAATCGAACCAAGTTCATTTTATAAGAAATTCTCTCATTACAGGTTAATAAATGTGTGTTCTGGTTCATAAATGTCTATAATGTTTCATTAATCCAAACTAGTTCATCAAAATATGATCATCCTGGTTAATAGTACTCAAAAAAGTAAAGAAAAATGATTGAACTAGAGGCTCTCCTAATGTGAAAATTTACTAACAATTTTGTTAAATTTTTCTATGCCTTCACTAGTGTGTGTATATTGGGCATTCTTTTGATCACTTTATTGATAATTTTAAAAGCGCTTCTAGTTGAAGAAGGGATAGTTACACGCAATAATTCGATTGTTGTCTTCTAAATTCCCAGTAGGTGGTGTCATAATACTGTATTTAGGGAATAGTTTGTTGTTTTTTTTTTTATAAGTGGAAAAAAAGAAAACGCTAATATACTTGCTCAAATACATGTACTTTTATTTTAAAAGCTTCTTTACTTTTTCTTCTAAGGTGGCACTATTATAAACACCTTAATTCTTTGTAAAATGTTTCAATTCATATTTTTACAAAAAGTGAGTACTAAGTGACAGCATTTTATTCTTTTATTCTCTGGAGTTATACAAGACTACACAATCAGTAGAGTAGGATGGCCAAAATATTTCCAAAAATTTTTTCCCAGAATCTTTCTTTTTGCTCTCATATCTTGGACATATGAAAAAAGAAACTGTTCTTGTTCTGGAATTCAAACAGGAATGCAGGACCTGTCATTATAACCATTATAACCTTTATTTTGCACTGAAAATGTTTTCTACTTTTAGCTACTCTTTTGAACTATCAATAACATAAGTGATTGACCTTGCTGGAAATCCAGCTATTTCTAGCTGAATTGAATGTAGTCTTAATTTGCCTACCTTACCCTTTAGTAATCCTTGTATTTGCTTTGGCAATATAATACATGCTAATGTATTATAGTTGTAACTCAGAGGATAGTATGGCCTCAGTGTAAGGATGACTCTCAACATGCCCTGTAACATTTCATGTTCTCGGTGTCTTCCCAGCTAGATTATACACCCTTTGAAGATAGAGCCTG